ACACGATGTCCAGGGAGACGACTTCCCAGCCCGCCGCCTCGAAGACCCTGCCCACCGACTTCGTGCCGCAGAAAAGGTCCAGGAGTCTCGGCATTTTTAAAGAGCAAGATCATCGCAAGGACGATGAAGACTCGCACGTTCATCGGACCGGACTTTTTTCTCCACGGGATAAAAAAAGGAGCCGAAATTGGCAAACATTAAGCTTGCAATTGGGCTGGACGTTCAGGCCAATGCCAAGGGGGGGAAATTCATGTCCATCGAGGACTCGTCAGGGCGCGCTGGTGTGCAAGGTCGACGTGGAGGTGCTGTGGGAGCCCAGGACGACGGGGATAAGAGGGTCGGGGTGTGCTTTGCGAGCAACACGGACCTGGAGCTGTGGACGGAGGAGGTGGAGCGCAGGGGGTCATCGACAACATGATCGTCTTCCAGAAGCCCTTTCCGGGCGCCTCTCGCACCGAGCTCGAGAGCCAGCTCCAGCGCGCCGTCAAGATGAGCGCCAAGGGCAAGCACGTCAAGTGCAAGATCGACTTGGAGCGCTGCCTCTTCTGGGGCTCGGCCGGCAACGCCGCGCCTCGCAGTCGCAAAGGCCGTGCGCTCGTGGTGATGGGCAGGCAGTGGGGCGTGCTCTTCGAGGTGCGCCACCTCATGCTGGAGCCCCTGGAGGCCCCGTGCTGCCCGTTTGGTTAGGCTAGCTCAGAGCTCGTCGCCCTTGACGCGCCCACGTACAGGTGGCGCTGCGTGAGGTGGCACGACTCCGGGTCTTCAAGGATTCTTGCTTGGATGAGTACAAGACTAAGAGTGCACGGTCATCGTCGGTCATGTTCTTGCATAACTGGTCCACATGATTCTGATCTGTGTATTTCTGATGAGAGAATCCGCATTGGGGCGATGGGTTGAAGGTCCCTTTCACACGTCCAAGAAGGACAGGGTTGCCTTCAATATCTCTCGGAACCGTAAAGGATCCAGTGTTCGCACAGATCTTCTGCTCGGCTGACCAGTGTGCTTCATCAAGAACGAGATCAGCTTGGTGATCATCGCAAGATCTGGCCCTCTGAGAGTCTTCTGATTCTCCATCTTCCTGGTCAGTATATCTCATGGTTCTTTCTGAATTTCTGAACTTCCAGTGCCGGACGAGGTTGGAACATGAGGGATCAGTTCTTCCTCACTTTCACATTGCGCCGGCAAGTTTGCTGGATTGTTCGGATTGTAATTGGATGAAGATGCAGGTTCATTTCTGGGAGAATGCTCAGGTGACTCATCATCTGGCTTCTTCTTCTTCTTCTTCTTCCCAGTCTTCTGCTTCTTTGATGGACTGCCAGTCGTTTCTTCTTGCTCAAGTGTTGGCAGTTCAAGATCTTCATCATGGTCTTCTGCTTCGGGATTTGTTAGAATCGCAGGTGGTGAAGGTACCACGACAGTCGGAAGAATTGGCTGAGATGATCGCGACTGTGACGGCAAAGAGACATCACCCCCCAAGTCGATTGAGCCCGCTTGAGGATGAAATGGACTGTTTTTGCCGTTTAAGCGCTGCACCTCCTCTGCCAGGTTTGTCGTGCGGCGGCACTGGACTGTCCGGTGACACACTGCGTGGTGCTGGCGGCATGGGATGATCAGGCTGATGTGGAGGATCCGGAGGAGGATCTGATATGTTCTCGTCCGGTGGAGTTGGAGGTCTTGGATCAGGCATGGGATGGTCCGGTTGATCAGGTGGCAGCCGCGCGTCAGGTTGTTGAGGTGCACCCGCGGGATCCGATGGATCTGTCTCGATGGGCATTGGCCGGATGGCCGGCGCGTCCGAGAACGACTGATGAACGGATGAAAACATCACAGCGTGCCAAGTCTTTGGAACATAATTCTCCCAATTGCATTTGGATGCAGGCACGACCCCAATCCTGTTCAGCTGATCAGGCTGCCAAAAGGATAGGATCGCATCGTCCGGAGGTGACGTAATTGGCGTGTTGATGCCGATGGTGTGGACGAATGCTGTGCATGCATTGTACTGAGTGGATGAGATGCACAATTGTCTCAACTTCTTACAACCATTCCACATGTTCTGACATCGCCAGTCATTAGGATCTTGTTTGAAGACATCGATTTCAGTCCCAGGTGGGTACTGCTTCATCGTCTTCTGAAACTTCTGGACTAACGGATCTTGGATGACCAATGGTTGAGCGTCCTTGTTGAACGGGAGGTCCTGAATTCTGACCGCAAGACTGCTGCTAGTCATGTTGAACTCCTTGTGAATGGCTTCCATCTCCTTTCTCAGGATGTCCACCTGCTTGATGGTGAATGGTTTGAAAAGGTCCTCCAAGAGGTACTCCTCGTTGTCAAGCGGTTTCACCTTAGAATTTTTACACCTTCTGAAGATCGGTCTCATTACCTCGGGAGGTAAGCAGTGCATCAAGCTTGTGGGCTTGAGACTTCTGAGCCCGGATTCAGGATCTTTCAGTCCGTATGCACAGAAATGGAAATCTGCACAGGTCACGGATGGATCTGAAAACAGTTGCTGCATAGCCATATCTTGGATGTCTGAGGATTTTCAATGATGAAATATCTTCCGTGCTTCAGCTGATACCGCGCAATGGATGCCACAAACTCAACCATGGGAAGATAGCGTTTCCGCTTCTCCCAGACTCTTTGTTGGTCTTGTTGGATGTTCTGCGTATTTGACCATGGTCCACAGACCGGTGCCATGAGGATTACATCAGGCGCTTGCTCCTTGATGATCTCCATGACCATGTGTCGTCCCTTGGATGTCATTGCATGGAATCCGGCGCGGATGTCTACGGGAGTCCCAACCTTTAGACCTGAATGTGCCTTCACTCTTGCAACTCCAGCAAGGTCGACGGGTGCATGTCCTGCGCCGGATACTGGAACTGCCTGACGGTTCATGCCAAAAGCCTTGCATGTAATCTTGTCACATTGAGGTGTGTGCTTGATGGTCATGTAGAGGTTCCGCATCTGACTGATGCTGAGGAGGATCGGTACAGTTCCTTGTTCAAGGAAAACGCTGGATTGCATGCCAGCTGCCCATGGATCTGGTACATCCGTTGTCCAGGATCGCATAGGTCGGATTGTGCTGAGGGTTGATGACAGGCGCCATCAGCTTTGTCGCCAAAAGGCTGTTGTGACGGACAAATTGTGTTCTGAAACTGCATCTGATTGGATCAGCTTCCTGTGGATGGCCTCTTTCTCATGATGCTCATATGCGTCATGGAATGCCATTAGCGCTTGTCCTGTGCTGGATGTGTCATGGGATGAGTGCCAGCCTTGTTCGTTCCATGTCCATGATTGATCCCAATCTTGGTGTGTCCAACCGGCATAGGTAGGCTCTGTGGATGGTGCAGTCTGCTGGATGGCGGGCTGCTCCTCCGTCTTCTCTGCGATGGCTGCGAACGTCTTGGATTTTCCCTTGTCATGTCCGCTTTTTCCCTTGCCATTCTCATAGGGTGGATAACCCTTGTTTCCATCATAGGGATACTGGAATTTTGATTGTCCTTTCTTTCCCTTCTTTTCTTTGCCTTTTCCCCAATATGCCTGGTCGTAGGGATCATAATTTTCATTGGCCATATTGGCCTCACCTCGTTGGTGACTGCCCTTCTTGTTTCCTGATGTTCCCTTTCCTTTTCTCTTCTTGAATCTGAAATTTCGCCCTGACACTTTTCTTGCTATGAACGCATCGTTCTCCTCGAGGACCCAGAATGTCTCTTCATCGTTTTTTGACATGAATCCTTCAAGTCCTTCTTCATCCTCAACCCAAAAAGCCTTCTTCTCCTTCGTATTCACCTTGTTCGATGATGAAGAATGTGTTGCTTCGGTTGCCTCCCTGAGGTCGGATGGATGGATCTTGAATGGATGTTTTGGTCGTGATGAAGAGTTCATGGTAGTGTGTCTTCAGCATCTCATAGGAGTAGTTCTCTAGTGAAATGTTTCTCAGTGACATTGCACTGGTCAGTCTTTCTCTCTGCTGATCTGACAATTGAATTTGAATAATGAAAAACTGCGCAATGAGATTTTCCCTGGAGGGAAATGCGTCCCGCTGTCTGTCCTGCATCCCCGTGATATACTGTCCGAGGACTGTTGGATCACCCTCATCGAGCAGGACTGGAGGCGGTACTCGAGTACCTGCTTGCTGATGTCGAGCAATTGTTCTTGCATTTGCGTCCTGTACGGACTGTCGAAATGATGGGGACTGTGCCGTGAAAACTGGCATCAAGTCGATCCATGCTGCCTTCAATCTCATGAGAAGTAAAAATGAGGAACTCTTGGTTCTGCCTTCTGTGATTGAAGAAACTGAGGAGCCTGTGCAGGTACACGTTGGTTGCACCTTTCAAAAAGTACTTCTTCAGCGTGTTCTTGAAGTAGTTGACTCCTTCATCAGGATCTTGCAAAAGGTCATTTTGGAGGACTGCCTTGTACATATAGGCATCTCCTGTGAGTCTGCTTTTGAGCAGAGGTCCTCTCTTGGGTGCTTCCACCGTAGTGATTGTCACCCAGTCGTCCACGAGTTCTTCATACCTAAACCAGCTGACTTTTCCGTCGTCGATGGCGGCTGCTTGGCGGTCATCGATAAATTGAGTGTTTCCTCCGTATAGCCTGATGGCTTGGCCATACTTGAATAGGTTCCCTTGGATCTCTGCGGAAAACTCGCTCCGCTACCACAAATTGAGGCCCGCTGCCGGGGTGCCTATTACAGAAGAAAACTGGTACCCTGTGGTAGTAGAGGTCGTTGATTTGGTCCCTGGATCTATTCCGGAGAGAGCCCAATATGCCAATATGGAGGTTTAGAGGATGGATTTTTCTGTTGGCTTGTGTTGACTGTGAAGCGGTCTGCAAGCCTTTTTATCACTGTACCATGACTGTACAAATGACTTGGGAGGCCTTGAGCCATCATGTCAGCGGAGTGTGTGAATAGGTCAATGTGCAACAAAAAGCAACACACCCCCCACCCCCACCCCCACCCCCCCACCCCCTACCACCCCCCACCCCCCACCCCCCAGGCCAGAGCGGCAACTTTCTGGAGTCCCTCACGGGCAACACGCCGGCGACGGGCTCCTTTGTCTGGCAGGTGCCGCCAACGATCTGCGGCAAGCTGGTGCAGCTGGAGCTGTGCAGCGGCAGCCCTCCCCGGAGGACCAAGCACGCCTGCCACAAGTCCGATCCGCCGCTGGGTGGACTGGCTTTGGGCGTTTTGTTTCTTCTTTTTTTTCTTCTCTCTTTTTTTGATTCCTGGACCTCTATTTTTTTAAAATCTCCTGGATCACTGGTTTGGTTGGACTGGTGGGTGTTTTTTGTGTTTGTATTTTTGACCTGGATCACTGGTTTGGTTGGACCTGTGTGTGTGTGTGTTGTGTGGTGTTTTTGAGTGATCCACCAGTGAAGTTTTTGCGCCATAGCAAGGCTGATGGTTCATGGAGAGTGTGTGCCAGAAGAAAGACCCGTCACGCTGACGACCACCACTACGGGGCTGGCCGCTTTGCGCGAAATGGGCTTTCTTTCTCTGCACAGGCGATCTCGGTATTGGGCGCAGCCAGTCCAAAAAAGCGAGAGCACAAGAACTGAGCACAAGGAAGCCTCTGTGGCTTTCGTGGTCGTGTGGCTGGGTCCTCTACCTTCGTATGTTGCAGCCTTTGCTGCAACCGCTGCTCAGGCCGGAGCCAGCTTTCTGGTTTTCCACACGCATGAGGAGCCGTCGCCCAGTTCTGGCAAGGTGGAGTTCCGCTATATGTCTCTGGAGGATTTAGCCGGGCGGCTATGGAATATTGAACCGGTGCGGAATCATTTCAAGCTGAGCTTTGCAGAGTTCGCGCAGCGGGTCGCAGAGTGCTACGCAGATGACAATCCTGCCAAAGGGAACGACCTGAAGCCATTCTACGGCGCGCTGTTCAGTGAAGAGCTCTCCCAATTCTCTCACTGGGGATGGACTGATTTGGACATGATTTGGGGGAACTTGGAAGGCTTCCTGACTGCAGAGCTGCTTGAAGGCTATGATGTGATTTCGGCGCCCGACGGCGCCAGGCCGGCGCTCTACCTTTCAGGGCAGCTGACGGTTTTCCGGAACAACGAGGTTTGGCGGGGGTTTATGGAGGGCTGCCTCGCAGGAGGAGGGCATGTGAACTATGGGGGCTGCTACGTGGAGAGCTTGCTGTCCGAGGCCAATGTCTTTCTGGACGAGAAGGTAGCCATTTGGCATGCCGCGCTGAGAGGCGGCGCTTGCCCAATCTAGGTGTAAATCTAGAATCAGGGAACACATTTTTGTGGCTGGGCTCCTGATGGTTGCCTGAAACACCACCCCATTTTAGGGGTACCTTCAATCACACAGACGCAGGTGTTCAGACGAATCCATTGTTGCAGCCCGAGCAGCCACGGGACAGGGTCGGTCCGCTGGCTTGGGGGGCTCATGAAATATGTCAGTGTCTCCAAATAGGACTTGGATCCCCCCAAAAATGAGGTTGGTTGGTTTCGCACGGGTTTCCTTCACTGTTGTTGGCATGTTGTTAGGTTTTTAGGGTTTGTTGGTTCTGGTCATTCTTAGCAGAAATCTGCACTTTTTTTTTGCTACTATACAACAGTTGGAAAGTTTCCTTCACATCCGAACAGCCTATTTGTTGGTTGATCAGAAGGTCCTTTACATGGGATGACCATTGCTTGGAAAACACTAAGATGATATTTCCCACATGGGAAAAGTTGCCTATGGTCATTTCAAGGGGCCGGACAAACATATTTTGACCAACCTCCGCTTTGGTGCATTTTGCTTGCCTGTTAGGACTTTAACTTTTTGCCAACTAATGGGTTTTCCATTAAACCACTAAAAGTTAAACTGTTTGCAGGGGAGCAGAAAGCAACCGAGTGTCCATTCTGCGCGCCTCAGGCGCCCGCATCTTCGTGGACTTCTCGCTGCTCCTGGCGGAGCCTCGGTGGCAGCGCCTGGGCGGCGGTATTTTGCGCCGCGGTCGCGGCGGGCGGCTGCTGCTTGCTGGGCAGCCGGCGTGGGAGCCCTTCGTGGACATCGAGCGCCGGAACATGGAGGTCCGCGCGGGAACCCAAGAGAAGCGGTTGCCCTCGCACCGCGCGGCGAAGTTCCTGGTGGGGGCTTGGGAAGGATACTTCTTTCGGTACCCCAACTCGTCTGGTTCTTGGGAGAAAGGCAAACAGATCAAATAGTCCCGGCAAACAGGAGGCGACCCCCTTAGCTTGCCCTCACCGGGATTCCTTGTTCAGCCAAGCAGGCTTTCCAGATTTGGTAAAGTATGGGCACAGCCTTGCGTTCTGGGCGCACTTTGTCAAATCCTCATCTGAGGGCACACACAGCCGATTGAATCTGTGGAGGATCCTTTCTGACTGAATTACCATGATCACCCAGACAATGTTGGACAGTGAGCAGAAAGAACATTTGGTTTCTGGAGATCTGATCGTGAGTGGCAGCATTGCAAAAACCAGCTTCTGCCTGACATTGTTTGTTATTTGAATCGGAAGTTATCAACATGCAGACAATGCATGCGGCCCCAGTTTCCTTTCGTGCAGGTGCACTTGTTGGAAAACTCGAGCGATTGCTACACCGAGTTCGGAGAGGGGTGGAGCTATGTTTGCATTCCATCAGAGGCCAACGATGCTCTGGGGGTGGCATATGAGATCAATGGAAGCCTCTTTCTGTGGCCCTCGCCCCTTCACGCAGTCGAAGGAGGAGTGGAGTTTGCCGCGATGCATTTGCACAGAAGCAAGGCCAAGTTCAGCATGGAGGACTGTAGAGATTCGGAGGACGTGAGCTGCCAGAAGGACAGGGGACCCCATTTTCTCAATTTTGTGCTTTTAAACATCTCTCTTTCTTGGACCGCGCAGTAGGTGAGTTTCCCTTGGTTTTTTTTCTCCAACCAAGAGTGTTTTGGGGCGATGTGTTCGAGAGGAGGGCTCCGCGATAAGCTGTGAGTGCGCAGCCCCTACTTCCAATCGGCACCTCGCTGAGACGTTCCGAATTCCGAACATCGTCCACTTCGTGCTGACGGACCGAATTTGGGAAAAGGTTTGTTTATGCTGGTCCAATTGCTTTCAAGGAAAACCACGAGGCAGTTACTTGAGCAGGTGTTAACAAACAAAGGGGGATTGGCCCTTCGGTGGCTTGGATTGGTGGTGAGATTTGGTTTTATCTCGCCCTTCCATGAGACGCCTGAGCTTGATGGGGTCCCTGAGAACTCGTGAGGGGACGAGCTCTAAGTTTCCCACAAAACCCCCGGCTCGCGACATGTCCCATTCTCGAGATGGAGTCGGATCCATGTTTGGTCCAAAAGTCAGAGATGCTGATGGACAAAAAGGAGCCACGTCGCACCAGCTGGGATGGATCAAATTCGACCACTCGTTGAGCCGATCCCAACTGGTGCGGGAGTTTGGAATGATTTTGTCCATCCACAGTTGAGTCTTTCACCAGACATCGGACCATGTGTGTGTGTGTGTGTGTGTTTCAAAGTAGGGTGCCGCCACATTAAGACATCCGCTCGTTCTCTGTGGCGTTGGCCTCAAACGAGTCCTTCACCTTGGCACGTCGACCGAGCCGACGCCGACCGAGCCGACGGGGCCAGGACCGGGACACCCGGTTCTTCGACTGGCCCTGCTACGCCGCGCTGCGCAGCGCGTGGGAGCAGCTGCGGCCGGAGAAGCTGCTGGTGCATCTGCTGGACGGCGTGGAGCCAAGCACCGCCAATGCCTGGTGGGAGGTGTGGATTGGGACAAGCCGGGAACTCTGGGGCAAGGAACCACCTACTCATTGCATAGGCCTTTCCCCTGTTCATACACTTCCTGTTTTTGTATAAATGGTGGTTTGGGGATTTGAACCCCTGGCTTTGTAGAAGGTACCACCGATTCGGCTCCAAACCATGACTCACCAGCAGGGGTTCAAACCACCGATTCCGCTCCAAACCGCCAAACAACGAGGGAAGCTGTGTGTCACAAACCCTCCCGCACCCCTCCCCCTCCCCCAACCCCCCACAAACCCCTCCCCCCTCCCCCAACCCCCCCCCCCCCCAACCCCAACCCTCCCAAACCCTCCCAAAACCCCCACCCCCCCCAACCCCCTAACCCCCCCCCCCCATCCCCCGAACAAAACGAACGCCGGGTGGTAGATTCCTCGGTCTCCTTTTGCCGGCAGACAGAAACGCGCCAGGCCGCCCGGCGCTTCGTCACGGGCGTCATCCCCTTCCCGCGGTCCTCGGTGCCCTTGGCGCTGAACGGCGTGCTGGTGACGCACCCGGCCTTCATCGCAGACTTCCACCGGATGGAGGCGACACGGATTCTCTTTTTTTTGTTTTTTTGTTTTATTGTTTTTTCTTATCTCTGTTTGTTTTCTTTTTCTTCATCTTTTTTTATAACTAAGATAATTGGTTGGACAAAACGTGTACGTCCCACTGAACGACTTTGCATCTAGCTGCTGGCCATTTGCCAGGGCCATCTCGTTTTGGATGCGAGATGTGGAGGACTCTATGTGTCCTTCTTCCCCGTCCATGTTTGCTCCGAGGGTTTGTTCAGGGTTGCTTTGCACCAAGCCACAAGGATAGAACATCGGCGATGTTTCCATACCAATCTCCTACCCTTTGCGATTCGGATTTTGGAGCCTCAGGTGGCTTGGGTCAAAATCAAGCCACCAGGAAACCGCAGGATATAGCGCTTGTTCCCATTGAGAGTTCCATTTTGGGTATCTCTTTATCCACTCCCAGGTGTTGTACCAGTGGGGTGGCATTTACATGGACACGGACGCCATCTCGCTGCGGGGCTTCGATTCCTTGCGGCGGTGGCGGGCTGTGCTAGCCAGGCACCGGGCTCCGTTCTGTTTCCGGGTGGCCATCTCTGAGTGGTGTCTACATAGGTGTCCTTTTTACGTTTGCTTGGTGGTTTAGATTGGTTTTACTCCATTTACCGCCATTGATTTTTTCAAAGGTAAGCTATTGGGGTCTAATATTGAGTATTCGGGGGCCTTGTCGGGAATCCATAAGGACACCAACCAGTTTGCGAAACCCTCCTTTTGGGACAAGCCCATTCAGGTTTGTAAAGAGAATGACTAAACGAAATGTTGGAAGGGTTGCTCAATTCATCTTCATGTTGTTTTGGAAACTAGAATGCATCACTGTTTAAACTAGGGAGCGCTTGTCAGATATGGCAATGGCTGGTCTGCCTGCAGGTTGTTAACTTTGATTTTCACGTGAAGATGGACCTGCGCAATCAAGGGTCAATCGTGCAAGCTTTTTGCAGGCCGGAAAGCAAACAACCACAAAACCAACAATAAACCAACACTAAACCAATTCCAAACAGAACTGGGGCCAGCTCAAAGGACAACTCAAACAATTCAGAACCAGCACTGCACACCCTATCCCTTCTCACAAGCTTGGTGGCTCCCAGCCATCCGCTTCCTTCGCTTTTTAGCCTTTTAGGGTCTGGTGGTCGGGTTTTTTCATTTCACCCACCAAACGCTCTTCCTTTTTGGCATCCTTAGCTTTTGAGCTTCTTGGTTTGTTTGTTTGGGTTTCCATCTCACCCACAAGCTCTTCATGGAGCAGGCGCTGGCTGAGCCGAAACGGCTTCGGCCCGGCTTCCGCCCAGCCTCGGCGCCGCCCAGCCACGGCTCCGCGCATCGGTCGCATCCGAGGCAGGGGGGCCGGGAGCTCCGGGCCACCGTGGGGCTGATGATCTTCGAGCCGCGGAGCGCCTTCCTCTCGGCCGTCTTGGAGCGGATGAAGCGCGCCTACAGCGGGGCCTGGGGCGTCCACGCGGGGCGCCTGGGGCCAAAAAAACGGAAAAGAAGCTGAGTGAGGCTGAGGGGGTTTTGCTCTAATAGAGCTGGGGTTTGGACTGGAACAAGGGTTTTGAACATAGTTTTCTGCTTGCGCGTTGGTTCTGGGGGATCTTAGGGTTCAGCTTTCAGGCCGAAAGATGACTTCTTGTTGGTTTGGCTGCTTCCGCGTGACTGCCCGATTGCTTTCATCCTTAAGTGGTGTTCTCAAAGCCTATTCGCGGCTCTGTTGGCAGAGTCAGACTAGACACGCCGCGAGTCCTTACCATCTTTCTGGCAAGCCTTTAAGCAGGCGAAGGGGAACCACTCCGGTGAGTGGCCACACAACAAATCGCATTGTTCCTTTTTTCCCGGGCCCGTTTTTTTTTTCTTCCCCCGAACGCGGCTCGCGCCAAAAATGGCGGGACAAAATTCACCCCGGCGTCAATGGATTCGTCCGCCTTTCTTGGCTCAGTTTTTCACAAAAAAAAAAAACACGGGCCAAGGCATGTGCTGGACGACACGCTGGAGACGAGGCCGCCGGGGGTGGCGATCCTGGGGCACTCCGGAGGCTTCTTCGCGTCCTCGTGGCACGCCGGGGACTTTGTGGAGCTGATGGAGGAAGCGAAGCTCGTGGATTGGAGCAGGTGGGCGAACCACCGGTGGGTAGGGCCTTTGCCCGGGTCGATTTTGGGTGTTTTTCCACGAGGTCAACGAGTTGGCCCCTTGTTTTACGTTTTTGTTTTCGAGCCCAGCGCGGGTAGGTTCCCTTCTTGCTTGTCAACCGTTTTGATGCCGGCGCTTTTGGATTAAGTAGGTGGCACCGAGTTGTTCGGGTAAATGGGGTAGGGAACAGTTACCCAGCCTTTGATTCTTCACACCGTCTTTTTTAAATTTAAACATGGTGGGTTGAAATCGCGAAAGGGATGCGGGGATGCAAAGAGCCAAGCGCAACAGAGGTGCTGGTCCCTGCACCTCTACAACTCTCAGACCAAGCGCCGCGGCTGGACGAGCGAGCTTGTATAGTGGGGGAGGGAAGATCAGCAAGCCATTCAAACTCACATGGCTGTGGCTCAAGACCAATGGGATCCCATTTTGGGGTAGGTGCACCCATCTTAGCATCTTAGTCTATTTGAGTGGGGATTGGGAGGTTCACTGGGGGTACGATTTGGATTTTGACCCATGGCCAAATGCAGAGATCGCAGAAGAGCTCTGCAACTTGACCTTGAGCCCAAAAAGGCGGGCAGAACCGCAAAAGGAGATGCCTGCAAGCCCCGTTTTGCCCAAAAACTCGCAGTCCGTTGATTGCATAGGCTCCGTTAAAGTGCGGGGCACCTTGCGGCAGGGAGTCAACCTTATTTTATAAAAGAACGTGAGAAAGCTAAAACCTCCTGCAGTCATGTCCGCAGGCGCGCTGCCATTGCGCCATGGTCCCTTGCACAAGTGAGAATTGAACATTCTGTACCAAGCGGCACTTTGCCATGACCATGATTCGAACAAAAGCTTAGCTGCATACACATTGATTGCAAGGCTTCCTGCAACACACGTTGCACATGTTGAGGGTTTCAAGTCCCAGATTCGAAGAGTGATGGTCGAAGGCGACTCGCCGCGCGTTGAAGGCGTCGTCCGTTGGGCGCTGCTCTGTCTTTCTGAGTGGGGATCTTCGGCTCAGCATTGGTGCTTAGACTGTCCCTTGTGCTTGGACTCCGGCGGGCTTGTTCTGTCCTTCTTTTGGCCCTGATGGGCAGCGTCGGTCGCTGCGCCCCTCAGTTACTTTGTTGGCTCTGGGGGTGTGCCTGGCATGGCACCACACGTGCTAAATTTATTTTTGCCAATACGTTTTGAACTGTTTAGAATCCTTACTAAAAATGACTCCTGGAAGGATTCTTGGCCTCGAGAAGGAGTACTTGATTCTTATTCTTTTTCTGGCGGGAGTAGTCCTTTTCTGGCGCGGCAAACCTGCTTTTCTGGTGCTCGCTGAGGAAATACACCAAAGATCCCATAGAGCTCTGCCGTAATCCTGGTTCGCCGTACAAAGATGGAGATTTGTGTCGTGGCTTGCGCATGGCCTTGGAGTCTTGCTTGCAACTGGCTACATTTACGTGGGGATTAATTATGGATGTGTTTTTTCTCAGGGGTCACCTTTTTTGGTTGGTTTTAAGGGGAAACAAGAAGGACAGCCACCCGAATTGTCTACCGGCCATGGACGCCCAGACAGTTAGCCAAGGATATGAATGACATCTTCAGCATGGTGGATCAGGGGTATCCTATTATGAGCAGCAACTCGGAGAAGATTAGTAGAGATGAAAGGCAGGATCATTTCTGGCGGCAAGTGAAGTGCAGTGGGCCATGCCACAGGTAGTCTAGAAGAAACCTTCCGAAAACGTGCTGCTGAGCAAGCAAGCGCATTTCCTGATTTGGCCACTCGGCAGCAAGGAGTCTATAAGCAAAAGTCAAAACTCTCCATCATCTACAGGGGACGTGAGGGTTTTCTCACAAAAGCAAACATCTTGCCGGTGCTGATTGAAGGTGTCAAATTCTTTGGACATCCGGCGCGTGAGCGAGAAGGCGGAGTGCTCTGCGCATGAATTCGCACATGAATCAAACACCTTTTGGGAGGGCGCGGGAACTGAGAATCCTGTGCAGGCGGAGCTGTGATGCGTTGCGATCCGCTGCAACGTGCGATGCCCAGGGCTTCTACTACGACCGACCGCAAGCTCCGTGTCGACGCGGCGGAAGCGGACGACGCCGAGGACGCGGCGCGGGCGGTCGGAGGGCGGCTGCGGATCAAGGTGACCGGCGAAGCGCCAAACCTAGCGGCTGGCTGTGCAAAGGTGGAAAGCTGCCGCATGTTGCATGCCACGTTCCCTGAGCACAAGCAAATGTGCATTTTGCCGACGAATCAGATCAAGACCGGAAGATGTGGTTGCGAAACCCCGAAGAGATCCAGCACCCAAACACTTGTTTTCTTTTTCCGCAGCTTCCGTGCTTGCCATGTGGGTGTGACGTGTGTGACGTTTTTTTGTTTTGTTTTTTTCATTTCTCGCGGCGAGAGCGAAGAGCAGAGCCCCCGCGGCCATGGCGCGGACGAGCTTGTCCAAGGGCCCTGCCTATGTGCCCCTGGAGGCATGTGGCAAAGTGGGGAAATGGGTTTGGGTCAAAACCGGTTTGGGGTACCATTTTGGTTGGTAGGTGAATTCACCACCCATTTTAGAACCTAGTTTAGTGGTTGGATTGGGATGTTCACTGGGGGTACGATTTGGCTGTGGGTCAAAAATAGGGCAACCGCAGAATGCAACCCTGGCAAGTGGACACATGGACGATTTAACCTTCCAATTCCTGGTGGTTAATTGTAAACGCTTCGCGTTGCCCGCCTCGGCCCAGCCTAGTTTGAGGGAAGGGTCAGGAACACCGAAATCCAGTGTTGGGAAGGTCCGAATCCTACTGAAAGCTTGTGACCGCACCAGTTCGCCCGTGCTAGTTCGATGTTCGGAAGCCGTCCTGCTCGGAAGGTTTGAAATCCAAAACCAAGACTATCTCAGCTGCTCAGTGCCCTTGGAAAAAAAAGGACCTCTTTCTGGGGATGAGCATTTTTAGTGGGGCTTGGCCTCCATAAAAAGGGGAACAATAATTGGTGTCACTGAACAACCAAGACCAACTTTGGGTGTTTGGGCACCTCCATTTCACGTGGCTGGCGGCTTGCCATGACATACATTTCTTGCTCGGTTGCTCAGCCCAAGACAGGTACATGGTGGGAATACAAACCTCCATTTGCTTAAGTACCCCGGAAAAATATCCTCAATAGTGATAGTTTCCCTGTAAAACCAACAGGGGGACATAAAGAATATTCATTTCAGCAAGGATTCATCTAAACACACATCCTTCGGTCCTTCAGGATGAGAACCGCAACAAAAAACCTACCGTGTGAATTCACCTAGCAGCTTTGCAGTTGGTAGCTGGTGGTCATTTGGCTTCTACTTACATGTTCCTTCAAACAGCTGTGGGCTGGGGGCCGAAGCGAAGGGGAGCTGGGGTAGGCCGTGCTTGAGTGGGTTGCTTGCTCAGACTAGGGCTGGCCAGCTTGGGCTGCGCTGCTTGGGCAGCCGGAGTGAAGGGCTGGGGCACGTTGGGCCAATTCATGCCATGCGCCAAACCAGGCTGCTGGTGGGGAAGGCCCAGCACATTTTCGACAAAAATGGACCCATGGAGCTGGACGCCGACGAACCCCGAAAATTTCAAGGCCCGCCGGACAGGATTTTGGGCCAGCCGACATGGGTGGGGGGGGGGCGGCAAAATTTTGGCCGGGGGGTGAGCGTGAGATCTGAGCGCCCTTGGCCCCTTTGGGGCCGAGGCGAATTTTGACCCACACCCAAATCCGCGGGTGGGGTGGGGGGGTGTGGGGGGGCCGTTACGCGGGAATTTGGACCCCAACATGGGGCTCCCCCCCCCCCCGCAAAGGGGTGCGTCGACGAATATTTTTTTGGAGGGTACTGTACCTTCTTTTTTATGGTTTTTGTGTGGGAAACCAAAAGGAAAACCAGCGGCCTCAAGTCTCGAGCGACCTGCCTGCGGTTTCAGTCGAACAGGTCAGCACCCACGGCTTTGATGACGACCTGGATGAAGAGTCGGTGCGTGCCTGAAAGCTGTGTGCGCTGGGTGGGTGTTGTTTTGTTTTTGAGGGTATTTGTACAGGTGGTTGTTGGCAGGCTTTTCTGAAAAAACAGAAATACAGGCAAAGCCGTGTTTGTTTGTGGTTCCTAAAGCTTTGGGGGTCTGTGCTCCATGCAGTAATCGGGTAGTAAGCAACCGGAGGTTTCTGGAGGGTTCCAGGTGGTTCCGGAGCTGTTGGGGATACCACCTGGGCATATTCGAGGCTAGGCAATTCACTTTGTTCTTTTTGCGTTAGAGGGACACTACCATTTTGAGGGTCCAAATCCCAAATCCGACACACACACGCACACACACAGAGCTTAGCAAAAGCGTGGCAGATGGTTGACGACGCCTTTCTGAGGCAGCCTACCGGCATCGTCCCTTTAGCCAGTGGCCTAGCGCTCCGTAGCTTCCGTACCTAGACCCTCTTAAAATGCGGCGGGTGGGGGGTGGGGGGGTGGGGGGGCCAAAACGACAATGTAGATTTGATGCTCCTCACTCCCGGAGTTGCTGGACTTGGTTTTTTTCCCGTTACCCAGACCCTCTTAAAATGGGGGGGGAAGGGGGGGGGCAAAGGCACCATGTAAGTTTGATGCTCCTGAGTTGCTGGACTTACTAATGCAAACGTTTTTTGGTGGCAAGCAACAAGTTCGGATACTGTTTGGCCAAGTTGCCATCCGCAGGTCAGCGAATGGCGCGGCGACGCCCGGCTGCGGCCTTAGACGCGTGTGGGTTGCCAAATGGGACCAGGGTTCCCCATATTTTTGATGGGGTTTTCAGCATCATTTTTTTGGATGCCCATCAAGTCTAGTTGCGAGGTTTTGATTTTTTGGGGCGAGTGGAAACAAATTCGGCAGCGACCCGGCCGACTTGGCGCTTTTCAATCGGGTCCGAATAGCCGACCTTTGATACACCTTGACGCGTTCCTTTTGCGGCCAGACCTTGGGTGTGTGTGTGTGTGTGTTGTTTTTTTGACTGGATGGACTCAAGCCTAGAGCTACCTAGTAGCCCTGTTGAATTTCGAAGGTCTACCCGCTTTGCGATGGATCAAATCGCCAGGTTCGGGGGGGTTTGCTACGTTTGGCTGTGGGTCAAAAAAAGGGTAACCCCAAAATGGAACCTTAGCAAATGGGAAACATGGACTACAACCTGCGGTCCCCGAGTGGTTTAAGTTTTTGACCCACACCCATTTAAGTAGATGATGACCCCGAAACGCTGGGAGTCGCAGAAACAGGGTCACTAATGCCAGATCAGGGTTCTCAAAACCCTGGCTGAGAATAGCTGGTGCTGGTTTACCCACATCCAAATCTAGCTCGTGCCACCAAAGAGGAATTTCAAGCATGTTTGCCCACTTCAGCCGCGAAGAGTGGAGTCTCGAGCCACACCCACCACCCGCCACCCATTTTGAGATTCTTCGGGACCGAAGCTCAGGTGCCACGAAACACCTCGCGGCTGGTGGGCGGTGTGGCCGTGCTCTGCATCCTCGGAGCGCTGGCGCCGGGCGCTGAGGTCGCTTTGACCTGAAAGCCACCTGAGCCACGTCCTCAAAACCCGGGTAGGTGAAGGTTAGGGACAATCCCAGCCATACATAGTTGCGGATATCCGCCTCCTCAATTCTTGAAGCAGGGTTCTGGGTCGACCATTGTACTACCGGGTTTTGAGTGTGACTCACCTGACAAAGGGGAAACAAGCGGTTTGTGGGAAAGAGTGGGTGAAAAATTGGGGAATCTCACCCAGGGTTGGGCAGATTTGGCCGATTGGCACACCCATTGGCTGCACTGCCTCGAAAGTGGAGGGTACTGGCTCTGGAGAGGTTTCCTGTGAGCCCGTGCCCGGGCATCGAGGCTTTGGGCGTGGGCAAGTGTGCGCTTCTCAGACAGCGCAAACCCATGCATATGCGGGTTGCACTCCGCGCGGTTCAGGTTTTGTTGCTGTTGAAGCTGAACACGCTTCGCCAGCCACACGAAGGTCTGGTACAGGACGGGACGCTGGTTGCTGGATGCCTGCTTTGGCTCGACGACATCGCCGCCCGCTGCCGGTTTCCCTTCGCGCGTGAGCTATGCAGAGTCGAGTCCCAGGGTTCCCAGGGTTCCCAGGGCCTAACGGCGGTAATATGGCTGTGGGTCAAAGCCAACAGTACCATCTTGGGGCAGGTGAATTCACCACCCATCTTAGGCTTGATTTTAGTGGGGATTGGGATGTTCACTGGGGGTACAGGGTTTTGACCCATGGCCATATGTTTTCCAGCGAAGAGGTGAAGCGGCGAGGCTCATAGCAAATCGGCTTCGGGATGCCATCGAACCACGGCAGTTCTGGATATCGAGGATCAGGTTGCCAGTTTTTGGTGTTGAAATGACAGGACGTGGTGGAGGGGCCACAGAACGTGGAGGGGCCACTGAACGCGCCCGCAGCCTCCTGGCTGCGAGGGGGGTGAAGCATGTTGAGCGGCATCGGCGCCCACCACAGCAGGGGCTATTCTAGTGGGTGGTTTCACTACCTGGTTTAATTGGGAGTATAAGAAGGATACCCTCCCTCCAACTAACATACCTGAAAGAACATCTTTCCTCTTGCAGGGACCCCTGGTCAGTGGGAGTGAGGGTAATTTTAGTGGGTGGTTGCACTACCTGGTTCAACTGGCAGATATTCTGGCAGAACCGAAAGTAAGTCAATCGTCCCTGACAATGTGCCCGACCTGTTGGCCAGGCTTCCCCGGGGTTTATGGCAAGGCCTACGTAAATCTCTGTTGACCGCTCAGGTGTTTCTCAAATTTTGGGCGCCCTAAAATGGTTGGTTTCCTTTTGGCATCCCTTTAAATACCAACCGAGCGGAGGTTCAGGTATCTTGGAGAAGCTCACAAGTCAGTTTGCACGAAAGGTCGAGCCCGCGGCAGCGCCGCTGGCCTTGCCAGCGCCATGAGTTGCTCGCATCCTCGCATCGCGCGCCGGTACAGCTGCAGCGGTGAAAAGAGAGGAATCGCAACGTGCCCATCTCACTTCACTGGTGGTCATAGGTGTCCTTTTTTGTTGTTTTGGTTGAAAAATAGATGGTGATTCCTGGTTTACCTGGTGGTTTCATCATCTACCAGGGAAACCCATCTATTTCCCCTAAAAGGACACCCATGCTGGTGTCCCCGAAAGAACCCTCGAGGGAAGGCCCACGTGGCACTTGCTGGCTTCTTGTCGGGACCACGCGAAGCCCCGTTTGCTTTCCTTTTTGCTCGCACGCGCGGCTCAAGATGAGACGCGTTGCGAGCTTGCGACACAAAGTGCACAGGTCACAGCGCAGAAGCCGAGTCCAGGAAGGGTGTCCAGGCCACAGGAGGCAGAATTACCACCGATTGTTTCAAGCGAAGGGGCGACCAAGCGCGCGCAAGCGCGCGCCATGGCATCTTTTGTAAAGGCAGGGGGCGTGGCTTCGGTGGCGGTCGGCTCGCGCCTCGAGCAGATTTTTCTCGAGCTCTGATGATCGCCAGGGCGAGAGAGTGGAGGTCTGGAGCAACTCCCAGAAGGACCGCTGCCTGGAGCCTTCCTTTCTTTTTGCTTGTCTGAAGTGGCTGAAGTGGCAGGCCTGGGTCACCGACGGCGTGGTTTTAGAGGCCCGGGTCGGCGTTTTCTTTTTTTCTTCTTCTGGGTGTTTGGTCAGGTAAATTTTAGTTGCTGGTTTGGATTGGCTTGGGGATTTGGACCCCTGGCTGTTGTAGAGGGTGAATGGGAAACCTCTCCTGCACCGGGCTCCAAACCACCAATTAAGCCACAATCAAAACCCGAGTAGATGAAGGTTAGTACGGGATCCTCCCATTCATCAATAGCTGCGGCCACATTCTTAGTTCTTGAAGCAGGGTTCTGGGTAGACCATTTTAATACCGGGTTTTGCTTATGACTCAATTAGAGGGAAGCTGATTTGGCTGTGGGTCAAAAAAAATAACCACCATGGGACCACAGGTTTAATCCATGCTTCCATTTACCAGGCGTTCCCATTCAGGGCTCCTTAAAAGATTTGACACATGTTGCATTTTCAACCCCAAAATAACGGGAAACCACCATTTACAAGGCAATGTTCAGTGTATAGTGTAAGGATCCCTGGCATTTTGGGTACCTACTTTTGACCACCGCTGCCGTTAGCGGGCCGCGGGGTCGCGCCCGGATTCGGAGAAAACAGTTTGAAGGCGCCGGAGGTGGACTGCGTCATCGATGGCTATGCGATACCTGCAGGCGGTTGGGGGCCATGCGACCGAAGAGAACCGGTGCTGACTTGATGGCCCAAGACAAAAACACGGGTCCCCCAAAAAATAGCCGAAAAAGGGTGCAGGGGGGCGGGGGGGGGGGGGGGGAACAAAAATGAGCTAGATCTGGGGAATTGTTGTATTTAGGGGGGGGGGGGGCAAAAGGAGAGTCCTTTAAATCCCCTCCAGGCTGTTTAGTGGAAAGCTTCGGCGAAATCGTCACTCGCTTCGTCCCGCTCCAAAAAGTTCCCCAACCCACCCGCGAGCCTCGGCCCGCGCGCCGCGAGGTGCTGTGAAGGTCACCTCGTCTGCGGGGACGAAGTGGATCCTGCCGGATCAGGTCTTCGATGTCCTGCGCAAGTATCGCCGGCGGCCATTGGATTTGTCTGCTCGGTCTTTCGGTGGTTTTGGCTGTGGCTCAAAGAAGCGGTGCCCAAAGGGAAACGCCGGCGGCCCTGGGATTTGTCTGGTTGGTCTTTTTGGGTTGTTTTGGATCTGTGGCTCAAAGAACCGGAATTCCAAAGGGAACCCTGGTAAGTGGAAACATGATGGCGTAACCCCTCCTGTTTAATTTCGAGCCACAGCCTTTGCCGGTTGGAAAAACTCGCTGGTCTTTCTTGTGAGGCTGCTTGTTGGTTGGAAAAATCCGCTGGTCTTTCTAGGCTCCTGTACCCAAAAATAGGAAGCCACTTCCCTATTTAGAAAACAAACAACCCCCTGCTTTCTCTTCTTGAAACAGCGGTCTCGTTTTGCGTTTTGAATCTTGATACATAGAGCATGTGGCCAGAGATGTGCGCATTTGCTCCCATGAGGGGATCCCTTTTCGTTGACAGGTTGTGGGAAACCAAGAGGACACCAGCCAGTGTGGGCGGGCAAATCGACCTCGCGGTTTGTATGATTATGAGTATGATGATAGTCATGTATTGTTATTGGCATCATTATGACTGGTACTAAGTTAAGTTTTCTTTTGTCCCTTTCTAACAAATCATGGGGCTGGGGGGGAGCCCAAATCAGCTTATCAAGGGCTGGGCTCCCTTCCCCTCCGCTCCCTCCCAAGCCCGCATGAAACAAGGACTGGGGTTAGTTGGTCCTTGGTCCTTGGGTCACATGCCACTTCTCGCGCGACGCCAGGGCGCAGGGGGAGCACTTGGCCCCGGCCCCGGCGCCCGCGCCCAAACCGGCGCCGGCCTCCAAACCGGCGCCCGTCAGGCGGGCGCGCCGCGGGCCTCGGGTTTCGCCCGGGTTTCGCCGGGGTTTTTGTGGGATGCACTCCGCGGTTTGAAGGAGTCCAGCCCAGGTTTTGTTGACGCACATGCGGCGGCCCCCCCCAATGGGCGGCAGTGGGGCGTCCCTAAACCAGCCTCGAAAATGGTGGTTGTTGTTTAACCACTTCTGTGACACCAAAAGGGAATCTCCTTGACCTTGGGTGTGTCTGTGGGGTGTCATGGCCCTTTCCATTACGTACCACAGAGGTCGCGTTTCAGCCCCACCAGACCACTGCTCCACTCCCTTTCCCGATTTAACGAGCGTGCCAAAAAGCATCGGAAGCTGAATGAACCTTTTTTCGGCCTCACGCGCACCTGGGCGTTTCAACTTGAAAAGCCCTTTCGTGGCTTTTCCTTTCCCCACCCCCCGAGCCATCCCAAAAAAGGAGACCTTGAGAGACACCAGTATCTAAAAAGAGCATCTAAGCTTGATGAAATACAAATGATTGAACCATAATCCATTGAACTATGATCCCACAATCCAACAAATATTTGTCATAGATGTAATACATCGAAGCCACGCCCGGCTCGGCGGCCCAGGGCAGGCATGTGCAAGAACGCCTGTGGCAGACCTGTGCAGCCGGGGCTCACCAGGCCTGTGTCCTTAGCGAGACATTTTCCAGGTTTTGACCCAAGTCTTCCCCAGATTTCGCTCTCCTTTTTGTTTTTTTGCTTTTTTGGGGTCCCTTTGTTTTCCACTCACCAGACAAAAAAAGATCATTTTTTGCTGGGGTCCTAATTCCAGCCTAGAGTCGTGGTTTCAAGGCACAAAGAAAACACGTCCGGAAGTCATTTGGGTGTGGCTCAAAATTTCAGAGCTAGGGTTACGCAGGGTTTGGTCTTTGTTTCCATTCAGGGGCCATTTTGGGTACATCCTTTTGAGCCACAGCCATTTTTATTTAGAACCCTGAGAATGCCACACTCCAAGCGGAAGTGAATCACGGCTGGCCGCGGAAGGGTTGGGTTTTGCTGCGGTTTGGGCTGGGTCCGATGAAGTTGCTGGTAGAGGGGTTTTGGAGGCCCTGGATCTGAAACCACTCCCAGTGCGCTTTTCAAAGCCAAAAGGAGAGGGTTTGATCAGTTTATACTACTTGCTGGTTCGATCGGATGGGAATGAGAAGTGGAGCAAAACCATCCATCCCAATGGCGTCCTTTACGGGAATCCCGGAATCCCCAAAACCGGTTCATTCCCAACGCCGGGCTGGGTCATTCCCTACCTATCGCACCAGCAAGAATATTGAAACACGCAGTTGGCCCAACCCGAGTCTCGGGGAATTTGGCTGCGGGTCAAGAATGGGGTAACCCCAAAATCCAACCTTGGTAACTGGAAATATGGACTAGCATTTGCGGTCCAACTCCTGGCGGTTTAGTTTTGACCCACAGCCATTTGAATGACATCGTTTGTCAGGGGCATGAAGGCTTTCGACACCTGCTGCGCCTTGGCCGAGATTAGATGTCCTTGTAAAGTGTGTGTGTGTGTGTTGTTTGCGTGTGGTGTGTTTTGTGTTTTCAGGGGGGACACCTTTAAGCCACAAACCTAACTCGTGTCACTGGGCGCCTTCTTTCCTCACCCGTCGCCCTGCTGTGTTGAACCAAGACTTGTGTTTTTTTTTTTGGGGGGGGGACCGCTATTTCATGACGCACCCTTTTGGCTTACGCTTCTCTCCTTGCGAAGGCAAGAAGTGTGCACAGGGAAAAGGAGGACATGATGCCAACTGTCCGCAGCTGAGCTTTTTTCCCGTCGGCACGCCGGAGCCAGGGAGGGAAAGCGGAAAGCGGTGCTCACAGGCGAACCCTGTTTTTTCAACCCCAAACCATAGGTGGGTGGTTTTCTGGGCGGTTTACGCATCACCTATGCCCCAAACCATTTTTTGGTTTCCAGGCCAAACCATCGGGTCAGGAGTTGAAAAAGCACACGGGTTCACCCAGCAGCGCCAAAACAGGTAACATGGTAACATTTGTTGCTTGAAAGGGAAGCCAAAGCGACAACCCACAATTTGTCGGGCACAAACTTTCAAGACACATTGACTCAGACTTTAGGTTCTACCAACATGGTTCTTCAAGGTTTATGTAGGACTTACTATAAGCCCAAGCCGGGTAGCACCATCTAAACTGGCCCTGTCGGGGGTTGTGGGCGCTCGTGGGCTTGTGCTCGTGTATTTGGGCACGGCTGTTTTTCAATGGTAGCCTTTCTGGGGTTGGATTAAAGGGAAACCAAAAGGAAAACCACACTTTTGGAGGCCGAGACGTTTACGCCGGTGAGAATCTTGATGAGGCCCTTCGGACATCATCATATTTGGTTCAGAAGTCTGTCAATCACTCGTGGTTGGTAAATCGTTCCTTTGTTTGGTAGTTCGCGCTAAGCTCTTGGATCACTGTTGGTTGCGACGCTGAAAAAAAGAAGAACCATCTTCAGACCCGCGCTTGAGTGTGCATCACTATTGGCTGCGACGCTGAAACAAAAAAACAGTCTTCAGCTCAGCTCTTGGATCAGGATTGGTTTGTTGCGACTCCGGGGAAAAAGAAGAAACACACAACAAAACAACAAACAGAAAAAGCAACAAAAAACATAAAAACAAAACAAAACAAGCAAAAACAACAACAACACAATGTTCAGAGGTGTCCGGTGTCTCTGAGTGGAACCCCAACTCAAGGCGGGGGCTCCTCGGGCTCGCTGCTGAGACGGGACACGGGACTGGAGGACCCCAGGCACTGGGTGGGGGCGGGGTGGGGTGTCCTAGGGGTCGCGTTGGGCAATTGACTGGCGGTGTTTCCATTGAAACGATCGCCGCGTTTGAAGGTAAGAAAGGAAGCAGAAACCCCGCAAAGGGAAAGGCGAAAGCCTACCACTTCAGTTATATACCCTTTTTGGGTCACAAAAGCCCAGCCCGCTGCAGAGGAAAGAATTGAGCTTCCGTTTTCTGGAAGTCATTCTCGTCGCATTCAGTACAGTTGGTGAGTCTAGCGGAAAAGCTTCTTGTTCAAACCATGTTGAATTGAAGCAGGTGCCTATGGATCGACTCCGGAGCAGGGGTTTGGTTTTGGAGCGAGTGCAGCAACCCTGGAGCTGTGGCATTCAGGTTCCATTTTTTGGGGAAACCGGCCTGACCACATGTCGCGTGTTTTGAGTCTACGTTTGGGGGACTCAAACAAGGGGCTTTCCTCCAGCGGCTTTCGACATCCACGCTCCGCCAGGGTCTGGTTGCAGGAAATCCTGGGCTCCGAGGCTGGGCCGTGGGGTGGACATGGACCAAGGGGGGTGTTCAAAAAAATTGGGGCGTGCCATGTTTTCTCAGGTTGGACCCTCCCCAAAACTGGTGGTTTTGTCTTTGATTTTGTTTCTTCAGAGTAGCACCAGTGCCATGTTTGTTTCTCAGGTTGGACCCTCCCCAAGAATGCTTTTTTTTTTTGTCTTTGTTTTTGTTTCTTCAGAGTAGCACCAGTGCCATGTTTGTTTCTCAGGTTGGACCCTCCCCAAAAATGGTTTTGTCTTTGTTTTTGTTTCTTCAGAGTAGCACCAGTGCCATGTTTGTTTCTCAGGTTGGACCCTCCCCCTACCCCCCCCCCCCTAAAATGGTGGTTTTGCATTTTTTCTTCTTCTTTGCAATAGCACCAGACGCATGGGTTCGCCGCAACCAAAAAGAAGGAGTCACCCATTTGGAACCCTTGTTGGTACTCCGCCTTTGTTGGCCGCGAGCGGCACCCGGGGCCGAGACCTTGCTCGGATCAGGAAGCCCTCGCGAAGTATGCCGGCAAAGCCAGACCCTCGGGATGGTGTTGGCAAGTCGGCAAGCGCGTAGAAGGACATCGAAACACGAGGAGTTTAAGGTCGGGGCGGTAAAGCCCCGAACAAAAATCGCACCTCAACAAGTGGAATGCCGGATAGCAGGGATATTGTGTCTCCAAAACGACAAGGGTTCCTTCTTGGCTGTTTGCTGAAGGGAAGCACACGTCGATGGACCATTCCCGCTACAAGCTGCAGTACTCTCGACATCATTTTTACCGAAGCTAGACTTTTCTCCGTGCCTCAAATGGCGTGCACTTTCGATCGCGAACCTTTTGTTAAACATCATGTACATGGGGATTTGTGTCCGCCAAACATGTTGGAGGTTGACCGCCATCCGATTTGTCCTGGCTCCCTATTGACGTGACCAAAGGAGGCCAACCAGTGGGGAGCAAGTCATTTTAGGTGCTGTAATCATTCACACCGACTCTTCAGGAAACCCTTTTGAGACTCCCACCCCCCAGACCTCCGGAACCCCGGACTCCCGGACCCCCCGGACCCCCGGACCCCCCCGACACCCGGACCCCCGGACCCCCCACCCTCCACCTCCCAGGTCATGGCCGGCGTGGGCGCCGCGGGGTCCATGACTGCGGAGCAGGCCAAGGAGGCCGGCAGATGGATCGATCGACCTGTCGGCTTGGCGAGTGGGATCGATCGCGACTGAGATCTGACGCAGTTCGCCGTAGGCCATTGCATAGGCCTTTTCTTTTTTTGCCTTCTCAAGCAATCTTTTTTTTATATCTCATCTCATCTCCGTTGTTGTACAAATTGTGGTTTGGGGATGTGAACCCTGGTTCTTGTAGAGGGATGGGCAGCCCCTCCTTAGCCACCAATCCAAACCGCCAATTGGCTGGAAGCTGAATGGAAGCTTTGGTTGCCTGGTGGCTGTCCCAAAACCTGCTGGGTGTCAGAGTTTCTGGGGGGAACACTGACCAACGCATCTCTTGAGCCTTGCAGGGAGATCCGATCAAATTGCATCCGGCTCAATCAATGTGAATTGTCAAGAACACCACGTCACATTTGCCCACCTCAACACTTGCTGTCATGACAATCCAAAGCGAGCTGCCAAGCAAGCAGTCCAGAAGAGAGTGAAAGCAAAGCAAGCAGCAAGCAGCCAACACGCAGGCACGCACCCGATTTTCTGGGATTTGCGGAAGCTCCAAATGGACGCTCCTCCACCACCACCACCGGTGCCTCCACCGTTGCACAGGTGCGCTGCCGGTGATTTGATATACCCTCCGTCGTGGGCCCTGTACTAGGTCACTGCAAATAGGGATTGTCACGGATCTTCGAATCAGGATGGACCATTGCCTCACTTGCAAGCGAATCCCCCCCTGTTTGGCAACCATTTTTTGTGACCCCCAAAGGTGATCACCTATTTCTGGGTCCGAGCTGGGCAAGTGAGTTGCAGGATCCTCCCAGGGTTCTTAGACCCCTCTGGAAGGACGGTCTCTGCTGGTGGCATTCCGGTCTTTCGCGGCGGCAACCCGGTGCGGATTTGATGCGGCGAAACGAGTTTTCTTGGTGCGATAGGTGGGGAATGACTGAGTCCGGGTTTTGGGAATGAACCTGAAGGGGTGTCCCTTGAAGGCAACCACAGGATGGATTTTTCTAGTGGTCATTCCAATAAAATTCCCTGCAGAGAAAAAACACCAGTAAGTTTTTGCAACCTGTTGGTTGCATGGGACAACTTTTTTTGTGCACAGACATGCAAAGCTTTGGCCGCTTTCTGGCTCGCGCACGGGCGCATCGTTGAGGTGACATTGTGGTGAAGAACCGACCAGACCTCAACTTTGATGGCCTCAAACCGGCACCAGATCGCGTGGAGGGCCCCAGTGATGACTTGGCGCCGTTCTCGAAAACGCGATGCTCTTGGCTTTGTTCACATGGCTGTGGGTCAAACATAGGGTAACCCCAAAATGGGTTGCCCTGGCAAATTGGGAAACAAACAACTAGAAACCTGCGGTCCATATCATTGTGTTTTTTTTTGACCCATACCCACATCCCCCCGACCAAAAAAAAAGAAAGCCAGGTGGCCGTGGTTCAAACAAGTCGTTCCAAAATGGCACCTTGGTAAATGGGGCCAAAGACTCAAACCCGCGGTTTGCCCCAGCTCTGATTTTTGTTTTGAGCCATACCCAGGTGTGGTTGGGGAACATGACCTTCGAGATCGCCAGCGAGGAATGGACCGCCGGTGCCTGAGACTCGCCTGTCCGCTGACACGCGTCACACGCGCCGCGTCTGGCGGGGCCTGAGGTGGACAAGTTTCTGCGCCTTGGGTGCATTGGAATCCTTCTGCTGCCTCTCTATGTGGAGCATTTTTTTTTCTCCCCTGTTTGTTGAGTTGTTTTTTTGGGGGGTTGTCAAAACATGGCCGGTACAAACTGCGCACATCCAAAATAGGTATGTGGGGTACCTGAGCGCCTCGATGTCCCGCCAGGAACTACGGGGCTGAGGGTCAGACCTACCTGGTCACGAGGAAGGTCTTGAAACTTCCAGATGCCTGTTCCTGGGGTTCAACCACCAAAATGATGGATGAAACTGAGGTGATCGTTGCCTTCGCTCAGCTCATCCCATCTGTGAATCCTGGATTTTTTGTAAGCCTCCATCATGTTGCCGGTAAAGAAGGGTGGTTATATGAGCCAACCATTGGTTTGATTTTCCAAGAGGCTGGAAGGTCTCCTTTGGTCCCAGGAGGTGCGCTGCAAACAACTTGAAGGCCCGATTTTTCGCGCAGGAGCGGGACGGGTGAGAGGTTCGCCGCGAAGTTCTGCAGCAAGGAAGACTCCATGGAGGCGCGAGGAGTTCGCCAAATCAAAACCGATTTTGGGTGGAAGGTCAAGGGACAATCTTCGCGCCAGACCAGAAGCTGGTGCAGTTAAAACTGATTGGGGTGGAAGGTCAAGGGACAATGCCTTCGCGCAAAAACAACAGATATGGCGGCGGATCTCCGCTTTTTGAAAGTTTTCTGGAAGCGTGGTTCTGGGAGATTACGGCCGTTTGACCGGGTCTTGATGGCTCAGGTGAAGCTGGTGCAAGATCTTCCGAGGCAACTTGTGAAACATGAGAACTTCATCAAGTATGAGTTGATCGTGCTGAATCTTGGCACATGGGTGGGCGGTACATGTACCGCTTTACCCTTTTACCAGTTTTCCAAGTGAGAAGAAAATGTGGCCTGTCAAAAACGACTTGCCGTTTTGGAGTGGGGATACCGGAACTTATCAAAGCTTCAATCCATCTTTGCCCTTTTGGGGAAGCTCCCATATTCTTCATTCTTGCGTCTTGCTTCCCCCCGCCTTTCCTTTCAATCACGTTTGCACTCTCGTCTCCTTTTTTGTTTAAGGCCATTCTTCGAGCTTTAACTTTTCACATCCCATCTTTGCGGGGATGTCTTTTTCTCATCTTTTTACTTCTCTCAACGACTCTTTGTTTGGTGCTTTTTCTCTTTTTTTCTCTCTTTTCTTTTTTTCTTCTTTCTTTTTTTGCCCTTTTCTTCCATTAATCCAGGAATGTGCACGGCATCTTCGCGCCGGCGCACCACATCATCTTCATGGAGCACGCTGGCGAAATTATTTGACCCGCTGTCGAGGGTTAAAGGGACGCGCCTTTTTGGTTGTTTTGCTCGAAACATATCGAAAAATCGAGGTTTAATCATCTACCAGGGCCATTTATATGATCCCGAGTCCCCGGCGCATCCCATGTGATTTAAAAATCGCCCTGCCAGAATGGGTCGGTCTGGTGAATGGAAACCAGGACTAGAAAACCGGTCCCCGGGTGGTTGAGTCAGTTTGTTTCCGACTACCCTTGAGTCCAATCTGAAGCTTGAACCCCTGGAAACAGTGAAATCGATGACCCCAGCCATAGGTGTCCTTTTGGATTTCCCTGGCAACTGGATGGCGTAAAGCCAATCTAGCTCATTTGTTTCTTTTCAGAATACCTAAACAAAAGGGTCCGGGTCAATCAAGTCGCTCTCCCCAGAATGGGTTGGTCTGGCCAATGGCCACCAAAACACTCAAACCCCCGGTCCCCGGGGAGGTTGCGTCATTTTGACCCATAAGGTCGACCCCTGCTAGTTAGGGGAAGGTTTCCCTGTAAAAGTGGTCTGAATCCCGAGCATAGGCGTCCTTGTGTGATTATTTTGCTAGACAAGTAGAGGGCGATTCCTGGCTTACCTGGTGTTTTTCTTCTTCTCATCTACCAGGGGCATCTACATCTATTTCCTCCACCAGGTGTTTTTTTTTGCATCGCCCGGTTTTTATTTTTTTCTTCATCTACCCAGGGCCCTGGTTCTGATTCGATCTCCCCGAACGAAGGACACCTAGGCGATCTCTCCCTCGCGCCGATCCCCTGGCTCGAGTCGATCTCCTCCCAGGCACATCCCCAACGGGGAGCTCTTCGACGTCCTGGCCTCGCAGGAGCCCTCGGTTGCGGGGAAGCCGCTGAACGAGGGCACCAGCCGGAGGTTCCTGAAGGACCGGGTGCTGGGGGGTGGTGGGGTGGGGGGGGGGCTGTCTGGGGTGGAAGGAGGGGAGAGGGGGAGGTTCTTGCAGCTGGGGTGCTGGGGTGTCTGGAGTGGTGGGGTGGGGGTTTCTGAGGGGGAGGTTCTTGCAGAAAATGGGTGCTGGGGTGCTGGGGTGGGGGGTTTCTGAGGAGGTTCTTGCAGAAGATGAGAGTGGTTCACGTTTTTTGCTTTGAATGGCAGGAGCGTGTCCGATTTTTGTTTCTTCTTGTTGCAGATGGCGGCCAAAAGGAAGATGGGAGGTTTCTCAGAATGGGCCTGGGATGGAGTGTTTTTCCTGCCTCCATTTGCTGGGCTTTAAAGGGACACCAACAGGAAACCCCATCATGTTTGGGGGTATAAGACACAGAAGTATACTAAGATCGTGGAATTGTGGAATGAGAATTCCCCCCCCCCAAACCCCCCCCCGGCAAATTCACAGATACCCAGATTCCGGTTGCGTCCCCGCGTCCTTTTTCCCCGCTGCAAATTGGCTCAGGACATCATCAGCGGAATGGCGGAGTGCTACAGATACGGGGTGACCCATCGGGATCTGAAGCGCCGGCCTGAGCTTTTTTTGGCGACCCCGCTGTCCTGAAAAAGCTTCCCTTATAAGGCCTCCTAAGCTTCCTTATAGGCTTCCCTTATAAGGCTTCCCTGAAAAAAGGCTCCTTATATATGCTTCCTTACAAGGTAAGCTCTTATGTCCTGAGATTTTCCGAGTCCCTTTGAGATTCGCATAGGTTGGTTTGTCTTTGAGGTGTAAACCAAGTGTAGTTGACAAACCCCAAATTTGATTGCGGATTTGGTTCCAACCATAATTTGGTTCCATAGGTTGTTGTTGTATTTTTTGTGCCCAACCCCAAATTCCATTAGGGTTCTCTAGAAGAGACTCAAAGGGGGACCCTGAAACAGAAATCACCCACTGGATTGGCGGTTGGGTTTCCGGTTCCCATTTGCCCTCTACAAGAACCAGGGGTTCAACCCCCCGAACCAGCGTCACCTGGATCCTAGTACAAGGGCCTAAATGAATAGAAATGGGGTTGTGGGGTTACAACCACATTAAGTCCTGATCACAGATGAACCCTATGAGTCAAGACTATGAGTAGTGCTTGGGGCCTCGACGGGGCCTCGACATTCACCCTCTTTGTAGGTGGTTTGGTTTGGAGCTTGTCGACCATCCCCTTTTTGTTTCGAAAGCAACTGGGATTCAAACCCCCCCATCCAAACCTTCAAAGTGAAACGACAAAAAAAACGATGGTCCGGCCACTCCAAGGGGAAGAAGCATGCTTTTGACCTGTGATGCGTGGAGTTGTGGCAATGCTTTGGCAGGTGGCTGTTGTTGTCTTCACGGCGTTGTATGGTGGATATTGGCTGATCGCAAGTCGGAATTGTGTGCAGGGGGCCATGGCGCATTGGAAGGAACCCTTGCGGGAGAGGTGCAAGTCCTGCTGGCTCTAGCTGTGATTTTCAGATCGGAAACAAAAACAACATTGGCATGGAAGAATATGTGCTTCTTGTTGTACCACAAGGCGTTAAGCATCTCTTCACGCTATGCGGGCGCCTGAAAAGTTTTAGCAGGTTCAGGCAGCAAGGACACCCGCCATTTGTAACATGCACCCACGAATGGTCATCCAGGTACCTCTGTAGAAACCTGAGAGCCCTCCAGTGCTGTGGTTAAGGCACCCGTTCACCGCCGGGACTTCAGATTCTGGTGCAAGGGGGTTCGCTTTGTAGCCCGGCCCGGAGGAGTTTTGCCGGGCAAACCGCTCAACCTCGACCGGCGAAACGCAAGAAACGTGGGCAATGTTCAGGTCTTGAAGTCTGGTGCTTGGCAGAACCTCTCATCCTTTCTTGGCCGCGGTGCGCTTGCTGGCGAAGCGTCGTGTTTTCCCGACTCCTTTGTCCCTTTGGATTTGGGCTCCGGGCGGCTCTTGTCACCGAAAATAGGGACCTTCAGGTCGGGGTCAAAATGTCCTTTGGCGAAGCTCCGCGCGCCAAAGGAGGGCTCTGGCCTTCTGCTTAAGGCCAAGTTCGCTCGGAACATCATGCTGTGGTTGTCAAAACCGGTTTGGGATCCCATGTTGGTTGGTAGGTTAATTCACCACCCATTTTAGAACCTATTTTAGTGGTTGGATTGGGATGTTCACCAGGGGTACAGGGTTTTGACCCATGGCCATATGGGCGCACCGAGCACGGGGTTAAATCATGAAGGTCAAAATGCTGCCGCCTCCCGCAAAAAACCAATTCCTTTTTGCGGCACAATCCGGAACTCCGCCGACTTCGCGGAGCTCGAGCGCGAGAGTTCGAAGCCTCCAATCCAACGGCCCGATTCCGCCTGCGGAAGAGTGTTTTTCGCCCTTCCCAAGGTCTCCTTTGGTCTCGTCAGAGTCAAAACCGGGGGGGGCTTCGGGGGGGGCTTTGTGGACTCGGCTACAAGGGGTTTTGAATCTGGCAAGCTCGGCTTTTCCTGAGAGCCAACCGCGTTGGAGGGTTTTTGCGGACATCTTCAGTGTTTTATGCCGCAGGAAAGGGCGGCGCCAGCATACAAATTGGCCTTGTGGTATACGCAGTGTTTACAAATACACTGCACCGCAGCTCCAAGTGGAAAATTGCAACTGATCAGTACATTTGCTGCACAAAGTACGGCCCTGCTCGGACCTGCTCGGCCCTGCTCGGCCCTTCGGTCTTTCCTACGTCCCACCCACCAACAAAAATCAGGTGCCCACCTTTTTGCTCCCGCCCGAGGCCCGAGAACCTGCTCATCAACGAGAACGGGAAGATCGTGATCATCGACATGGGCCACGCCAAGCGCGTGGTGGAGCCCCCCGGCGCGCCGCCGAACCCGCTGGCCCTGTCGCGCACCACCACCAGCAACCCCTACGGCACCCCCGCCTTCAACGCCCCGGAGGTGTCCGCCGGGAAGTCCTACGACTGCCCCGCGGCGGCGGAGAAAACGGGGCTAACGGGCCCGTTTTTTTTCTTTCCTTCGGGTGGGCGCCGTTGTCGGTGGGTTTGAAGGGGCAACCAGAGGAACAAAAACAACTTTGGATACATCGGCAAGTGTGACCTTTATAGAACCTTCCGGAAAGTGACGGTTTGCCAGTCAACAGTGTCCCATGGAGAGGTTCTGGAACCCCCAAATGGCTACTGTATCTCACCTTTGTTTTCTCTTTGACACCACCGAAAAGGGGTTCCCACCCCCCCCTCCTCCCGAGCAAAAACAGAAGGAGCCATCTCAAAAAAGGGGTTCCCCAACTGGGCTGTTTACCAAAAAGATGCCCGTTTTACTGAGAAGGGTTCCCCAAGCATGGCCGTTTTACCCAAAAGCGGTGGATTCTACCAAAAAGGGGTTTTCCCCACTGGTCCGTCTTGCCAAGAAGGGGTTCTTCAAGCATGGCTGTTGTACCCGAAGCGGCGTATTCTACCATTTCTTTTTCAGTCTGTTTTACCCATGCTTTCCCCCCAAAAAAGGGGAGCGCCAAACCCCGAGGGCGGTTTTTTACCCAGCTCTTTCCCCCCAAAAAAAAGAGCCGGGCGCGCGCGGAGCGCGCCGAAGGCCCCGAAGCGCCGCATTAGACCCAAGGCGAGTGGTCGGACGTGTGGAGCGTGGGGGTCATCGCCTTCTACCTCCACGGCAAGCTGCCGGCCTTCCAGGCCGGCGGCGGGGTGGCGGACTGGAAGGACGTGAGCGGGCCCGCCAACGCCGCTCCGGCTCGCGGATTTTTCGGGGCCGGAATGTTCGGGGCGGAATTTTCCGGGGGGGAATTTTCGGGGCGGTGTTCGGGCTGGGGTGGGGGGCCCTGTTTTTCTTTTTGGGGGGGTCGAGATGAGAAAGACATGAGGACAGTAGGGGAGGGACACACCAGCTCCCACTTCAATCAAGATCTATCGGGGATTTTTGTTGAACCCAGGGACGTCTTCCTGGAATGACTCAACCACCGGGGGACGTTTGCCTTGGTATAACCCAATAACCAGATGGGCGTGGCTCAGAATTTAGACGGGAGGGGCAAACCGCAGGTTTTGGTCCATTCCACTTCCCAGGGCAACCCATCTTGGGCACCGGTTTTTTGAGCCACAGCCAGATGGGGGCCGGGAATTGGGGTCGAAAGGCCCCAACCGCCGTGTTTTTGCTTGCGGGGGGGGGGGAGTCAGACAATGGACTCGGGGAAGTTTCCCTTTACCACTCGGGGGTTGACTCTGACGGCGCAATGATGGGACCAGTGCAGCCAGTGGCTTTCGCGGCCCCCCTTGTTCCAAGGTTTTTTTTGGGGGAATGGTTTTTCTTGAGCTGAAATTCCCCATTTCCCCATGTTTTTTGGGGGAAACTCTCCTAACTCAACCAACCAAAAAGGGATGCCGATCCTTTCTTCCCATGAACATTTCCACTGGGGAATCCGAGGACAAGCTCTGGCGCAAGATCGCGGCTTGGATCCGGTCGGTTTTCTGGGGACGTTTTGTGGGGTTCCAAAGGCTTCGTGGGGCATTTTTCGGAGAGTTTGGCACCCCGGCTTCGTTTTTTTTTTTTTTTTCCTTTGCTTTTGCATGTGCATGTGTGTGTGTTCACAAAAGGACTCAAAGGCCTTTTCTCACTTTTTGGCAGACAGTTTCCCCCGCAAAGCAGCCAGAAACGAGGGGCTTCTTTCGCCGGGCTCTGGGCCCAACGTTAGGTGAGCTCCAACTATTACCCGCCGTTTCCGGTGGAGCTGCAAGGATTTATCAACGCCCTGTGGCGCCTGGACCCGGCTGAGAGGCCACGTTTCAGCCAGCTGGAGAGAGCGATGAACGGAGATGAGGAAGTGGTCTCCGAGTTTCCTGGCCTTCAGTGGCTGACCTTTCCGGTCAATGACGTGGAAAGCTTCATCGACGAGCTTTCCCGCAGTTGCCCGAACAACTCCTTTCACTCTCCAGGAGGAGGAGCCAAACGGTGGTAGGTACTGGAAGCATGTTGCAACTGATCAAAAGTCGAGAGAGCGACGGATTTGGCTTTGCATGCAGGGGTTGATCAAAAGGTCCGTTATATAGAATGACCCTTGCGGAAAATCACGAAACATATTTGATATTTCCCACATGGAAAAGTTACCCATGGTCATTTTCAGGCCTTTTAACGGAATATTGAGCAACCCCCATGTCTGAAGAACACCTTTTTGGAGCCGAGTCGGCCGTTCGCCAGGCCGTGTCCCGCGCCCCTGGCAGCTTGCTGAAACCCGCGGCTTTCGCTTCGTCGGTGTTGTCGCGCCAGGGTATCTGCTTCAGCCGATCGGCGTCCCCCTGCAGGCAGGAGTGCACACAGGCCCTCGACCCGCGCGGTGGAAACCTGCCCAAGTGAAGGTACATCGAAGATGTGCTCTTTTCATGGGGTCCCATTTTGGAGGGGATCGCTCACTTCTGGGTCAACGTTGCCTTGCGAGGTGGACGATCAAACTCCTGCAGACTGGGTGAGCAAGTATGGTACCGGAGGCGTGATTGCTGCTCGTGGATCGAAATCGGAGACTTGTTTCTGGACTCTTTTCCGCACACGAGAAGGAAGCTGCCAGTATTTCTGGCAGTGCCAGTTTTTTGAATTGAAGCCTCACCGGCTTGGAATTTGCGAGAGTCGCAGCCATGTTACGGAATCAAACCACCAGGAGACCACAGATGTTACTTTTTGTGTTTGTTTCAATTCTCAAGGGTTCCATTTTGGGTACCTATGTTTGCTACACACCCACCAGGTTTTGGCAAGTTTTTGCAGTTGACGTAGCTGTTGTGCGTTTCCGAGCCGCAAACTTTTCTGCTGGAAACGCTAGACATTGTTTTGAGAGCTTTGTGCATATGCAGGTGCCATGGACACTGCTGCCTTCACCAAGTTGGTGCACGTCCTGCTTGAGGAGACAGAGCTGGGTTTCTCAAGGTGGATGTTACGTGTCTGGCAATCTGACGTTTCTGGATTCGAGGATCGAGGGTTCGCGGCAAGGACCGGCTCCAGACGTGGTTCCCGCAGAAGTTGTGCGCAAAGACGCACAACTTTGTGCAGAAGCTTGGGCCTTAGCATCAGGGTTGTGGTTACGCTCGGGCCTTTTCTTGTATCATAGACGTGGATTCCATTTCCCACAGCCCTTGGCATCCTTTGGGTTCTCGCGCGCGCGACTCTCGCCCGAAGTGGTCCCCGTGAGGAACCCGGGGAAGCTCGAGGCAGTGTACGACATCGGGAAGCTCCTAGGCCGGGGGTGTCGAGGTTAGAGGAGGCTAGATGTCATGTCAGCGCCATGACTCGGAGAAGCCAGCTGGGATCTCAGAAAATTGAGCTTGTTTTTCTTTAATAATACTCGACATGAATCAGAACCGTAACATGCTTCTTTCTGTGTACCACATTTGGTGGTGTTACGCGTGGGCCCAAGGCTGTTGTTTTGGCCACAGTCGTGAGGCGAGGGCAGCTTCGGCAAAGTCTACAATGTTCAGCCACGCACTGAGTAGCACACTGCAAGGGTATGTTCAAGTGGGCGCCACTCACCCGTCTTGGCCATTTTAGTAGGTTCAACATGCAGAACCACATGAGACGTATATGCATTTCGGGCAGTGACAAAAGCTTGGCTGCTTTGTGTGCTTGGCTGTTTAGTTTAGGGTTCTTCCACCCGATATCCCTTGAAACTTTACGACTTTTTGCGCTCAACCTGCATGGCCCCGCCCCAAGCTGTTTTGATCCCTGCAAGAGTCAACCTTGGCTTTGTGTGACGCTTTGGCTGTGGGTCAAAACCAATGGCACCATTTTGGGGTAGGTGCACCACCCATTTTAGTCTATTTGGTGGGGATTGGGATGTTCACTGGGGGTACAGGATTTTGACCCACAGCCATTTGGCCATGCCGTGATACCGGACATTGAGTCTCGGCGATGTGATTCTCCGCAGGCACCGAATAGCGGGCGAATCGAGGGTGTGCAAGAAGATCGCAAAGCTGAAGGGGACCGCACCGCATGTGCCAGGGAACCTTTACTTGTGTTTGGTAGTGGTAGTGATGCTCATGGGTTGCTGAAAATCGGGGTTTTCGACCACCAGCAAAGGGATTTTCGACTGCAGGGAGCCATGAGGAGTTTCGGCCACTCTCATATATCATGTCTCCCATTGATTGCATGAGGCTTTTCGACGCGCAGGAGAGATGGCATGAAAGTGGAAGAAATCCTGCAGGAGATTGAGAGCATGGCTACGCTGGACCATCCCAATGTGATCAAGGCGGGACCCAAAAAATTGCTCGAGCGTTCTGGCCGATATGAAGGAATGCGCTTTCGGGGACATCCGCGCACTATCAATCCTCGGGCAGTGGGCGCATCAGTAAACAGAGAAGACCGGGCCAGCGAGCCCTTGCCGCAATGCTTGATTTTGGCAGCTGGTGCGGGATATTCGGTACTTTGAACTATGCACGCTCGGGTACCCTCGCACCAACTAACGTGGAACCTGACAGGGGGGTCCTGAAAGTCATTTGTCCTTTTTAAGGGACCCCCTGTCAGGTTCTATGTTCATTGGTGGGAGGGTACCCCTAGCTTACTCAACTCAGCTTCGGGCAGGTCTACGAGTACTTTGAGGATCGAGACAGCGTCTCCCAGATCATGGAGCCGGGTGCTCAGGTACCTGGGCGAACGCCGAACGTGAAGACCTCTGTCTCTAGCCCCGTGCATAATACGGGTCATGGATATTGTTCAAGCAACTGCTTAAGCAACACGCACCAGGTGTTTTTCCGCATTTTCGAAAAGCGCAGCTTTTTGCCGCGCGTGAAAAAGATAATGTGCAGGCTTTGCTATCTTTTCACTGAAAGAGAAGCTAGTTCTCGGCAGTTTGGCACCGTCCGAAGCTCTCCCAATATGGCGCCCATGGCCGGACAAATTTGAGAGCTCAACCATCAGTGGAGTTGATGGGAACTACACATCAGAGTTGCCTTCGGTGTTTCACTTTCGCACCAGTCGCGGCGGACAAAACTTCCATGACACCGTTTGGGCATGCGCAGCAATGAAGCCTTGCAACATCTCTACCTTGCGCCTTTTTGTGACGGCATCCGAAATCGGCAGGTTGGGACCATTGGCCTCTGTGAAGTTACTGACAAAGTTGGCAGTCTACTGTCGTTTTGGGTATGGGTCAAAATTAACCACCAGGAATTGGACCGCAGATTGAATCGTCCATGTTTCCAATAAGACCAGGCCAACCCATTTTGGGGTTGCCCCATTTTGGACCACCACAGCCATTCGGGGCCCCCACGCGGGGAGCTGACCCAACCACAGCTTAGCGTGGCCAACGGTTCCGTTTTCGCTGGAGGCCCTGCTATGGGGGCGAGCTCCAGGACAGGATCAACGATGTCTTCCAGCAGCCTGGCCGGTGAGGCTTGCGTCGTATCTCCAGCCGCCGGAAAGCATGGTACTGCCCAGCTTGTAGGGTGCTTTTTTTAACGTCGTATCTCCAGCCCAAGTATCGTGTGGAGAGGAGAGGGCGGGTCCCCAAGTTGGGCTGGGGATGTTGGCGGAAAGGATTGTACCGCCCATTTTTTTAAGGCGCTTACTTTTTTTTCTTCCCCGGATCCGTTTGCTCCAAGGAAAGGCCAGCCTCGCTACGACGAGACTTTTGTTTGTGACGTGATGAAGCAGACGCTGCGGGCGGATGTCTCAGAGTGCCAAAAACACTTCTTTGGGTGTTCTGAAGTGAGAGCCAAGGCTCTGGCATTCATGCACAGTCACAAGTTCATGCACAAGGAGAGGGGGCACTGACAGGGCTCCTAAGATACGCTTTCGTGAAAATTCGGTCGCGCTCACACGTGAAAGGCGGTCCGATATCGGAGGGCCGTTGAAAGCATGCCTTTTCGCCAGACCAGAAGTAAACTCTGATTTTTGGGACAATGTTCAGGTGGATGGCAGAAGGTTGGGTCAACATAATACCCTATGGTCCATTGACGGGCATGAATGACGAGCTCAACATCTCCCCGCAAAACCCAGAAGATGAGCCCTAGTTTTCCCGGTGTTTTCTGCAGTTTTGACCGTGGCCAAGCCGCCGCAGGATCTTAAGCCTCAAAACATCATGCTGGCCTGGGTCCGAGCACTTTGTGGTTCATTGCGAGCGATGGTTTCTGCCCAAATGGCCAAATCGGAGAATTGGGAAGAGACATTATCCCCAGCACATCTGACAAAGAGCGCACCCGTCGGTGTGCAGAACGCCCAGCCCATCAGACCAGCCACCACAAAGCTGTGCATTTTTCTCACAACGAGAACCACCTGCCCCCCACGAAGGACACCCCCACAGACAAAGGATCCACAATCAAAACCCGGGTAGATGAAGGTTAAGGGACAATCCCAACCATAAATAGCTGTGGATATCCGCCTTCTTAATTCTTGAAGCATGGGTCTGGGATTACGCCCATTTTCATACCGGGTTTTGATTATGAGTCATGAGCATTGTTGCCTCACAAAGAGAACACTCCCCCCCCCCAAGAAGCACACCCCCACAGACAGAGGCCGGCCGCACAGAAAAATCCGAAGAATCATCGCGTCGAGGTGAGCAAAGACTCATCGTCAATCAAAGTTATTGACTTTGGCCTGGCGGAGCTTTTTACGCCGGATCAGAAGGCGCGCAGGGATGATGCCAGGAGTGCTTTTTCCCGCATCAGCTTTGTATTGCCCAAACAGAATTGACAGGGCCTCAGTTGACAAGTGGCTGTGGGTCAAAACCAATGGTACCGTTTTGGGGTAGGTGCACCACCCATTCTAGTCGATTTTAGTGGAGATTGGGATGTTCACTAGGGGTACGGGAATTTGACCCATGGCCAAGTTGCAAATGGTGCATGGGAATTCCGCGGTTGTCAGTTGTCAGTTGAAAGCTAGGCCTGCAGTTTCGAAGCTCGCAATAGGCTCGCAATTCTTGGTGTCTAGGACTGGTCTACAGCTTCCCAAAGATTTTGCTCAGACCGATTTTTGATGATGTGCTTCTGTGAGTCTACCCCAAGCAATTTGAAGAACATGCAAGGGGTTTGGTGAGGCTTCACACAGGCTCCTGTGTGTGTGTCCAGATGTGGGCCACGCATTTGGGACATCTCCACTTGAGCCTCAGATGTCTCTGTGACCCCCCCCGCCTTTGGCAGCACTCGGATGCCTTCGGCGGCCCTGAACTGAGATCGCGCGATCGCTTCTCGCGCGGCGGGGTTTCTTTGTGTCGAGCGCGAGGCGCGAGGCGACATTTGGGCGTGTCGCTTTGGAGGGTGCCCGTTCATGAACATTGGTTGAAAGACCAAAAGGACAACACAACCATTTTTTGGGGTCCACCAAAGAAAGTCACATACACACACGCACGCGTCGAGTTTAGGGGGAGAGTACTTAGAAGATTCGCGGTGAGATGGCAATTTCGAGAGTGGTGGACCCGTCGAACCAGGATGGTAGGCTGCCTTGCGAGGGCTGTTTGAGCTGAGGAACCTTGCTGTACATGGCTCCAGAGGCAAGTGGCAGCACTGCTTGTATCAATCCATGCTGTCATGCATGGTTGGCGCATGTTTGTCGGTCCCTCCGTGCTTGAGGTTTTTAAGCTCAAGCTGGTGTTCAAGTCTGACATTTGGAGCGCAGGGGGCATAGCGTATTTCTCGAGCACGGCTTTGGTCAAGGCGCAGTCGAACCGAGGCTGGAGTTATTCTGTACAATCTACTCACAGGCCTGTCAAAGAGAAGGGCTGCTTGAGCTTGAGTGGCAAGCTGTGAGGAGACTATCCCTTCATGGCGGCTTGGCCCCTGCCCAAAGGGAAGACGATGGAATGGCCAGCTACTCAGCTCGCCCTGTGCCCCTTGCTGAGCCGCGACCAACATCGATGCCCCTTGGCCCCTTTTTTTGGTGTGGCTGAAACACCACCTTGGTCAAGTTTGGAGAGGGCGGGCGCATCAGCCACCAGTACCAAGCAATGGGTTTCAGGTTGTTTGGGAGTGGCCTCTGGGTCTCCAGATTCTGAGGTGGCAAAGCGAACTGGCCAGATCTGTGCAGGAGGACTGTCGTACCACCTCTACGCCTGTACACCACCTGTACACCACCTGTATTTCTTTGTAGCCGGAAGGTTGGTTGCTTGGTTGGTCAGTCGTGGGGGTTGGTCGCTCGGTGTAGGTGTCGCGTTTTCGGAGCTCAAGGTCCGCTTTGGAATGGCTCAAGGACCCCAAGGAATTGGCGATCGGAGGGTGTGGCTCAAATTTTTTCACGATCGGAGGGGCAAACCGCAGGTTTTTGGTCCATTCCACTTACCGATCGGGCAACCCATTTTGGGGTTACCCGTGTTTTTTTTTGGAGCCACAGCCACTTGAATCTGGCGGTACCCCAGGATCATTTCCGCGACAACAAGTTGCTTCACGGAGCTTGGTCTGCCGAAAGTGCCTGGCATGCACTGCAGTCAATCTCACTACATGGGTGTGAAATTTTTGAGGGTACCCCCTGTTTGGAAACCCTCGTGAGGTCTAAAGGGAAATCAAATGGAACACCAAACGACACCATATCTCATTCCCATCTCTTGGACTTCATGCTTCTTGGGAATGCTGAACAAATGTGGTAAACAACAAGCCAGGAGCTTGTTGAGTAGTTGCCAATCGGGAAGTGAGTTGAATGTGAGAGGCATTGAAGACTTCCGTAAAGCCCAGGTGGAGATTTGTTGAAACACATGCTGGAGAAGGACGTTTGTCACTGAGAGCATGCTTCGAATGCCAGCTTGCGACCGCGATCGCCCCACACCGTCCTTTGTGCACCTTGCTGTGTGGTAGGTCTATTGAAACCCGCGTTTGGTTGGTTTTCAAAGAGCTATGCTGAGGGTTACCTCAGACACCGCGCAGGATGTCAACAAGCGGCCAGATGCTGCCGGCTGCCTGGAGCACGGGTGGTTCAAAAAGCACGAGGCCTGGCTGCGAGGTGTCGACGAGCCGTGTCTCCATATCTTGATGTGGGTCTGAATTTCAATGGGGGCCTTCGCTGGACATCATTGTTGTGGATTCACGTCCACCACGCACTTTTAATTCCCTATCAAGACTTATATCCGTCTGCTATACATTTACATCTACATACATACATCCATACATACATGCACGCATGCATGAATGCATGCATGAGTACATGCATGCATGCATGCATGCATGCATGCATGCATGCATGCGTACGTACATGCATGCATGCATGCATGCCTGCGTGCATACATACCTGCGTGCATGCATACACACATACACGCATACACGCATGCATACATACATACATACATCCATACATCCATACATCCATACATCCATCCATCCATCCATCCATCCATCCATCCATCCATCCATCCCTCCATCCATCCATCCACGCATGCATGCATACACGCATACACGCATACACGCATCCATCCATCCATCCATCCATCCATCCATCCATCCATGCATCCATCCATCCATCCATTCATCCATCCATCCATCCATCCATCCATCCATCCATACATACATACATACATACACACATACACACACACATATACATACATACATACATACATACATACATACATACATACATACATACATACATACATACATACATACATACATACATACATACATACATACATACATACATACATACATACATACATACATACATACATACATACATACATACATACATACATACATACATACATACATACATACATACATACATACATACATACATACATACATACATACATACATACATACATACATACATACATACATACATACATACATACATACATACATACATACATACATACATACATACATACATACATACATACATACATACATACATACATACATATACATACATGCATGCATACATACATACATACATACATACATACATACATACATACATACATACATACATACATACATACATACATACATACATACATACATACATACATACATACATACATACATACATACATACATACATACATACATACATACATACATACATACATACATACATACATACATACATACATACATACATACACTCATACATACATACATACATACATGCATACATGCATACATAGATACATACACTCATACACATACATACAAACATACATACGTACGTGTATATATATATATATATATGCATGCATGCATGCATGCATGCATGCATGCATGCATGCATGCATGCATCATTTCTTATTGCTGTCAATATTGCTACCATGTTTGTGGTTGTTATGAGTACTATTATGTTTATGATTGCTAGTATTATGTGTATCAATACTGCTATTGGTGGTATTATTATCCCTAGTGGCATGAAACAATAATACTAATACATATATATATATAGATGTATATATATATATATACACATATATATATATATTTATATATTTATACTTGAATATCTTGGTTGGAGGTTTTTTCTGCTTGAAAATATGGCCAGGCCACGCCTCCTGCACTGTCCGTGGGCGTGACGCAATGTCTGGAGCTTAGTTTCCCGCCGGGTACGAGGCCGCGAGTCCTGAGCCACAGGGGTCATTCCCCAAATTTATCCGGGTGGATTTTAATGGGAGAAGCAGACCTTTTTTTTTGGAGGGGCCCCCACCCCCCTGACCACTTGTGGAGGGGCCAAAAGGCACCCTGTTAACAAACTGGGGTTGAAATTCATATGGGGTCAACATGATTTGGGGGACTTGCTGTTGGGGACTGCTGGATATATATATATATATACATATATTTATATTTGCGCGGATGTCCGCACCGAGGCCTTGAAGCATATGCCGGTCAGCCCGAGTTGAAGAAGGCCGATCCGGCTGGCTCGGAAAGTTGGTTGGAAAGCACCGGAATCCGAGATCAGTTTAGGGGTGCGAATCCATTTTGAGGCATGGGGAATTCCTCCCCCCCCCGAGTCTTCACCCACCAGCCTGGATGCTCCTTTCGCTGTGGGAAAGGCAACAACTGGCGAGGTAGGTCAGTTCCCATTTTTGTCCACGAGAGCCGCCTGCGGAACCATGGGCTGCAACCATGGTACCATGGCACGTAGACGGCCGCGCGCCCCGATCGGCACGAGGCCATTTTTCTGCTCATTGCGCACATGTGCACGGCGCCGGCCCTCGGAGAGTTACGGGCGATCTTCACCCACTTCGATGTGGTCAACAGGAGGGGGCCGATCGGTGCAGTTGGTTGGTCCAACCAATGCATTCATTCAAAGACGGCAAGGGCGCCAAGGGCGCCGAAGATGGCCCTTGAAGCTGTGGAGCACTGATATGTTTTTGGGTTGGTCTGGTGGCAGCTGTCAAGCATGTCGGCCAGGGGAGCTCTGTCGCTCTCGCACTTCAGGGAGGTGCTGTTCAAGTCTGGGATGTCAGCATTGCAGGCACGGAGTGCAAGTATCGAGGACCATCCCGTTTCTTTTCTTTTTTTTGTTTGGCATGGCTTTGAAGTGGCATTCTGCCCTAGAAGAAGACGGGGTTGGTGTTTCTTGGTGGCTCCCAGCCATCCGGTTCCTCAGCCTTTTAGCTTTTTAGTGTTTAGTGGTTGGATTTACCTATTTAACCCTCACCCACTAAAAGTGAGTCACTTTAGCAACTTTAGCGGGGGCTCTGAAAACGGACAGCCCAGGTTTGTGGACACAGTTACACCATGGAGAAAGGGAGGCGAATGTGGTTGAGTCAGGTGGAGCGCATCGCCCATGCTCTCGATCAGGCGAGTGGGTGGGTGGGTGGGTGGGTGGGTGGGTGGTGGGTGGGTGGGTGGGTGGTGGGTGGGTGGGTGGGTGGGTGGGTGGTGGGTGGGTGGGTGGGTGGGTGGGTGGGTGGGTGGGTGGGTGGGTGGGTGGGTGGGTGGGTGGGTGGGTGGGTGGGTGGGTGGGTGGGTGGGTGGGTGGGTGGGTGGGTGGGTGTGGGGCTAGCTTTGGTTTGGACCAAACCAAGAACCGTCTTGTTTTAGGGAGCCCCGTTTTTTGTTTGTTTGGTTTTTACTTTACAGCGGTTCCCTATTGCAAGGCAAAGCCACCAAGAGAGAGAGAGAGAGAGAGACAAGAGCTGCAAGACAAGTTCAGGAAGTGGGGCATTTTTTTTTTGAGAAGTGTGTTTTGGCCGTACCGGCATTTCCACACTTGCATCCAGGATGTCAGCGGCACCGTGACGTGGACGGAGTTCATCGCTGCAGCGCTGTGCGTCAGCGTGTGCGGGAACAGGCCAGGCCCAGGCCAATCTTGGATGAACTCGTAGCCGTAGGTGTCCTTTTTGGTTGGTTTGGCAAGAGAATAGATGGCAATTCCTGGTTTGCCAGGCGGTTTACTCCTCTACCAAGGCCATCTATTTCCACCAAAAGGGGTGAGAAAGGGCACTACAGGGGGACCTAGACAAGAAGAGGGAGGGCGAAAAGAGAAGGAGAGAGAGAGAGAGAGAGAGAGAGAAAAAGAGAAATAGAAACATATACATGTAATACTTATGCATCTTGAGAGAGAGAGAGAGAGAGAGAGAGAGAGAGAGAGAGAGAGAGAGAAAGAGAGAGAGAGAGAGAGAAAGAAAAAAGAAGAGGGTGACACCTATGCTCGTAGCGAGAAGCTGAGCAATTCAATTTGCCACTCGTCCACCCAGCCACCCATGCACCCACTCCACCCACTCCATCCATCCGCCCACCCACCTACCCACCCAGGCAGCCAGCCAGCCAGCCAGCCCAGCCCAGCCCAGCCCAGCCCAGCCCAGCCCAGCCCAGCCCAGCCCAGCCCAGCCCAGCCCAGCCCAGCCCAGCCCAGCCCAGCCCAGCCAGCCAGCCAAGCCATCCCTCCATCGGACGTACATCCATGTATGCATCCGTCCGTCCGTCCATTCAGCCAGATCCTTTGATGGATGAGCTTGATACACCAGGATTTGTTCGAGTTCCGATGCATGTGACAGCAGAGAGTGGAGTGACGTTCAGCTTTCGTTTCGCGAGCATCACTGATTTCTAGACTGGTTTCCAAACTTTGCCAAGAATATTCTTGCGGCGGCAGCTGCGTCATTTTTATAGTATCCTTTTGGGCTTTGCCCCAAGTATTATATGCCTCAGCATGCCATGTGCACTCCAGACAAATTAATTGCAGATGGACCACGAACCGATTTACGCAGCCGTCGCCCTTCCCTCGTCTTCCCTTCCCCCAACTCTCCCTGACCTTTCTATCCCCCCCCACCCTGCACCCACCTTTTTCCCACACCTTTCTCCTTCCCTCCATTTCCTCCCTTGCCTCTCCTTGCAAAACATGCTACTGCCAGCAGCCGGCACTTGAGGTCTTTGAATGAATCCAGAGCTGCGCGGAAGTGCGGCATTCGGATTTTGCTTGCGCAAACTCGAGCAAAGCAGTGAGTTGAAGGCTGAGATCTCGGGCAATTGAACATCCCATTCTTGGAACATCATGAGCAGCAGAATGAATGGGGACAGGTTACTGGGGTCATTGTTTCCTTCTTTCATTTGGAGGCTTGTTCGGTTGCTTGTTGGATTTTCATCTGCAAGCTTGCAAGCCTGCTTGCTTGCTTGAATTGCTTTGCTTTGCTTTGACTTGCTTTGCTTAGCCGCAACGCATGGCTGCCTGCCTGCTTGGCTTGCTAATGATTTCCGGGCTTTCTGGCTGCCTGGCTTGAGTCGTTTGCTTTGGTGGGTGGTTCTCCAAAGGCTCCTTTGGCTCCTTTGGCGCGCTTGTTCGCACCCTTGCTCGCTTGCTCGCTCGGCTCGCTTGCTCGCTTGCTCGCTCTTTGTTGTTGGTTTTTTGCACCGCGCCTGCGGCGCGTGCGTTGTTTTTGGCCAGGTTGGGTTGCGTCGCGCGGTTGCTTGATCGATGGGTCGGTGTGTTGATGGCTGGGTGAGCGAGCGGTCCGCTGGTCGATCTGGGTTGTCTCAAAGCAAAAACGGGAAAGAAAGCAGCTGAGTTGTTTGCCTTGAGTCTTCAACAAGAATAGAGAAGGGCACCTCAAGAAAGAGCCCACCCGCCACCCCCCCGCCCACCCCCCCGCCCACCCACCGGAACTTTGCCCCATGGATGGCCAACTTTTGGGCCGAGAGGCGCCTAGTGGAGGCCGCCTTTGCAGTCTTCGACACCGACAACGACGGCAAGGCACGCCAGAGATGCGGAGATGTGAGGGCTCGTTTGGGTCTCTGCTCGTCGCTTGGGTCTGTCGTCTTTGAAGGTGCAACCCTTTTGGGTTGGGTTTTTTGTACACGGGGACGAGAGGAACAACCCCTTTTTGGGGGGTAACAAAAGAGACCACCCATTTGTGACCCAGATGGATTCTTTTCGTGCCTCTTTTGGGTTTCTTTTGGACATAGAAACTGTGCCCCATCTGTCAGGTGGGACTCGAGGACTTTTCGAGGTACTTTGCGCTGGGGGACGTGAAAGAGGTGGGTTCCGCGACTCCTTTTCCTGCGCTGGTGGAATGAGAAATGGTTTCTGGTTTCCTTCAGGAATCAATTAACAAAGGGAACCTTCCTGCAGGAATCCCCCTTCCACCGGTTCGTGCAAACCTCGCAAGGTTTGGCTGCGGCAACTTCCACGGGAGCTGCAGATCATGGGCGACAAAGGCGGGGCACCATGAGCGTGGGCCGGGGGAAAAGGGGGGGGGCGTTGAAGCTTTCTCCTCTGTTCGACAAGACCATCCGTTCGAGGGACTGGCCAGGGGACTCGCTCGTTTTTCGAAAGCGGGAATATTCTGACAGTGGCTCATATCAGTCCAACACCTTGAATGCGTGAGAGACCTGCCGAGGTGCAGATGGGAAGTACACCAAGGCCCGGGCAGCAGCGGGCACAGCACTGGGAGAGTTTCTTTGCTCGCCTGAGGAGCAGTTTGTGCATTACATGGGCAAGCGCCGGGAGCTCGGATTGGTTTCATGGAACGGTCTCTCAAGAAAAATAGGACACGCCATTCTCGGTGAGACTGGAGCCGGAGCTGCTTTGGCTTTATTCACTAAGGCAACATGGGCTCCCAACAAATATCCGCCGGGGGGGGGGGGTTATAAATCCGAACCCAAACAAAACTTCCAAGGAGAACTTGGAAACAAACATCCCCCCAAAACAAACAAATCACCCCCCCCCCCTTCAAAAAACACAACAAAAACACACACCAAAAAAAAGAAAACCCCAAAAACCCCAGCCCAAGGCCAAGCAACTCCAAAGAACCCCACCAGCAGCGAGTTTTTTGCTAGGCATGGTGGTCACCTCCGGCGACGTTCTGACAGCAGTGAGCTAACCTTTTCGCAAAAAAAAGAACTGAGATTTGGATTTGACCATATGGGTGTGGCTAAGGAGCTAGGGTTGCGCAGGGTTTGGTCTTTGGCTCCATTTGCCAAAGGTGCCATTTTGGTTTATGTTTTTGAGCTACAGCCATATGGCCATGGTCAAAAACCAATGGGATCCCATTTTGGGATAGGTTGACCATCCATATTAGAACCTATATTAATTGGGATTGGGATATTTACCAGGATTACGGGGTTTTGATCCATAACAGTATATATATATATATGAGTTAGCATTAAAATTACCATTATATATTTTATATGGGGGTATTTTAAACACATATTATGTTTGTATTATTGTTCGAAAAACAATATGGGATATTTAAAAAAACGATGTTCTTTTAGTAAGTTGGTATTGGTTATAAACAATTTTTTTTTTTAATTTATATATGTTTTTAGAATATGTATTTATTTATTTGGTTGAGATTTATAATTAGGTTTTTCTTCTATAAGGGTTATAGGATAGGGGGATTAAAAGGGAATTTCACATTTGGAGCACTAATTGGCTTATAATAAGATACGTGTGGTAAAAACAAGTTGTGTTTGAATGGACGAATAATTTTAATATGTGTTTAATATAGTATAGGAATAATTGTTGGTTAGTAAAAAGCATTATGATTTGTTTTGTAATTTAGTAATATTGAAATTAAATGAGCGAATTTTTTCGAATAATATATATATTTGTATTTTGCATATGAAAAAATTACGAAAAAGGTTGGAACACGCGAGTTGGAGGATGGAGTGTTTATAGACGGAAACTAAGACGATAGCTATATATTCTGAGGATGTTTCGTTGATTTGCCTTCTTGTTGGCCATACAAGGTGTTTGGGAGGTTACCTTGCTTCGGTCGCAAACAAATTGTAGGATTGCATTTTGCACGCTCTAGCACTTCTTTGAGGCTCCCCAGAGCGGAAATAAATTGTTGAACAGCGTCGCTTCGAGAAAAAAACACCGACCACCAAAACGATACTCTATATTTGGGGGGTGATTTGTGAAAGAACTGCAATGCTGGAGAATAAGGATTATAATGCCAGGAATTGTCAGGCAGCCTCGTAGCCGTGCAGCCACAAATCGGCGGCGCTGGGCTGATACAGGAAGAATCACGATGGATTGAGGAGTGTATATTGAGGAGAAGTGGAAAATTTGACCCAGGAGGGACAGTATGCTCGCATAGAGAGAATTATAGAGAGAGTTATAGAGAGAATTATAGAGAGAGTTATAGAGAGAGTTGTTTCGGTTCTAAAGGCTGAGCCGAACAGCGCGGAGGCATTGTCAAGGTGATCGCGAAGAGTACCCGCGAGAAGGTGAAGAAAACCACCGCGGTAAGGAAGCCAGCCTCGCGGCTCCAGCGCCGACGGTGCCGCGGGGGCGTGACAAGCATCTTTGGACGCAACCTCGTCCTTTCTCCCCAAGCGGCTGCACGTGTTTCCTGGGTGTGAAACGAACAACCCCAGCTCCAGCAGCCAAGCGGGTGAGGAACTACATTGATGCAACACTGCATGAGTTTGCTGGCACGCCGACTTGAGGAGACAACAAAATGAGAGAAAGCGTGGCGGACCCAGCAAGGGGGGAGAGCTGATTGAGAAGAGGTGCAAAGCTAGGCAAAAGCAGCGGCGCAACAGCCGTTGGAGGAGGACTTTGTGTCAAATACAAGTTCCTCCTCCTCAAGTCTGAGGGGGACTAAAAGGAATCTATGGCCCGTGGTGTGAATGGCTTTGCTTGCAGGGATTGCGCTTTGGCCGCCATGTGGTTTTATACCGGGGAACGCCCGCTTGTGGGAGCTTCCATTCCGTTGCTGTTTCGTTGGCGCTGTCCCCGTAAAGAATCGTTTGGTAGCAAGCACAGGGGCAGGGATATGTCCCATATCCATACCTGCAAAACGATACGGGACGTCCTTTTTAAGCAAAACCTACAAAACGATACGGGATATCCTATTACTAAATGAATACACCCCAGACAAGTAAGTTTGACACTGTCTCATATATATATATATATCATATATAGAATATATTTTCCTATAAGTCGGTGTAGCCTCGGGTCGCATTTCCTGTGCACTTCAGAGCTATCTATGTTTTTGTTTGTTTTTATTTGTCTTTATTTATGGCTTGTCTTTGTTTATTATTGTTTGTTTGATGTCTTTTTTTGTTTTTGTTTATGTTTGTTTGTTTTTGTTTGTTTCTTTTTGTTTTTATTTGTTTGTTTGGTTTTATTTGTTTTTGTTTATTTTTGCTTTTGTTTGTTTTTGTTTTTATTTATTTTATGTATTGTAATGATTTAAAAAATAAATTAAGGTATTATTCAGAGATTTTATTTATAATTGGTTTTTAGATTTAGAATTTTTAGAATTGGGTTTTTAATTTAATATAATATATAAATTTTCGAAATATTTTGCTTATATAGGATTTAACACAAATACTAAAACCACAATTATATTTTTCTTTTTTAAAAATATGTTTAATAAAATATATATTTTATCTATTTATTTGTATTTTTGTAAATATAAATATTATATATCTTTTTATAATTTATAAATTAAAATTTTATTATATTTTATATTTTATTTTTATTATTCTTTTAGTATAAATTTTATTTTGTACATTATTAAACATCAATGAAACCCAATTAATTTCTTTTTATTTATATTTATATAATTATTTTTATTTTTTTATTTATAATTTATAATTATTATATTTTTTTAAAATATTTATTTGTTATTATTGTTTATTATTTTAATTATTTTTTTCTATTTATATATTATATTTTTATTAATTATTTTTATTTATTTATTTTTAATTATGTTTTTTTTTTTATCTATTGTTTATATATAATTTCGTTATTGTTTTTCTCCTTTTTATTTTATTTATTTATTTTTAATTATTTATATATTTTATTCAATATATTTATTTTTCTATTTACCTCTATCTATTTATTTATATATATCTTTTTTATTCATTTTTTTTTTAAATATATATTTATCTATTTCTATATTAATATATTAGCCTAAACGGAATTCACGATTTAAAAATTCATTCATAAAAATAATATCAATCACAATTTTACCTAGCAATTTCTCCTTTCTATTACATTAATAACAACAAGCCAAATCTCATAACCAACTATTACACGAATTTTAATTAACCATATATCTATACAATTCATTTAAAATATCCATCTATAGCTCTATTTTTGTATTGCAAATCTTATGGCCTATTATATATAGGAAATTCCAAGATATAAGTAAATAAAGAGCAAATTTAGTTTCATCAAGCGACATTTCTTCTAATTTCCAATCCGGGTTCAAATTCAGTGTTTTGCATCAAAAATTAATCTACAACCAATTACCCAAAACGCAGAACCTAAGCCTAACATATGTCCAGCACAATCAACTCCTTTGCTCCCTTGCAAGCTGAGCACAATATAGTGCCCTAGTACCCGTAGCATTTTATTAATATACTTCTCTCAAAATCCCCCTAATTTTCCTAGTATTTTAAAAAATTGTTTTGTATTCCCCCTAACATTCCCTACTATCCCACGAATTTTTTGCGAGTGTTCCTCCACTATCCCGTGCGTATGCCCGAACTATTCCCCGAGAGTTCCTCTATGATTCCCGAAAAATTCCCCTTGCCATTTCCAATTCCTTTAGTCTCAGCACTGTCCTTACTGCACGCACGTTCCAATCCCGCACCTTGGATTTGTGTGAAAAACACCATAGATGGGGATGTCCCCTTCTCATTTTTTCATATGGCGACCCACTATGGAAATCGGCATGGTCGATGTGTAAAAGCTGCGAGCTTTTGCACTGAGGTTTCCGGGCGTAAACGAGATTTCTTTAGGTTTCCCACACCACGCTCTCCGCAAACGCCAAAGCAGTCGCAAAGAAGGACGTACGTAAACACGTGTGCAGAGCAACTTGCACTCAAATACGTGCGCTCACCACACTTGCGCAGCAAAGTTTCAGAGCAACTGGCACAAGCACATTTACGCAGCGCAACTTTCATAGAACACTTGCGCAGCGCAACTAGTGCAACATGCGCTGAGCAACTCGCGCAGCAAACTTGCGCAGAACTTCACACTTACTGTCTTCTGGCAAAATTGCAACACCAAATCCCACTAGCACGCTTGCATGAGCAAACTGGAGCAGGCACGCTTGCGCGAGCAAACTGGCAGGAGTACACTTGCACGAGCGCGCTTGCAGGCGCGCACTTGCAAGAGCGAGCTTGCACTAGCGCGCTTGCACGCTCGCACTTGCATGAGCGAGCTTGCACGAGCACACTTGCACGGGCACCCTTACACGAGCGCGCTTGCACGAGTGCATTGCACCAGCGCATTTGCACGAGCGCATTTGCACGAGCGCAAGGTGCAAGACTGCATTGCATGCGCTTGCCAAAGCATGTACAAAAAACTGCTTTTGGGCCGACTTTTTGTTTGTTCTTCAGCAACACCTTCACTAATTTTCCGAGATCAGCTTTCAGAATGACCGCCCTGCCCATTTGAATTTTGCTCAATGCTTCTGATTTCTCTCTGGCTCTCGTCTGGGTTTGCTGGAAGCTCTGTGGCTCTGTGGCCCTTCACAGCACAAGTGCATGCCCCACGGAATCATTCCGACGGGGTAGCCTAAGTACACACGGAATCGTTCCGACGGGGTAGCTTAAGTACACATAAAAAATTGTTCCGGGGTACTGAATTACACACTTTGAAGGCAAGATGCAAGCATCGACAGTAGCCATCAAAGGTTCGGATGGGAAAAATGCTCATCTATGCTTATCTCGCAGCCTCGGCTTGTTTTCCCCAACTCAGGCCAAGACATCCACTCGCGGCAAACGTGGCTTCGCCTGGCATCTTCTCATCTCTCAGGTGCAAAGGCTCGCTTGATGTCCAGTCACACACTTCGTTTCAATAAACAAACTGGGTGCTGTGCCATTTTCTGGGTGCCGATCCTCTGATTCGGACATGGCGTTTTACAAACAATCATGTCGGGTGCCAAAGGCGGCTCGTACAGCGCCAGGCTGCGATAATTGCGATATGCCCGCAGAATCGCAGTTTCAGCAATCTCCCAAACAAACCATTTTGTGGCGCCCAGAATTCTCCAAGGCTGCAAGGCTTAGGATGGCGTGACCTACGGCAGTTTGCAATATCACAATTCTCAAGCTCGACTGCCTCATTGCCGAGCTGAGGCAACTACTTCTTCCATCCCTGCCTTGTGCCTGTCTCGTCAAACCTGTCTCGTCAAAAACGCCATCCCACTCGCCTGGGCAAGGCCCACCGCCGCATGAACCGCCTGAGAAAAGCCCAGCACCGCATGAGCCGCCAAGCCAGCGGCATATCCGGTCTTCTCGGCCAAGGACATGCCCTCCCAGTGGCCTCTGAGCGACTGTGTACTTGTGAGGGCGTTTAAATGAGGGATTGATTCCTCTATAAGGAGAGCAATGCCAACCTGGCATAAACAAATTGGGCATACCGTGCTCTGGAAAGCCAAGAATTCTGCTCAACCGGATCCCTAAGCTCGGGCATGTCGACTGCACGTGCGAAACGACTGACTGAACATTTTTCGACCGAACCGGAAAAACCGATCGACTGATCGACTGAGCCGAGCCACTTGGAATGCATTCATTTGCCCATTCCCCAACGAGGTCGTGTTCCTCAAGCGCATCCTCGCCTCCTGTCCCGCTGAGGTTGCGAAATGAAGTCTGCGACAATCTGCCTTTGTGAACCTGGTTTTGAGTCTCACTGCCCAAAAAACGCCCAAACTTTATGTCTACCACTACTCAGGAACTGAGGCTCTGAGTGCCCAAAATCTCAATCTCTCTTTCTCTCTTCATTTGTCTCATTTTTTCCTCACACAGTGACTCCTGCGCAAGGCACTGTCAGTTCGAGCATGAGTTGGGCGTACCCGAAAAGTCCGTTGGGATTGCTCACTCAACTGGACCATGTGGCCCCAAGCTCCTGTCAAAAGCTGCTCTAGCTTGGCTTTCTTGACTTGCAGCTGGTTGCGACATACTGGGCAGGATGGAGTTTGTCCAAGATCCTGTGCAGCCTCGATCCTTACAGGAGGATCAAGCATTGCATCACGGCAGTCGGGCTTTACACAGCAATTGAACATTGCCACACTGGCCGCCCATGAGTCGCAGGACCTTCAACGAATACCGCCACTCTACTCCCTACGGTCAGTGACAAAATGCCAGTGTCCATGAACAGGAACACCATTTTCCAGACTTGTTATTTTCCACCATTTAAAGGAACCTCCCGTTAAAATGGGCCAAAAGGTGATGGTTCTGATGGTTAAACCAGCACAAGGGGGACAGTTAGGGCAAGGCCAAGGTGCCAATGCTGACCGCAGCCAAAATGGAAGTAATGCCTGGCGAGTTTTCGCACGTGTCGGTGAAACATCTGATTCATGGACTTGCAAAAATGGAACCAACAAGTGAGTCCGATGGGTTTTCTGGGCTGTTCAAAATGGAGGGTTGGCCAATCCTAATACATAATCCCTATAGGAAAGCCACTACAAAGGGGACCCCTTGCGTAGCCGCAGGTAAGGATTAAGGATTGCCTTTGAACAGCCCAGTTTTTGTGGGACGATTAAGAGAGCCCCCATGTCCCTTCCAAATGGACCAAAGGCTGGACATTTTGACCAAACCTCATGTTTCGCCTGGGCAATGCAGGAGTATCATGCCGCGTTGGGGAGTGGCGCTTCTATGTCTCCCAAAGCTGCCACATCAAAATTGGCGCAAATGTCGCCCAATGCAACCAGCCAACATGAGTCACAATCAAAACCCGGTAGTAAAATGGTCTACCCAGAACCATGTGAAGAATTAAGAAGGCTGAGAACCGCCACTATTTCTGGCCGGGACCCCTTACTAACCGGATCATCTACCCGTTTTTTTTTTTTTTTTTTTTTTTTTTGAGACGTAGCTCACATCGCCATCCGTGGTTGGCTTGCACTTGCAAGCTGAAAGGTGCTGAGCCTTTTCGAGAGCCCAACCCCCCCGCACACCTAGACGTCCGACTCCGACACCTATCAGCTACACAAACTGAAGCCGCAAGCTTGAGCCCGATGCACCTCTTAGGCAGGGCGTGTTTATGGCTCGGGCTTTGATGCATAAAACATTCAACTTTCATTTGGGCAACAAACAGCAACAAAGCAAAGCCAACAAAGGGTAACATGATTCAAGCGGCTCTCCCAACCATAGACGCCGGCAACAAAGCTTGGCAGGAACCAATTCGAGCATTTCATACGATGCAACTTGCATTTGTCTCAAAATGAAGGACTACCCCCCTTCCCCCCCCCCCCCCTCCCCCGGAAAAACGACACACCCAGGCCCCCCCCCCACGTCCAACACCCACCCCCCCCCCAAGCGGAAAGACCACACCCCCGTCCAGGCGGCCTGCGGCCGCGCCCGCAGCAGCGCATGACCGCCTAAGTCAAGGCGAAAAGAATAAGCAACTAGGTCCTCACGCAGAGGTTAGAATGAGGGCGCCTACTCTTTTCTGCAAATGGGGTATCTCAGCAAATGGACGTAGTCTAGGTCCTCCAGTAGGTGTTAGAATAAGGGTAGCAACTTTTTTCTGTAGTCTATTTTTTTTAGGGGAACTGTGCCCCAAAAAAGCGCAAAAGGGCCCCACTGGGGACCTAGCCAAGGTCCCCGACGCATAACCCCAAGTGGCTGGTTGATTTTATGCGTCTTTGTGGTTACCAACCAGCCACTCACTTCCGATGTGGATTGGCCACAACAAATCAAAACAAATCCAGAGTCTGAGTGGATTGGCCCCAAAAAAGTCACCCCACTTTTGGTTTTCCCCCAATTTTTGGTCCAACCCCCAAAGTTTTTAAGGTCCAACTCAGAAACCTAAAGGAGTCCAAGGGAGCGAGCCTAAAGGACTAAAACTCATCAAGTTGCTGCTAAAAGCATTTGCCTTGGTGGAAAATCCAGGGTTTGGCTTTTTCATTCCTATGACTGTACCACGGGGATTTTTTCTTGGTATCGCAGACTGGCCCCAAAACCTCAAAATCATTTCCCCTTTTAACAAAATGCAGCCCAGTAAGAACCAATGGCTTTCCTCACGCCGAGTCCCCAACACTAGAATAAGCAAGTTGGAAAGCGCATTTGGGGGGAGGGGACTCGAGGACCTCCCTGCACCCAAGCCTATAGCCGGAACTGGAAAAATGCCAAGGCCCTTCTTTCCCTTTAAAAGTTGTACTGCACCAAATGGCAAAGTAAACCATTTTGAAGCTGCCACACTCTCGACTATCTACCTTCCTAGCCGGCCTTAGGAAAGTCGCCCAGGGACGCACTTCACAGCCGGTAGTTCTTTCCCTGTACTAGTCTGCGCTGACCAAACAGAAGCAACCAGCTTTTCCCATTGAAAACACCCTATTTACAAGCCTGTTTCAGGGGATGAGTGCATTTGCTTCTGGATACGTCTCATCTGACCCCCAAGTATCTTTTAATATCGTGCGGGCAGCGGCTAAAAAGGGTATTCATAGGGGGCAAAAGGGCTTGAAGCAACCAACCCCGAGGGGTCGCATCTGGGAGACCGCGCCTGACGCAAGTGCAAGTCCTCCCAGCAAATGGGACAACTCGCAGGGTCCTCCACGCAAACCTGCTGCCAAATCTCTTCGTCGGACCCGGGCAGGTGCCCCACTGAGCAAAAAAATGCCCCGCATGGGAGAAGCGAACTGTTCGATCCCAGTTTTTAGTTCGGAGCCCAGAAGGGGAAAAAGGGGGAACCCACTCAAACACGGGATTGGATGTTGTTGCGTCCCCGTGCAAAACTTGCTAAGTTCCAACATCCAAAAGAACACTCCACCACTCACATGCATTCCTTTAGGAAATTGGGAGGTCCAGTACTCAAAGGTTGCGACTAAACAGTGTCAGTGAGCATCTCGGAGATCTGTGTGCGATGTTGGCAGACAAAGGATATGAGTCCCGCAATCTTTTCAGAGTGCTGATTGGCTTGAATCAAAAGCTCCGGCCGGCCCCGAAGAAGCAAATAAAGGCAGTGATTGTCCTCAGCGTGCGCAGCGAAAACAAACAGGCTATCAGCACTGAAAAGGGTCCATCCAAACTGATCCGCCCCAAGGCAAGAAAAGCCGTGGCACAAGTGGAAAAGGTGTCAGTCTACCCCTCATCATGGCAATCTAATACCTGAGTTGAGCCGCCAAATGCCGATCTGCTCTCTTCGCGACGGCTCGTGCCAACTCTTCGGCGGACTCCGCGTCCGGACAGCGGGCCAGCACGATTCCATGCCCAAAGTCAGCTGGATTGCAGAGGATCACAGTGGTTTGACATCTCCAGGCGGCCCACCACGGGCCGCTTTGCAGCACCTGTGCCACGGAACAAAGCTGTGTGACCGGCCAAGTTGCCAAACCGGTTCAAAAATCTTCCGAACTGGGTAGTCTGGGGTACGATTCACATCGGACCAAACTACTGGTTTCCTGAAGAGGGCGGCGACAATTGGGTTTTCCCTGGTGTCCTCTCGTGTCCTCCCCGGGCCCCAAACGACAGTGGACTCTACCAATGCGGGAAATCAGTCCCTCACCTGTCCCTTTCACGTTGTAGCAGCCGATGTTCTGGCAACTAAACGCCAACAAGGCAAACGTACACAAACAGCAAGCTGAGGAAAGACGCTTGCCACCTTGAGCAATCCCGCATCCCACTTGAGAAAAACGTAGGCCTTCCCCCCGGAACCGTTTGGGCAAAGGCTTCTTTTTCGGGAGGTGCGACATTGACTGCCGGGAATTCTCGTTTCAAGTGAGTCCATCCCAAGCCCTTGGCACCAGGTACGTGAGCTTCTTAACGCTCGCTTGGCACTGCCATGGACACTTGGACAGGTCCTGACAGGAAGCAAACTGGACGATTCCCCTTAAGAAGCCCGCTGAAGATCAGGAAAGGGTTTGAGAGGCGGATTCAGAGGCTGCTGCTGGCTTTCAAAACCAACAGGCGTGCGCGTCATCAAAACAAAATGTCTCTGTGGCTGAAAACCTGGTGCCAACATGGAACCCTGGTAAGTGGAAACATGGACCACAACCTGCGGTTTGCATCTCCTGTTTAATTTTGAGCCACACCCATGTACCCTGCAGCTGAGAAGCTAAAGCATCAGTCTCAGGGATGGTGAAGGCCCACCCGTCATACACCTCTTCGTGCGTTGGCGGCTGCTCCGGAAGGAACTCGCACATTGCCGGTCGGCCATGCGACAACGATCCTCACACAACCCGTGACGCCCAATGAGCCGAACTGATACTTTGTTGCTGTTGACCCCTCTGCAAAAAAGCTTAACTTTTTGTCGGTTTAGCGGAAAACCTCTTCATTTCCCAACAAGTTAAAGCCTAAAGATCCAAAGTCAAGGATAGTGGCCTGTGACATGCAAGACACACCACACCAAAGAACACGCAAGCAAATGCACAGGCTGGCATAGAGTATAGGGCTCTAAGGGAGACATGACATCTTTGGATACCTGGAGCCAAAGAAGTTGCACAGGCACTGGCTTTCAGAATCAATGTGAACGTCAGAGATGCCAAATGTCGAATGCCCGTGCAAGCGAAAGCGCAAGATGTTTTAAGCGCAGGCAACCCGGAAGGTTGCAAGTTGGATTCGTATGGCTTGCTTCTTAGGTCGGACCTACCCTCTCTTTCCAACCGAAGTGGGCAGGAGGGTTTTGGCCTTCTTGGAAAAGGGTCATTGCGACCGCATTCAAGTAAAGGCCTGACTTGCAACCTCCATCAGCATGTGACTTCTGTGCATGCGAGGCACTCTGTACCCGATAAAATCCCTAAATGCAGCTCGAGCCGCAGAAAACGATGTGGACTCAGCAAGGCTGGCTGGGACGTTGCAGCCAACCCTGGACCCTCCCCCTGAAACCAGCCCACCGAGGGATGCAAGAACAAGGCGGTTGATGGCCGATTCTGCAAACCCCGCCGCGATTGTCTTTGACGCTTCGCTTTGCATTGTCCAACCAACCTCAAAGGAAAGGGCACACCACACACACATGTATATATATATATATTCATATATTTTTTTTGTTTATTCACTTTTTTTCTACATGCAGAGATGTGTAAAACATATATATATATATATACATGTTATATCTTGTTGCTTGATCTATCCCCAGCTTGCCAGTCCACTTAAACTTCCGGCTTCTGCCGGTCTCCGCTTGCGACGCTTTTAGCCGCATGCTCTCGCTCCCAGGCGAGGAGCCCGCGCCCAAATAGAAGCCAGGCCCTAGGTTTTGGAGTTCCTTCGGCTTGAAATGGAAACCAACCCCGTTGAATTCACCCACCGCCAGAGACTACTTAATACTTCAAGCCCACCGACCGATGTGGGCTCAAACTAATTGAGCCACACTCCAAGCGCCTTCAGCCACTGTTCATCATATTGATGGACGTGTCCTGCCGCACGTGGGACCCACAGAATCCAGTCATGTGCCAGAAAGCATATTTGCGGTCCTGGAAGGTTGCCATATCTGCCTTGAGCTCCGGGTCGGTAACGACCTAAGTGAGGTCCTGTGCCTGCTAAACCCAAAGAAGCACAACTCGGGCATGCTGCAAAGGGTTGTCTGATGGTGACGGGCGATCCTGACATGCACCGCACAAGCTTCCGAACTCTCACGTCTTGAGCAGGGATCCTTAAATTATACACCTGAACATTGCAACTTGTTTTCTGGTGGTGTCCTTTTATTTTGGTGTTGAAAAAGCAACACATGTTTCAAATGGTTGCAACATTTGAATTTCTTTTCTTCGGAGCCCTGTTAAAAAAAGCCGCGTGAAGCACGAAGATCCCCGTGGACTTGAAGGCGGTGTCCATTGCACCTCCGTCCGAGTCGACATGTGGGTCAAAACTTTGTGCTGCATCTCAGTTCTTCCAAACTCTCTTCCCGTCCAGCGTGGCCAAACAGTGTCTGAACTGCTTGCCTCAGTTCTTCAGCGACCCTGGAAAAAAAGGATTGGAACCCTTTTTGGGGGCTTGGACCATTTTCAGGGCAGCCACCTAAAAAAAGGGGGAAAATAATTGGTGCCACTGAACAACTGAGGCATGGGTCATTCTTTTGACTGTTTCTGGGGGTGATCCTTAATGGAATCGGGGAAGTTTCCCTTTAACCCACCAAGGGGGTGACTTTCGTAATGCTAAAATAATGGGTGCTGGTAAACATCCAAATAGGTGGCAAATGGATGTTCATGCACCCCAAAATGCCGCCATAGGTTATGCCCCATGGCCATATGGGTGTTCAGCGCTTGGCAATCAGGTGATGTTGGGCGTTACATGGATTGAACGCAGCACGATGACTGGAATAATTTGACCCCTCGCTACAAGGCAGCCCAAGCCGAGAGTACAATTAACACCGCCAAACATGTGGGGCAGCACTGACAAAAGCGGTGCATTCCAGCCGTGCACTCTGATCCCGCGTGTTCTCATTTGTCACTCTTGAAATCTGAGGATTCCAGAAAGGCTCAGGAGCCAGAATGGCCTGGTAGGCCAGAACGGAGTCGAGCTTTCCAGTGTGAAGAGTGGAGAGGTGCGAAAGACAGCTCGATACCAGTGTGGCAAAGGCCTAAAAGTCCGAGAGACGACCACTTTTTATATTTTGGAGAATGCCAATCACAAGCAATGCATAGCCTGTTTCTTCATTCGCTCACTGCTAGGGTGTCCAGAAAGGGAGCGAGAGAATCCAAACCGAGCAAGGCAATATCGGTAGCCTTGCTTTCAACTTTGAATCCCAGTCTTTCTGTAGTCTTCCTGCAGTCTGGCGGTATTCCGGCTTTCCTGTCATCTCTGTAGTGGTCCACGAGGTGTTCGGCCGGGATCCATCTGGGGAGAGGACCAAAGCAGAACATGGGCCCGCTCAAACAAACCATGGGGCCCCACTCGGCCCCAAATGTCCCATGCCCTGTTAGGGAAGAATCAGCTTTGTCCGGGGGTCAGCTTTGGATTGGTTTGACCCGGCAGGAATGATAGTTGATGGCTTTGCTCCGACAAGAAACACGGAACATGCGAGGAATACAAAACAAAGCAACGCCTTAAAAACCAATTGCTTGATCTTTCCCCAAACGAATCATAGAGTACCAGTTGCAAGCAGGTTTAACTTTTTGTTTAGTAGTAGCTCTCGCTTTGGATTCAGGAAAAGTCTGACTTAAGCTTCAAAGCTGAAGCGAGAAACGTTTCAAAGCTGAAGTGAGAAACACACAGAACTCATCACAGCAGAGTCACCAGGTCAAAGATCGGAGATCGACCCCGCCTGGCAACTCATCACAGCTGGAGACCTCCGCTGCAAGAGACCGGCCCCTGTTTGAGCTGAGCACCCGAGAAACACGCTACACCTCCTACTAAACATTGAGGACGACTTGCCGGGTACTGGGCACTTCCATGTTTCTTTCCGGGGGGGGGGGGGGTCGTGGGCACTTTTAGGAACAAATCCAACGGCAGAACTGGCTCTGCCTAAGAGGGCGGCTAAACGGGGGTTGAATGCCATCGCAAGCGATGCGCTTCTGGCCAGCAAGCCAAAGGCAGCGTGACATCTCCTGTTTCCGGAATATCGGCTTTGTTGTCTCACAAATGGAGCGGATCCTGGCACACCGCTTTGTGTACATGTGAGACAGGCCTAAAGCAGTCCACATACCATGGCCTTTCTCCAGTGACATGCTTCCATTGAATCAGACCCTCAGAACTCCTGAGCAAACCGCATAGAAGATCAACCCACAACTTCGCTGCAGCATCAGACATCGCAACCCATGGGTTTTTCATGGGCTTCCCATGGGTTTCCATGTGTTGCCCATGCGTTGCCCATGGGTTTCCCATGGGCTTCCTATCCATGTTTGCCAAAGCTAGCTTCTCCAGGCTCCATTGAACTGACCTGCTCATGATTCACTGTTTGTTTATCGCCATCCTCCCCAAAAAGGCACCGCATGGCGGATGTTACACTTTCTACAAGATTCACGGAAGGGGACAAGGGGCCTTCTCAAGAGGCATGGCAGTCTTCCGAAGCCCTCCGTGCACTTCTGTCGTTGTTCAAGAGTCGGGTAGCGAGCAGGAAACCCAAGACCCCAAAGGACAGGTTGCTTTCAGAGGGGTTCTGATCGTTTCGGGCTCCTTTTGAACCTTTGTGGGTCTGTTTTTTTGTTTTTTTGCGGGTACCCTTTTTGATATTGAAAAAGAGAACCAACAGTTGGACACCACGATTCGTTGGAACGTCCAAACTTCAAAAGCTACACACGCACATCTGGTTCCCGTGACTTTTTCGGGGGGAACTCATCGATTTCTCGTGTCCTTCCCTCAAAGCCCGCGAGCTTTCTGGGCTGCCCTCAGATTCCCTGCATAAAGAGAAAAACATTTTATTGGTCAAAAGGAAATCCAACAACAACACCAGCTAAACAGCCAAAAAGCTAATCCCCCTCTAAAAGTTGAACTTTTAGTGGGTTACATAGAAACCAAGCACTAAACCAGCTTTAAAAAAACGCTTAACAAAAGAGCTAAGGAACCGGATGGCCGGATTTCAGGCGAGTAATTCGGCCATGGCCTGGATGCCATCACCTCCGTAGGCCCTGGCGAGCATCACGAAGTCCGGGGATGGGCCCAGGTCACATCCCAAGGCCTCGGCGTTTCAAAAACGAAGTGGCAACTCACTATTATAGTATCTGTTCAGGGCCAAAGCTGAGGGAGTCACCTGTTCAGGGCCAAGGCTGTCTGTCTGCCGATTTCATCTTGCATGGTGCCTTTTGAAAAGCCGGCCTCACTGTTTTACCATGACCCCAGAAGTGGTGGGTTAAGGAAAACAACCGATTCCATTTTCTGACGTAAGGATCACCCCCCAGAAACCGTCAACAAAAATAACCCCAGACGAAGGGACGGGGGAAACTGGCGAAGTCCGGGGGGAAGAGGAAAACGCGCAGCTCATGGGAAGTTGTCAAGTTTCGCCACAGCCAAAATGGTTGCAAGTTTGTTCAAGTTGAACGCCAAAGCCAAAAGGGTTTCAAAAGTTGATGTGCCAGAAATTACCCCAAAGGATGAGGTTCAGAAGTTGCTGTCCCATGTGTTTACCCCAAAGGACAAAACAAGGCACCGAAAATAGATTGAACACAGCAAACGCCTTGGCCAGACTTGGAGAGATACATATATATATATATATATATATTAATAATAATAATAATAATAATAAGAATAATAATAGTAATAATAACAATAATAATCATAATCATAATCATAATCATAAGCATAATAATAATAATAATAATAATAATAATAATAATAATAATAATAATAATAATAATAATAAATAATAATAAGAAGAAACAAAAAAAACGTCTGAAGGCTTCTGGCGAGGCCTTCCTTTTCCTTCACGTCGTTTCATTTTGTTCCGGCCAATTCGACATTGGCAAAACAAGAGAGAGAGAGAGAGAGAGAGAGAGAGAGAGAGAGCTTGTTGCAGGTTGAAGGAAGGAAATCCAAAACTGGCTTCGTCAGGTGATGCCACATTTTCACCGCCCTGCTACCTTGGCTCCCCCAAAGCTTCCCGAAAGCTAAGAAAAGGCACCGAAAAGGAGGCTGGCAACATGGGACATGGCAGTTCCCCAGCGCCACAATTCAATGAAGAGAAGGCAACTGCACATCGCATCTCGAGAAGCGAACCTGTTCAAGTCCTCATACGCAGAGGCCTCACGGTTGTGTTTGCTTCCAACATCCAGCCGCACGATTTCTGCTAGCCCTCTCTCTGGCCGTGGCACCTTACAGCCCTCCAGGGTTCCAGATTCAACACGTTGAAGTCGGATGGTGCCAATGCCATCTTGCGATCAGTGCGATAGGCAGAGAATGAGTTGGAATCCCCTATCTTTTCCTTTAACGAAATCCTCAGGTTCATTTCCTCATTCCCTACCGAGCCAGCAAGTCTTTGACACCTCACCGTGCTAACACGTCTCCAGCGCCGTGCGGTTAGGAAGGCTCACACCGTTGATCTCAACGAATAGCGGAGCTGAACATCTGAGAAGTCGAACGGTCGAACGGGCCTTTGATAAGAGCCCCAGACTTTGTCATCGTGGATGCTTGGGGGACTTCCATACCTACCAGTTGGTTTTCCTTGTCCTGTTCAATAGGGCTTCATCTTCCAGGGGTAGCTGGACGGCTATCAAAGTCAAGCGCCCCTTTGTGCCGGAGCCAGGGCACTCCCTCAAATCCGAAGGCGACCCGCCCAAGCGTGGCATTGTCGAGGATGACCAACAGCAGCTTGTGCTCTGCCTCCGCCGGATTGATTCGACACGGCCTCCACAAAATCAGTTTTTATGCAGCTGTTTCTGAGGGATCGCTGGGTTTCTTCAATTTTCTTAAGCCCTTGGAAAATACACCTATTTCCAGTAGCGATAGATTCCTTTTAATTCCAACAAGAGAAACAACTCTTGGAAAAATAAACATATTTCCAGTAGTGAAATCGATTCCTTTTAACACCAACAAGGGAAAACAACAACATATTCATTTCAGCAACTGGAAGGATTGCTTGGGAGCAAGCAGGGCAGGAACCCTTTGACTCCGGTTCAGTGGCGAAGCTATCCCTCTCCCATCGTCAAGGGGTTTGCCTCATACTGTTCACCACAGATTCATCAACCCTCGTTCATGCAAAAGGGGAGGGGTCCAACTGGCTTTAGTGGGGAATCGACACTTTTGGAGGGGAACACCCACTCCCCCCTACCCCCTGCAATTCACTTGGACAAGCTTCGTTCACCTTGCAAGACAAAGGCAACAACCAACTTTAATACTCGGTTGCTTTCCCCTCCCCTGCCAAAAAGGTTACCTTTTAGTGGTTTGATGGAAACCCCATTAGTTGGCCAAACTTTGAATCTGCCGTGCTTGACGCCCCCAGCCACCTGCTGAAAGATGTACCGTGCAGTGCCCAGCTCATTGATGGTCATCTGCGCGCCCCCGTCGCCAAGCACCACGCAAGCGCGTCCGCTGGCACCTCTGAGGCAAAGAGAAAAGACGCCCGGTGATCTTAATTTTGTGGTATGTGATACGGGGTCAAAAAAAGGTACCCAAAATGGAACCCTTGTAAATGGAAGCAAAAACTAAAACCCGCGGTCCAATTCCTAGTGGTTTAAATTTGATCCATACCCGTTTCAATGAGGATGTTGAGTATCCCGGGCTTGGCTAAGGGCCAGAACGAAGCCAGCGAGTTCCAAATTAGCCCCTTGCCACTTAGCCTGGCGCGAGCAATGCTTGACACCATATGGTGAACCAAGAAGGCTCGATACTAGGCATGTGTGGGCATCCTGTGTATGCAAGGAAGAAACCCAAGCCAAACATGCAGGCTCCACGAGAAAAGCAACCAAACGACGATCTGCAAGATGTTGATTAGCAAGCAGGATCACCTGTGATCAGAAAACATCTGACCAACAAAAAGGGCTGCGCATAAACTTTGTTGCTGTTGACCCCTCTGCAAGAAGTGAATCACTTTTGTGGGTTTAGTGGAAAAAACCTTGATCTCCCAAAAAGTTAAAGTCTAAAGATCCAGCCCAATAGCAGTCAAGAAAAACTCTTTGAGAAAAAAAAAGAAACGTCCCGTTGCCCGGCCGGCGAGCTTCAGTTGTCCGTGCAGGGCATTGAGGTTAGCTATCTCGGGGCTTGGAAGCGAGGCCCACCGGGTCCAAAATGCAGAATGTTAAACATGCCGATGCCAAAGCAACACACCAATACCCTGCAAGGCGGGCAGATTTGGGAGTGGATATGGGCCATGGTTGTTACTTCTAGTTGATCAGCCCGAAGGCCAAGTAAAGGGAATGGTCCTTTGATCTCCAAACTTCTCAAGTAAAGGGAATGGTCCTTTGATCCCCAAACTTCTGAGCAGTTCGAACTTTTTGGCCCGTCTTCCCAGGGTTCTCCCAAGCAACGTTTGGTTGAGTTTAGGAGTCAGTTGACCATGGCACATGCTGCGGATAGACAAATCCGTTCGCACCACTTTGAAACCTTGGCTCAAACCATAGTTTGTTGGTATTTGCAGGGGAATATATAGTCATTCCAGGCTTTCTGAAAGATGATCTCGTCCATCCACAGTCGTGCAACCAAACGCATCAGGCAGCCCTCAAAGAACTTATCAGCTGGGACTAAAAGGTGATCACCTTTTGGGGCCATGACTAAATATGGACCAAAAATAGACAACCAAAAGGTCAAAAGGTTGATTCGCTTTGGGCAACTGAGACTTGGATCCAAGGTACCTCGCTCCAGGCAGGCGGCGATGCCCGCACAAATGCCATAGCCCATGGTGCCCAGCCGCTCTGAAGAGAGGGTGCGCTGACCTGGGGGTTCATTACCTTCCTCTGCCAAGTTACAAGGTACAGCTTTCGGATTTTGCTCTTCAACCTCATTTTTGCTCTACCACTATTGGCTTGGATCTTTAGACTTTGGACCTTTTTGGATTCCCTTCATATTTCCTTTTAACCAGCAAAATTAAACTTGTTGCTGGGGGATCTACAGCACCCCTTACATTATACACCTGAACATTGCCTTGTAAATGGAGGTTTCCCTCTATTTTGGTGGAAAAAGCAATGTTTCAAATGGGCAACATGTATCTTTTAAGGAGCCCTGTTCAAGAAGCCAGCTTTAGGGTATGGTCGCCAGAAAAAAGATCCTCCATGACAACTGCTTCAGGTTGTTTGTAAACAACCTGTAAAAGGAATGCGTTCATTAGAATTGCTTTAGGTTTCCGCTTGTGCGAGGCATGCCCTCATCATAAGCTTCACCACGTGTAGCGTGACCAATCATTGCTATTTCTTGTAATGACTTGAACCGCAAGCACTTCCTGCAAAAAGGGTTATGTAAGTGCAGCTGGGTACAGGCCCTGAATTTGCATCTCGGCCTGTCTATACCCAGTGGGCGTGACCGGTCGCGCGCGCAAAAAAACAAACAAACGCATGCATTCTGGATGCCCGGCGTGGCAACCAAATCATCCTAGCCAAAGACACGCATCAGGGCAGGCTCACATGCCCAAAGGACCCAGAAATAAAAGGTTAACCTTTTGGGTTCATGACTAAAACTAGACCAAAAAGCAGAAACCAAAAGGTCAAAAGGTCGGCGTGGCAAAAAGAATCATCCCAAGGATGCGCCTCTTTCAGGGCTCCCTCAATTTCCACCTAAAAACCTCACCCCCACCAAGAAACACACTCACCCTTCATGGGCCAAAAAAGGGTGATGTTTACCATCGCCAAGAAGGGAAATCCCTCGGGACCCCCGTCTTCGGGGCAGCGGGAAACCAAAGTGCCGAGCGGCCCTTGGTGAGGCAGGCGGACAGGCTGGCCCACAAGGTGACATCGCCCACGTCCACGCAGAGCACATCCTGCCCTCCCATGCGCGAAGACATCTCCTGGCAACGAGCCGCAAGACATGCGGATTCAGAACCCGGCCCCGTTTGCCCCAACCTGCGGGGCAAAGTGCTTCTTCCATGTGATGAAGCCGCCCGGAAACGCCATATTTTTCCGCAGTAAAGCGAGGAAGTTTCGTTGTAAAAGCCAGCAGGGCAAGCTTGAGCAAATGGAAGTTTTTGAGGAGACCCCAGACGTGGCAGTCAAGGCCAGCAAACATGACGAAACATGCGCACCCGCCCTATCTTTGGCTGAACGCCTTCCAAACCGAGTTGTAAAGGGATACTTTCTTGCCTCTTGCCTCGAGGGTACATGTTCAATCGAAATCTGACATCTTCCTTTGGCCCGCATTGTCCTCCATAACTGTTGCAGGATGCGCAAAGCCGCTGGCAACTTTGCTGAGACATCTGAAGCGGTTGCATTGCTTCGAAGCTTTCCGGAAGTTCCCATCGCGCACGCAGTCCTGGTAAGCTTCGAAGCGGACCAGGAAAGCGATGCCACGACGTGAACACTTGCAACTCAAATGTCCGATATGTGGCCCTCTCTCTGAACGAGAACACCTGAAACCGGCAGTTTCTCTGTAGGATTCTTCGTTCACTGAACTGGGGCAGGGGTCGTAGCACTGGCTTTTGCTTTACTCGCGGCTCACTTGCCTTATCTGCCCTGCAGGGTGCCCAGCTAGCAGCAGCCCACTAACACCCCGGAATGGGGGGTGGGGGGTGGGGGGGGGGGGGGGCGGATCGACAACATGTGCTACGAGTAAACTGAACACCCCGAGAATACGAACCGAATGCAGTCAGCCAAAAACGCTTGGGGATGGCCTCGTTTTCGCAGAACCAGCCGCCAAACAAGATCCACAACCGGCTGAAATACCGTGTTTCAAGGGGCCGAACAAACGCACACACTCAGACTCAGGGTCAGCTCCGGAACTCAAGCTCCAAGAAGAAAAAGAACGGCTTTTCTCATGGCCCCCCAGTCCCATAGCTTCTTGTGCTCTTCCGGAATCTCCAGCTTTGCCTGCTTCGCCCCAGAGACCAAATGCAAGGTGGCCGCATCCGGTGGGCTGGTCATATCCATGCCACCTTGGGATGGACTTTTCGAGGGTTGATTTTCCTCTTCCACTCTTTTCAACCATCGTTCTTGTCAAAAACCGGATCCGTTTTCTCTGGGTTTCTGAAGGTATTCCTGGAAAGAATGGGGAAGGTACCCCTAGAATTTTCACCATTCCGGCCATTCGGCTAGAGAGATTCTAGCATGACAGGTCTGACAAATGGGTGTGGGGCAAAAACCGGTGCCCAAAATGGCTTGCCCTGGCAAATGGAAACAAGGGACCATGACACCCGCGGTCCATATCCTGGTGACAAATTCTGGCCCATACCCAACTTCCAGTCTCGATCCTTACCTTCGATTTGCCTTCTCGCCCCCCCCCCCCAAAAAAAAAAAAAACCTGGACATATCTCCAGCAGTGAAGTCTATTCCCTTTAAAACCAACAGGGACAAAAAACAACACACATTCATTTCAGCAAATGGACGCAACTATTCTAAGAACCCACAGAAGACAATTAAACATCTTCTTTTCAGCAACTAGGTCCTCCATAAAATAAGGGTATCCTTGTTTCTGTAGTCTATTTTAGTAGGGGAACCCTCCCCAAAAAAAGGGTAAAAGGGCATAAAAGGGCGCTACTGGTAGGCAAATTATTCTAAAAACCAACAGGGGACAATTACACATCTTCTTTTCCCTTTGACCCCAGCAAACTGGGCTGTCCTCGGATCCCCCCACTTTTAGTCGGTCAAATGGAAATCCCCCCCAAGCAAAACACTAAAAAGAGCTAAGAAGCTAAGGAGCCGCATGGCTGGGAACCGCCTTGGGGAAATCTTCGGCTTTTTCAGCCCATGGCAGAAAAACAGAAAGCCGCCGGCCACTTCCTTCGAGCGGCTGTACGCGAGCTCTCGCGCCCAGGACTCCGCCAGAGACGGGGACTCCGCCAGACTCTGCGAGGCTTTCATGGCCTCGCGAGAGTCGGTTTCGGAGGCCACCAGACATCCAAACGGGAAATGGCTCAAACCTCAGTTGCGGTTTGCTCCCCTGCTAAAAGTGAATCCGCCGACCCTCTGCCTCCCGTCCCAGCCTCCTGCAGAGGGGACCGGCGTGGGATGCAACTGGAAGTGATTGGAATCAATGATAGTCCCTGGGGGGCACGCCCGAAAGCACAAAAAGTGGATTCCCAGAACCGGTCCCAGGACCGGTCCCGGGACCGGTCCCCGGACCGGTCCTCGGTCCTGGGACCAGTCCGACCAGTCCTGGGACCGGTCCTGGGACTGGTCCTGGGACCGCTTCGGATTACTTGCAGTCAGCCAAAACCGGTCCTGGGACCGGTTGGTCCTGGGACCGGTCCTGGGTCCCGGCCAGGACCGCTTTCAGGACTGGTCCAAGCCGGAAGTCCTGGTGTGACCGCTGGTAGAGAGTCCAATACGTCGAGTCAAACCGTGCCAGACTCAGACCAGCCTGGACAGGGTCCCAAGTCCCGGTCCCTGCCGGCGACCGGTCCAGGGCCACTAGGGCCACTGTCGCCGGGGCAGTTTCGGGAGGGCCAGTTTCAGGGCGACCCGGGACAGGCGACTGCTCCCGGGCCAACTCGAAGTGACTTGGGCGCAAGCCGGCCCAAGCGGCAATTAACGGACTAGCTGCCATATTTCTGACTTTTCCGTTAATCCTTGTTTGTGGTCATAGAAAATCTTATAAGTGGTCCCTGGGTTTGCGGACGTGTTTCAGGACCGGTCCTTGTGCCTTTTCCCTTAATGCGCCGAGGGTCGGCGGCAGCAGGCGGGAGCCTGGTTAATAACTTTCAGTGGTGTAATTCGGAAAACCCATTTTTCTTCTTGGCAAAAAGTTATTCAGTCCTAACATGCCTTGGCAAAATGCACCAAAGAAACATAGGCTCAGAACTCCCCAAAGACCCTGGAACCTGGTTCATCTTTTAGGGCCAAAAACCAACAGGTGAAAAGGTTGGCTTTGAACAACTGAGGCTGTTCCCAGATGCCCTGAAAGTCTAGCATTTAGTGGGTTACATGGAACCTCCCCCCACTAAACCAATTAAACAAGCTGAAAAAGCCTCAGGGGATGCATGGGGAAACGCCCAACATATCCTCCAAACATATTTTAAAAGTAGATTATGTTTCGTATTTGGCCATGGGTCAAAACCCACATCGTACCCCCAGTGAACATCCCAATCCCACTAAAATAGGTCGGTGCACCAAACACCCCAAAATGGGATCCCACTGGTTTTGACCCACAGCCACATCCGCAAAATGGGAAAGGGGAAAATAGCTGTGAGACTAGGTGCCCAACATGGATCCATATCCTGGTGGTTTAATTTTGACCCATATCCAAATCTGAAATGGAAGAATGGAACTGTCGACGAAATTTGAGGGATTACCCTTTTCCCCCAATTTCACTGTCTTTTCTGTGATCCCAAACCTTCGCCATCCCTAGGACTACAGTGTCATTCTGTGTCACTCTCAAAGGGGGTCCCCCTGGAGCCCACACAGGGATCCTTACATTATACACCTGAGCATTGTCTGGTAAATGGTGGTTTCCCGTTATTTGCACCAGATGCCAGCATTTTTTGAAGCCCCACCATGCTCTTGCTACCATTGAGAGTGGTTTGACTCTTGCTTGTACAGGGTTGCAAGGTGCATCACACACACACACATTGACCTGTATCAAACCAGGCAAGAAGCAGTGTGTGCTGTGTGAAGCGGTCAAGTTTGGCAGAGGCAAGGTCAGCCAAAAGCTGGCAAAGCCGTGTAAGTTGCCTTGTGTGTCAAACACATTTTTGGTGGAAAAAGCCATGTTTCAAATGGTTGCAACATGTATCTTTTGAGGAGCCCTGCCACGGAACCCCCAAAAACCCGATCGCCGGGCCTCGAGCAAGCGCTTAATCATGTACTTCACATCGCCCACCACGTCGTACAAGGCGCGGTACCTGGCGTTGATCCTGAGGCACATGGCGTCGGGCTCGAACTTGATCACGGGCCGAATCTGCAGACCCGCGCGGTTGCAAAGCAACAGGGTGTCGTCGTGGTTCCCGATGGAGATCACCAGCTGGGCGGTTTCTATGATCCTAAGCTGCTCAATGGAGAAGCCGCAGCATGCATGTGCTGCCCTACTGCTTTCGAGCAGAGAATGTAGTTGCTGTTTACCCCTCTGCAAAAGGTTTAACTTGTTGTGAGTCCAATGGAAAATCCACGACTTCCACAAAAGCTGAAGTCCAAAGATCCAACCGAAAAGCCAGACAAATGGATACTTGCACGTGGCTGTCTGTTTCGACACCTCCCTGTACCACAGTTCATGGCACACAGCTGCAACCACTGAGACGAGCATCCGCGTTGCTTTCTCCAGCCCAGACTTGCCGTGCACTCCGATGACCCCGAATGCCAAGGGATGGGATTCATCCACGCAGCCCTTCGCATCCTTGGCGCTGGTTAGAGCAGTGCCAGGAGTCAAGCGCAAATGTCATCTCTGTCCGCATGCATTATCTTCATCCCGCAAACTTGCCGACAAATCGATGCTAGCAACGACCCTGCCGAGTTTGGTCTCCTTGCAATGGTCTACTTTCTTGAATGCTTTGAAGCGAAGGAGGCCCACAGCTTTCCGCAATGCCAGCCACAGCGACAGCAACAGCAACATCAACAGCAGCAACAGCAACAGCAGCAACAGCAGCAACGACGACACCACCCGCAAGACCAGCAATCACATCAACAACGCCAGCAACCTCGACCACACGCACAACCACAACCCCGACACCAACGAAACCAATAACACCAACAACACCAATACCACCACCACCACCACCAGCAGCAGCAGCAGCAGCAGCAAGAGCAGCAGCAAGAGCAGCAGCAAGAGCAGCAGCAAGAGCAGCGGCAGCGGCAGCAGCAGCAGCAAGAGCAGCGGCAGCAGCAGCAGCAGCAGCAGCAGCAGCAGCAGCAGCAGCAGCAGCAGCAGCACCACCACCAGCACCACCACCAGCACCACCACCAGCACACCACCACCACCACCACCACCACCACCGCCGCCGCCGCCGCCGCCGCCGCCGCCGCCGCCGCCGCCAACAATACCACCACCACCAACAACAACATCAGCAGCAGCAGCGGCAGCAGCAACAACAACAGCAGCAGCAGCAGCAGCAACAACAACAACAACGTCAACAGCAGCAGCAAGCAACAAACACAACAACAAGAACAATTACAACCACGACCAGCACTCCCCTACTGCTACTGCTACTGCTGCTGCCACTAGTGCTAGTGGTGGTGGTAGTGCTGCTGCTGCTGCTGCTGCTGCTGCTGCTGCTGCTGCTGCTGCTGCTGCTGCTGCTGCTGCAAGAACCACAACCACAACAACAATCACAACCATTGCTTGCCAGTCTAGGCATCCAACAACCGCCCTGCTTTGGATGAAGGCATCAAACTGTAGGACATGTTGACTACGCCACATGGTCTCCGCATTGTGTGAAGGACAAGTCAGCCGCCTATGTTGACCTTGGAACTCTGAAAGGAAGTAGAATTGGCAGAGGTATTGAGGCAGAAAGGGGCATCTTTAGTCGAAGTGCTGGTGGGTGCATCAACACGGTCAGGGGATGTCAACAAACCCCGCGTCTCTAAAGTAGTACTGGCTGAAAGTGGGTCAAGGCAAGGGTCTGTCTTTGTTCAGGGGATCAATGACGGGGATCAATGAGGGGGACACTGCGCAAATCTCTGTTGCTTTCTGCTCCCCTGCTAAAAGTGAATAACTTTTAGTGGTTTAATGGAAAACCCATTAGTTGGCAAAAAGTTAAAGTCCTAACATCCCTTGGCAAAATGCACCAAAGACATGTTGCAAGCACCTTGCGCTCAAAAACCACCGGTCACTGCTCCCCGCCAGGCGGCCAGCCGTGTGAGCACTGGGGCACTCAGGCCTTGACGCGCGACGTTTAACGCCACTTGCGGAATCCTGGCTTCTCAAAAAAAACTGGGCAGCCCTCAGATCCCCCGCTGAAAGTTTAACTTTTAGTGGACACTACCTAAAGAATCTAAGAAGCTAAGGGGATGGCTGGGATGGAGAATTCGTATTTTCGTTGGGAAAAAGCAGACATCTGAAATCATTCCAGTGCGACGAGGAAGCGTGTCTGCCAGTTCGAGTGTGCTGGGTACGCGCCGGGTGAGCGCCGGGCACGTGCTTCTTTTTGCGTTGTCTCTCACGGGGCTCGATTCGCAACTTAGGCTTTGTGGAAAATGGCATTGTGGCTAATACGGGCTCGGCCTCATGCCCACTGCAGTCGACCATTTTGATCTTCGGCTGTGAAGTCTCATTTGCAGCGGACACCGGGCACTCGGAGCGTACTTGGTGCACTTGGTGTGCAGTCACGGATTTTCAGCCGCTCGGAAACACCCTAACCGAAAAGTTTGCAAGGTATCTTCTTGGAAAAGGGGTACGGGTGCCTGATGCTTCGCCCTGCATTGAGGGACATTTCATGCTCTCTCTTGTCTCTCTTTCTTCTCTTCTCTCTCTTCTCTCTCTTCTCTCTCTTCTCTTTCTTCTCTCTTTTGTCTCTTTTGTCTCTTTTCTCTCTCCTCTCTTTTCTCTCTCTTCTCTCTCTTCTATTTGTGCAAGGTGCCTTGCAGCTGATGATTGCCCCCAATACTAAAGGCTGGCAAAACGTGGAGGTGGGAGACTGGACTCAGTCATGTTGCTCAGGATCTATCAACCATGGTTTGTTAGCCGGGTTGTCTCTTGTTACCAGGTCAAACATGCTATGCCCCGACATCTCATTAAGAGGCCTGGCGCAGCTTTGCAAAGCAACCCTGGCCTCATCATTTTACCAAAACCGGATCGGATGATCGCAACACCTGATAAAGGGATCCTTACGGCCATATCAAAACTTACCTGCTTTGTAAGGGAGCCTCTAATTCGGCCGGTAAAAGTGACTTTGTCACTGGCCCGAATGTAGCCTTTGAGGGACCCTGTTTGTTGCCCGACACGACGAGCCGCGCTCCGCCAGTTGTAGGATCTCTTCCCCTGCGTCCACTGCGCGGTGCCCCACCGCGATCACCACCCGCCCGCTGCCGCGGTCCACGGCGGCACTCAGCTCCGAGGCCACGTTGCGAATGAGGTACCTCAGTGCACATGAAGCAGGTACCCTCACTCCCACTAATGTTGACTTTGGATTAATAACCCCCCCGTTTATTATTATTTTGTTTTGGGGGGGTGTTCCCCTCGAAAAGTGATACATCCCCACTAAAGCCAGGACACCCCCATATTAATGAATAAGGGTTTATTAATCCGGGGTCGACATTATTAGCATGGCACCTGACAGGGGTCCCCACAAGAGGGAAATGATCTTCCAGGTACCCTCCCACAAGTGCTATGTTAGTGGAAGGGAGGGTAGCGGCAAAACATCGCCATTCGTGAAAGACACATTGTGTGGGCTGACGAAGTGAGTGAGCACACACACACACACACACACGAAGAGCGGTTGATTTGCTGTCCGCCTTGAGGCAGAATCAACGTCTACATTTGGCTGAGACATTCATGTGGGACCAGTGAGGCTTTCATGGTTGGAGCCCTGAAAAACTGTTTTCGAGCTGCCAGCAAAACTTCTGTCTGGGTTGCCGTGTTGCCATTGCAGCCTAGTGGCTATTAGTAACTAGGGGCCATAACCCTCCCAGGGCCATGAATCAGTGTTGCACATCACAGGCCTTGAATCGCCCATTGCCTGAGGAAATGACAACAAACATGTGCAACTGAATGGCCAAGCAGTGAAAAAGTGGGAGCTAGGGACTTGAAAAGCCTCATGTCTCATGTCTTTTGTTCCCAACACATCACTGAAGCTTCAGGTAACACCGAAGAATCAGCACTTTTGTTTTGCCCGCGCACTGTTAGTGCTTCCATCTTAGCAGTGGTTTGATGCCAGGGAAAAATGAATCGCGGGTTGGTGGACAAATCCCCCCTGAATGGTGCCTGAGGGTCCCCAATCAACATTGAATTGTGCGCTTAATTTTTGGCACCGCGGCGAGTGAGAGTCTGCCAGCGTCAGCTCATCCCGCGCGTCTGCGGCACAGAAGGGCTTCAAAGGCACAGGGCTGTCAGCTGCTTGCCTGGGCACAGGGCTACAAGTGAGTGCCCGTTTTTCGCCAAATCTGGGAATCCTTGGGGCAAGTTTCGGGGTTGGCCGCCTTTCTTGCACATGGGTGTATCTTTTTTGGGCCCTCCTCCCCCAAAAAAAGTGCTTTTCCCCCGTTGGATTCCCTTTAAAACCACAAAACAAGGTACCCTCAACATGGTTCGCATACCAATCCAATCAGTGGTTTCCACTGACGGATGAGGACAGTGACACACTGTGACAGTGGCGTCTGAACATAGCACGCACACTGCAACACGGTACATTGCATTGCAATGCATACATGGCATCACGCTCAGTTTCACTGCAGGCATTGCGCCGATCGCTACATGGCGCACATATGGGTGTGGCTCAAAATTATAGAGCTGGGGTTGTATACACAAGTTTTGGTCTTTCCATTTACCAAGGGGGTCGTTTTGCGTTCCATTTATTTGCGCCACAGCCATAAAGCGCATTTGCGCATTGCAAGCTTTGGGAACTGCTCCTGGAGTTGACCAGTAGGGTTTTCCAAGCCGAGTGCCAATCACACGGGACAACGAAAGGGGGGGGAGCTTGCGGTAAACCTGCCAAAAAGTTAAAAGGGGCACTCAAAGGACATCCGAAGGCACATCAACAGGAAACCAGAAAAGAAACAGGGAAACCATTATGAAGCGAGAACTCTCAACGATTTTATGCTTGGAACATTGGCAACACATTCGAGCTTCACATCTCTGACTTCCTGAGTGGATAGGCCAAACAAGTAACCAAACTTTGTGTTTACCACTGAAATGGTCCAAACCAAAAAAGTGCCTAAAGTCCGAACCGGAACTCAGGAAGTTAGTTCTGACATCGATTTCCCTCTAAGCCAATCTTCGGAAGCCAACATTGGCGCCAATATTCCACCATTATCAAAGTCACCCCCCAAATGGTAGGCTAAAGGGAAACCTCCATCAATTCCAGTTTCTGACTTGGACACCCAGAAATGATCTGAAAATAATGACCCCCCAGTCTTCAGGAGTATGTCCTCTTAAAAAGAAGGGGACCAAGAACTACCCCCAGAAATGGCCTTAAAATAATGACGCCCCCCGTATTTTCCCCATTCCACCCCCCAATCTTCAGTGCTTTTTTTTTTTTTAAAAAAAAATAAAAATAAAAAATAAATAAAACAAATCAGGGGCCCAAGAACTATGTGCTTTTGGTTTTTACATTTAGGGACCCAAGAACTGGTGTTCTTTTTTCCCCATGGATTCCCGAAGCCGAAGTGGCACATCCACCGGCACCGCCAGGTGCACGCAGGTCCGCAGCGTCAGCGCCTTGGCCACAGCATCCCGGAGCAGCGGGATGAGAGCGTCCGGGCTGTGGACGTCGAGGCTCATGGGGAGGCCGCCCCCGGCGAAGAGTCGGCTCTGCTGGAGGTCCTGGAACTCACCTCATGTTGGGACTCGGTGCGATAGGCAGGGAATGTGGGCATCCTGGGAATTCACAAGGTGCGAAAGGACACCACTCTTTTGGGAGAGGGGGAGGTTGAACTTGCGATCGCTGCGATAGGCAGGGACTGAGAAATGGAATGAACCTGGGAATTCCCAAGGACACCACAAAAACAAGCTTTAAGGGTCAACAGAAGTACCCCCCCCTATCAATACAGGAGAGCCAGAAGGAAAGCCAAAAGGACACACATTTTTTTGGTGGGTAGGGAATGTGGGAATGAACCTGGGAATTCCCTAAGGAAACTGCAAGGGATGATTTTTAAAGGTCAGAGAATGAGGGAATGACCCCTAGACCACCCCTTGTGGCTTCCCCTAAGGGAATCCCTGGCTTCATTCTGCTGAGCACCAGCAAGATTACCCCTCCAGTCACGGGGGGCTAAGAAACCCTCTACCTGCAAGCGGGGTGTTGCTTGCTTTTTTGGATGTACCGGAAGAAGGGGGTGGTGGTGTGGTTTTAAATGGACACCAAAAGCTCGGGTTTTTCTTTGTGGATGCTGCAAACACGGCGATCGGTTCAATGGAAACCACTAGTAAGTCAACCAATCTTTGCAAATACTGAGGGGGAACATTCGGTTTGTGTGTCAAGACCATTGGGTTTTATTCCTATTCGTTATTCTAAGACATGACTTTTGTAAGCACCTACCTGAAAAAGAAACAACACTTTAAAGCTCAACTTGCAGGCTGGGAGTCCTGGAAAGGGAAGCTCATATCTTATCTTGGGCTGGTTCCAGCACTGGAAAACGAGGCCTTGGACCTGAACCGGCAACGCACATCCCACGGACCAGCAAGCGACAAAGGGAAGTCATAGCGTCGCACAAATCTGGGTGCTACCTAGGGTTGTCAGGAGAAAATCGAGCGACCTTCTCCACGCCTCCCTCAGACCAACATGGAGGCTCCCCCGATTGGCCTCTGGAACCAAGTCTTTCATTTTGGGGTCTGGGGGCTTCCACGGAATCGCCCGGGCAAGTCAGCCAACCGCTTGATTGGTGGCTCGGAGCCCGGTGGCTTTTTTGATCTGAGCTTCTGGCTTTGCGGAGGCTACATGGGACACCCCTCCTGAACCAACCACCGACTTGGCTCCACCATTCGTGGGAAGCTGAAGGAGTCTACTTGGCATGCAGAGAAAAAGAACCAGCACAAATTTTCTGCTGCTGCGTGGCTGTAGCCGATGCCTGCCCGCGGCTTCAGCCCGGTGATGGCGATCATGGGGCACTGATCCTGCAGCCCATCCAGCAGGCCGGTGGTCAAGTTGGCCGCCCCCGGCCCAGAGGTGGCGATGCAAACCTACGGCCAAGAGCTGGGAGAGAGCAAACGAGCCCAACGGCGGCTGCTGTTCGGGTTTGGGGGTTTGGTGGTTTGGGGCGAAAACAAACCGGAAGTGAAGGGAAACCAAGCATATTATGGAGGTTGCGCTATTTGAAGATATGCACATGGATTTTGTGCAAGTGTCCATACCAAACACCCACAATCTAAACACTCATCAGGATCGGACATCATGAGCCAATGGCATGAGCTAATGGTGGTGATTCATCACCCTGGGCAGAAGGGAAAAGCCCGATGCAAAGCCAGAACAACCCGTTTATTTTGCATGTTTTTATTCAGGGCGCAGCCAATGCTGCCGCCTTCGGGAGCCCTCACTGACCTTTGCAATCATTGAAAGGATGGGTCTTCCCCAAACAAGCATCCTCAATCCAAGGCCCCCCCGTGATTGGTTCGCCTCATTCAGGCTAAGAGGCGCCAAGGTTTCCTGTGAGCTTCGCGTGGGCCGCTGCCATGAGGGACGAGTTCGCTTCGTTGCGATTGCAGATCCTGAGCTGGTCGGCTTCACGTCAAAAAAGCCAAGCTGCTGGCTAGGCATTGAACCGGCCCATGTCTTTGTTCCGTCGTTTTCACGTCAAAAAAGCCAAGCCGCTGGCTAGGCATTGAACCAGCCCATCTCTTTTTTCCCTCGTTTTCATGGCAAACAAGCCAAGCCGCTCCACCCGTAGCGGCTGCCGTCGTCTCAGTAGGTTTTGGTTTTGCAGTGGCCAGGCCTTGTGTTTTTGCTGTAAAGCTGCGGCGCTTGGGCGACTGCTGCCTTTCTAAGCATCTTCAGGAGAAAGCAGGCGCGCTTGCTTGGCCACTTTCTTGGAGCAACGCCCGGAGCTTGCGCGTTAGCCGTGTTGTTGATCGTCAAAGTGCTGCCTGTGATCCCGGCGGCCGAACTCAGCAGGCCCACGCTGGCCGCCCCCGTGATGCTCAGCGAGCTGCCCGAGACGGCGCCGGTGGACGTCAGCGTGGCTCCGGCGACGGTGCCGGTGGCCGTGAGCGCTGCGCAGGAGATTGCGCCCGAGGCGTCCACCCCCGTCGTGAACACGTCCGTGCAGTTATTGAAACGGCCCAGGCTTGTTCCCTCGTTTTCATGGCAAAAAAGCCAAGCCGCTGGCTAGGCATTGAACCGGCCCATCTCGTTTTTCCGTCGTTTTCATGGCAAAAAAGCCAAGCCGCTGGCTAGGCATTGAACCGGCCCATCTCGTTTTTCCGTCGTTTTCATGGCAAAAAAGCCAAGCCGCTGGCTAGGCATTGAACCGGCCCATCTCGTTTTTCCGTCGTTTTCATGGCAAAAAAGCCAAGCCGCTGGCTAGGCATTGAACCGGCCCATCTCGTTTTTCCGTCGTTTTCATGGCAAAAAAGCCAAGCCGCTGGCTAGGCATTGAACCGGCCCATCTCGTTTTTCCGTCGTTTTCATGGCAAAAAAGCCAAGCCGCTGGCTAGGCATTGAAACGGCCTAGGCTTTTTTACCCTCTTTAGGGTCAAAGCCCAACGCTTCTTGGTTCGTCAATCCGCACACCACAGCCCAAAAGGTCCGAAGGTTTTTTCGGCCATACGGTGAGGTTGGACAAACCACTTTGTTTGGTCGCCAAAAGCCAGATGGTCCCCGAAAGCGACCATTTTTGACGTCCAAAGTGAGGAAAGTGCCTGAAGTCCACTGCGGTTTCTGGGGGAAAAAACAAAAACGAAACATATTTCCAGCAGTGACAGATTCCCCTTAGCACCCACGGGTGAAATTAAATATTCCTTTCAGCAAATAACCAACACTACAAATAATAACCATAACAATAGTAATACTGATAAGAAGAATAGTAATAATAATAGTAATAGTAATAATAATAATAATAATAATAATACTGATAATAATAATACTCAATACAAAACATCCCAAGCAAATGGGAGTTTTGTTGCGGTTTGCCAAGTCTCCAGGTTACCTTTGGGTGCTTGCAAACCGCGTTGACCAGAGGCACCAATGCGCCCCCGTGGCCGCCGAAGATGTGAGTGACCCCTGCGTCCTTGGACGCAGAAATCAACGCAACAATTGGCCTGGCCCTAAAAAGCAAAGTTGAACTTTCCGACCAATTGGTGGAGCAAACGAATTGGTAGCACACCAATTTCTTCCCCCTAAAAACGGCAAATTGGTGGCAAACAACTCGGCTGTTTTCGTGTTTTTCCTTTTCTGCAAGCTACTAAAAATGAACAGAACCAAAAGACCCAAACACGTGAAGGAAGCCCCATGAGGAACCCCTTGGCCTCCAAAGCCAGAAGATGTTTGCAAGGAACCTTGATCCAAGCGGGTCTGATTGAAGGGGTGTGTCCCTCCTCAAAGCTGCAAGCTGTATCCGAGAGGTCAGCAATCCTTCTGTGCAAATTGCTGGCGGTCAACAGTAGCCATGAACGCCACGCACATCCTTTGGAGCCAAGCCCGGCGAAGACCTTTGGGCGGAGCGAAAGCTGTCAGCTGCCCTTTTCACCAGCCTGCTTTACACAAGTTCTCTTCACGGATTCCGTGCCCCACAAACTAGGGAGGTAAAAATGGAAACAAACCCGTCTGAGCCAATTTTCTTCCATTCTCGTGGCAGAACGGCACCTTTGGGCACCCACTTTTGGCGCCCACAATCTTGCCAGCTCTTGAACACTAACTTTCGTCATGGACTTGGAGATCCCTCTCGGGGCTTGCGCTTGCCTGCTTGGAGAAGCGACTCTTTGAAGGAGGCGCTTGCATCTTTCCAGACATCTCCCATTCAATCCTGGTTTCCGAGTCGGATCCTTGACGCAAATTCAGGTTTAGTTTGACCCGGGCCCCGCTCCAAACTGGGGCTGGATTGGTCTACATGTGACGTCTCAAATGAGGACAGCAACAATATGCCTCCCACATCCGGTCAATGCGAACCAAGTCAAGACAAAGCACTGATCCCGTGCTACTTCAGAGCCTCGGTAAGGGAAGTCACTACAGCCCAAGCAGTGACAAACTCTCCCTTGACTTCTTACAGCCTCCCCAAAACTTTCCGGAAGGCTTATTTTGCAGGAGCAACTTGCTCTGGCAGCTGAGCCCAAGTCTCCCCTACAAATCCGTCCGAGCTGCAACCAGGGCGTTCACCACCCACTCGGAGCCTTGCGAAGCCACCAGGTTTTTGCTTCCCGGATTCCCGCGCGGGTTCAAATGGACAGGGGGTTTTCACCGCCACCATGCTGGGGTGCCCATGTCAGTTGTCTCGCCCGCTTCTTTTTTTACCCCCAGCAACACGAGGTTTCCTCGTTACCCGAAACCAGCATGGATCCCATGAAACCCTTGGGGGTGGGGGTTCTGGGAGGTCACCTTCTTAGATTTTGAACGGATACTCGGCCGCAAGTAGGTGCGGCCGCGGACATGGCCACGCCTCCCTCTGCCAAGCAGCAGTTGCATTTCGCAGGAGTCGGAGATGGCATAGATCGAGGCATGCTATCCGATGGCAACGTGGGATGCTCCTGCAGCGGCTGGTCGATCAGCCACATCTCCTGAGGGGGGCCAGGCAATCTTACTGACGCAGCATCCGCTTTGTGCAAGCAAAGGCGGAACAAGCCTGCAGTGGGTCTTGCGAGCGGAGTGCGATTTTTTGCAAGCAGGCTGTGCAAGCCTACCAGGGCACTCACAATCCCACAGCGTCTCTTGGAGTTGGTATGCGCCCATCAGTAGACTTCCGCAAGGAAGACACCACACAACGCCAAACCCAGAGGCAACACTTGAAACTGGCACAACCCTTCTGCGGGCCTCCAAACGGCCGTGACCAAAGGGAAAGAGAGCCACTGGGTGTTTGCGTTGGGGTTCTGCCATGTTTGGGGGAGGAGGACTGGGGATGCTTTTGGGCGTTCGGCAAGGAATTGTTCGGCGGCTGGGGCACACACTTGGGCGCTCAAGAAGCAGCTGCTCATCCAGGAAGGAACCGACATATTGAAAGCTGGGGACCCGTTTGCCAACCCCGCAGTCTGTTCTTGGACTCTCCTCTTGGTGTTGGGGTTTTGGGGTTTTGGGGTCCAAACACTCGGTTGGGCCCCCATTCAACTTTCGAGGCGCGACCGAGCCAGCACACCTGTAAGCTGTTCTGTCCGAAAACCTGCTCTTTTCCCGTTTGCCATGTTTGGGGTTGGTTTGTGCCACACTTTCTTGGGCAGGCCCTAGCAGATATAGGAACCATAGACTTCGGCACTGGCGCACTGGCTGAGGGCAATCAGCCACATTTACACGACAGCTTGTGCGAAAGAGGTCGTCTTTGACGAGCGGATTGACACGGGTCAGGCGCAAGCAGAAGGACCCTAAGAGCATCCCTACCCATTTGCCACCAGGATGAAGGTTGGCATTGACCTGTCGCCAAGAAGGGGACCCAAAAATGGTTGGGTGTCCTTTTCGTCCTTTAAAAAAACCCACCATGTTTCAGCCAAGTCAAGGGGTAGACCCACCAAGGAACCAAGGGGTCTGTTGAGGAGATTGATCCAAAGGGCACGGGCACAGTGGTTAGTCCAAAACACCGTTAAGCCAAAAAGTAAAATGGAGGTCAAAGAAGAGGCTGTTGGAAAAAACAGCACCCCCTGTTTCCTCCTGACCATCTGTCAGTCCACCTCTTCTTCCGAGTTTCCAAGTTGAAGCTGGCCACGATGCTGGAGGAGTCCAGGTGGTAAACCTCCTTCACGTCCTCTGGGAGATCCGAAGGTCAAATTGGGCGACTGTGTCTGTGGAAAGCCTTTCATGTTTCACACGACTCTTGATTGGTGGCTTCATGTGGGTTGGAGTGGTGGTTTGGAGATTTGAGCCCTTGTTTCTTCTTCATGCAAGGGGAACCACTCTCTATCAATCAGACCTTGTCCTGGACACACAATTCGGGGATCGTCCCCCCAAAATTGGCAAACTGTATGCTGCCACATGGCTGATCTTAGCAATGCTCAGTGATGTATTTGCGCAGTATACTTTGCTGGCCACTTCTGAGAGATTCCATTTCTACGCTTGTGAGCAACCCTTTTGAGCCATGTTTTCTTCACCGGCAAAGCTCACCGACTTGACCGGACGACTCTTACGGGAGAAGCTTGTAAGAAGACTTTCACTCTCACACTTCTGTCTAACGCGGATTCCTCCTGAGCACGGCTGCTTGGTAAGATTTGGGCCAACACTTCTGTGGCAAGTGTTCTGAGTGACCCTCTTTACCGACACTTCTCACTTTGGGAGCTGCTTCGCAAACACCACGGTTTGTCTCAAAAAGAAGGGGTCTTCTTCTTCCCCGTTGGTTCCCCTGTACAGGGTCCGGGTACAGCACCAACTCCCCCGTCATGTTGACTCATGCGAGGCCCGGCGCGGCGAAGCCCGGGCCAATATCTCCTGTGGCTGCACCGCCTGGGCGGTCTGCGCGCGACAGCTCCGCCTCAACGTCACCAAGTGCGTGTGGAGGGTCAAGGAGCTGTCGGCCCCTGGCGAAAGGAAACAGGCCGCGCTTTTCGGAAGCGGAAGAGAACATGCTTGGTATGTGGAGCTATGTGGCCCTTTTACAGTGGCTATATATATATATATATATTTATGTATCATATGTTGTTGTTTTTTGCCCTGTTTGGGAGTGGAACCGTCGTAGATCCAGGCCGAGGCTTGTCTGTGGCTACCCTTCGCCAACCCCAAACAACATGGAATGGGCCAGTCGAAAGGAGCTCCATATGGGGAGGGTACGTGAACTGGCTTGGGGAATTTCCCTCGGAAGGACGGAATCGACCGCTAGCAACATCTCGGGAAGGTTCTTCCATTCTCCAGGAACCCACCTATGCTCCAAAACAATTCCCTCTACTTTCTTCCATTCCCCCCAACTCTTTTGAACTGCCACCCTTTCGGGCCAAACACTGGCCTGGGGAAAGCGAATCCATGCTCGTCGTGCCTTTTTCAACCCAAGTTTCCCTACAATTAATTCCAAGCAGTTGCTAAGCAGTTGGCGTTCCGATACTTTGACACAACCCCCCTTTGTACAACGGCTTGGCCAGCCAAACCGATCCCTTCCCACCTCCTCCAGCGCTACCGGAGGCACCTTTGTACAAGACCTGGGCGTTCCGAATTTCTCCCCGCGCAAGGGGGAAGAGGCCACACCTTTCGGTAGGTCACAGCCCTGCAAGAAATTAAAAGCCACAGACACGTCCGCTTGGCGCCGAAGACCCAAGCTACACATGGGATTGTCCACAATTAGGAGACCGAGACATCAACAACACCCCCAGCAATTGACCCGGAAAGTTGCGCCCAACACTCTACACTCTTCCCAGTGACTTTGCTGGCTTTTGATGGTTTTTGGGGCCCAACCCACATTTAATTTTGCTCATCCCTGACACCTTGGCTCCAATATCCGCTTGCCTTGTGCACTGTCCCAAAGGGAGTCGGACCTAACGCGGATTTCGCATTTCCCTTCCGCCGCCTTTAGGGTAAAAGGGCTCCCTCCCACCAATGAACATGAAACCTGACAGGGGGGTCCTTGTAAAAGGAACATTGTCTTCCAAGACTCCCCGCACGTCGAACGGTTCCATGTGAATTGGTGGAAGGGCAGCCTCAAACGCTTGCCTATGTTCTAACGGGAGTTGGACCTAACTTACATAAATTTCGGATTTCTTGTTGCCCTTAGGGTAGGCAAGGCTTCCAGGACCCCCCGATCGTTGAACGGGTCCATGTGAATTGGTGGAAGGGCAGCCTCAACAAACAGTTACCGGGCATGTTCTTTTCTTCTCCTTTTTCTGACCTGTCCAAGGTCAGAATTCTGGACCTGGTTGCAGCTGGGGTCGTTTTTGGAAAAGGCTATGTTCTAACGGGAGTTGGACCTAGCATGGATTTCGGATTTCCTTTTGCCCTTGGCGTAGAAAAAGGTTAGCCTCCCACCAATTAACATGAAACCTGACAGGGGGGTCTTGTAAACCCCCGCACGTCGAACGGTTCCATGCGAATTGGTGGGACGAAAAAAGTCTTCCAGGACCAGGACCCCCCTGTCAGGTTCCATGTGAGTTGGTGGGAGGGCAGCCTCGAAAACAGCTACCAACCCCTCGCCTTGTCCAAGCCGGTGACGCCCTTCTTCTCCGCCGCCCGCATGTCCGCGACAAAGCCCACCACCACGCAATGCACGTTGTGCTCCACCTGGGAGGGTGGGAAAGCGGGCCCCGATTCCATGTCTCCGGTCTTCCCCATGAAAAGGGAAAATGGAACCAGAAATGGATTTCCAAAAACCCCGTCTTTGAAAGGGTGCGTTTTTTTTTTTTTTCCGTCCGGGCCAGCAACATGTCGTATTTTACAGCATTTTCTCGCGAAATTGACGCATTTTACACTAGCTCGTCAACATCCCCAGCATCTTTTTCAACATCCCCCGCATGTCCGACCAACAACCCTAGCATCACCAACAAATCGTGGGTAACAAAATCCAAACATGTAGCTGGCGGGTTGACGGGGTCAAAACAATAATGCTTCAAACAGGAGGGCATTTTAATCCCAGCAAAAAAAAACACATATACAAAAAAACAATTAAGAAAAACAGAGCGGGGTAGTGATGATTCGAACAGGGGTGCAATTAAATCTCTGCAAAAAGTCTAAAAAGTAGCGGGGGGGTTGGGGGGGGCGGCAGCCCCCCCCATGATGTTCGAAGAATTGATGATTCAACTAGGGGTGCAATTAATTAAATCTCTGTAGAAAATCTAAAACGTAGCGGCAGCCCCCCCATGATGTCGGAAGAAGTGGTGATTCAAGTAGGGGTGCAATGATTCAAGAAAGGGTGTGATAGAATTTAAAAGGCAGCGGGAGGGTTGGCGGGGGTGGCTTCCCCTATGATGTTCGAAGAAATGCATACATACAGACATACACGGACTACACAGATTACCTAAAATGTCGTATTTTGCAGCATTTTCTCGCGAAATTGGACGCTCGAAAAAGTGATGATTCAAACAGGGGTGCAATTCAATCTCTGCCGGGCCAGTAAAGTGTCGTATTTTACAGCATGTTCTCGCGAAATTGACGCATTTTACACTAGCCCGTCAACATCCCCCGCATGTCCCACCAACATCCCTAGCATCACCCACAAATCGTGTGACGGGGTCAAAGAAATGATGATTCAAGTAGGAGGGCATGTCAATCCCTGTAAAAAATATAAAAAGTAGCGGGGGGGTTGGGGGGGGCGGCAGCCCCCCCACGATGTTGTTTGCAGAAGTGATGATTTGAATAGGGGTGCAATTAAATCTCTGCAAAAAGTCTAAAAAGTAGCGGGCGCGCCCCCCCCATGATGGTCGAAGAATTGATGATTCAACTAGGGGTGCAACCCCCCCATGATGTTTGAAGAATTGATGATTCAACTAGGGGTGCAACTAATTAAAACGTAGCGGGGGGGGTTGGGGGGGGGATGTCGGAAAAACCGCCACCTGCCGAAGAGGAACTGAAAAGCCAAAAAGCCAGCCCAGAAGCCGAAAAGCCAAGAAGCCGAAAAGCCAAGAAGCCGAGAAGCCAAGAAGCCGAAAAGCCAAGAAGCCAAAAGCGAAAAACATTCCCAAGAAAAAAGCGAAAACACATCCTAAAATAAATACCTCTCCATTCCATTTAAGGGGGTGGGGACACCTGGACCCCAACTCCGCGGCGCGGCGCGGCGCGGCTTGGTGAAGCAGCGGGGGCCCGGAAAATGGCAACGGCTTGGGTTTTTTCGGTTCCTCTCCACACCGAGCGAACAAAGGACGTCAACTGAAAGAACTCACATAGACGCGCACACACACACACAAATGCACATATATAAAACTATATATATATAGCTCTCTCTCTCTCTCTCTCTCTACATGCACACATGTATTCATAGACGTATATTCATACATGTATATATAAATAAATAAATATATATATATATATATACACAGCTAACTCTGCACTTATGGCATTGCAAACCTAGCACGCCATTGTGCCTGTTGCAGATTCGTCGTTGGCCCTTCGGCTGCGTAGGTGCTTACCTATGGGCCGTTTAACCGCCGTACTTGATCATTATCATCTAGGGACCCCCACTCGTCAACTTACGTGGAATGGCCGGGCCATGACTGCTGGACACAAATTCCGTCCATGAGTTGGGACAAGTGCAAGATGTGGACAATTGGATGCTGGCAGCCCAAACGCCTCGCGAGTAGTTGCAATTCCTGATGGGGTTCCCCATATCATGTCGTCTTCAGGATCAGCAAGTCCAATGATGCAACACGCCAAGTCGCGTGAGGGGCAAAGGGGTAATACTTCTCTTTGGCCTCGAAGATGTTCTCATGCCTCAAGGAAACCAAACACAACTGGCCCTGCCACTGCACACACCCATCCCAGCAGGCTCTTTTCGTCTTGGGAGTGGGTCTGTGGCGTGTGCCGATCCAGTGAGAAGGTGGCCAAAACCCGAAAAGACTTTGGGTCCTACGAACACGAATATTGCTGTTTATATAGGCTCTACGTTTAAACCGGTAGTATAACCACCTACCAAGCTGGACAACAGGGGCTGTCATCTCTGTTGCGCACACCTTGGGCATGGGAAACGAGCTCACATCCCCTAGACTTCTCATGTGTACTCAGCCCTGGCTCTGAAAATGAGTATCATGGGATAAAGGGATGCCCGTGTCAACCTCCCTTGCTGTTGGCAAAGCCCTGAGCAGCCGTGCAGAGCTTCAATGGTCGACCCCCTTTGTGTTGGAATTTAAAGCGCGGCCAAAAGGAAACCTGTTTTAGGCGGCCACTTCCACCAAATCAGGCTCCGGGGATGCTTTGCGTGCTCCATTTGCGAAATGCTGAGTTATGTGCTGACATCAGTGACACTCACACAGACACACACACACACATCCCAAACGCCCAGAGGATTTCCATGCAAAAAGGGGCACCGTGGCGGAAACATGCGTGGCTGCAACATACACCGCAACAAAATAGGAATACCTCACGCAACCGAAAAAGAGGAGACCAGTGTCCAAATCATCGAAATGCAAACTGACAAAGCATGTTGGCAACCTCACTGCGAAGACACAAGGCAACAAAACATGTCCGAAGTATTGAACACCTTACGTATGCTTCCTCAAAAGTGTCAGGGCAATCACGGCCTTTGCTTTTTGGTTCTCTCTCTCTCTCTCACTCACTCACTCACTCACTCACTCACTCACTCACTCACTCACTCACTCACTCTCTTTCACTCACGCACATGTCCCGCATGGCATCGCTTTTGCTTAGCGGCGCTGTCGTGGGCAACGCAATGGCCACACCTGTGCACCATGCCGTGGCCGGGAAACAGAGTCTCCCTCCAGCCGCAAACATTGAAGCTGGAGGCCCATGAAAGACCGTTTTCCTCTTACAAGCTTTTCTCTTCAAGGGGCCTTCTGTCTGCTTCCGTGGAGGGTGAAAGCGTGAAAGCTGTTGACTCGCTCCACAAGATACATTTCCTAAGAAACAAGATTCTACCCAGGCCAGGCTCTGGCCTTGCTTGCCTTCCAGTCGCTGCCCAAGGGTTTGTCTTCCTTTTGGCTCGTAAAATCAGGGAAAAAGGGTCCCCCCCAAACAAAAACAAGAAACACCGATGCAGCTCTCAACCCGAGCTTCGTTGGAAGTCACGTTGCTCGTTGGCTGTCTCAGGCACCGAGTCAACTTCCAAACGGCGACCCTTCCTTCCGGAAGACCGCGCGCCGCAACCGGAAACGACCACGGAGAGGGGCAGCCTCTCCTGTCACCCTCTCAGTTGTTCAGTGACCCTGGAAAAAAAGGGAACCCTTTTTTGGGAAGACCATTTTAGTGGGGCAGCCACCAAACAAAAAGGGAAAAAGGGAGCCACTCAACAACTGAGCCCTAGTAGTCTGCATGAACATTGATCCGAATGAGCCCCGATCCGCTAGGGCAAGTCTGAAGAACAGCAAGGGCCAGGAAGCAGATACATGGAGTTGTTTTTGTTCTTTTATGTTGTTTGGCAGACATCCGCGCTGGTAACTGGCAATCCTGGACGACCAACCAGTCATACATTGCGCCCACTTTGGAAATCAACCCTAACTCAGCTTCCCACTAGTTGGTGGTTTGGATTAGTGGTTTGGAGATTTGAACCCCTGGCTTTTGTAGGGGGTGAATGGGAAACCCCTCATTAACCACAATTCAAACCACCAATTAGGGGTGCTGACCAACAACTGTTTAAACAGCCCCCCCCTCTCCTCTACAGTCTTTAGGCTCACTTCCTGAGCGGATTGGCCGCAGGTCCGAAAACTGTTTCACAAGGCATCCTGAAAACTGGGCTGCCCATTTTCTGATCCCCCCCGATGAATGAGAACCACTTCCAGTGGGTTTAATGGAAACCCAGCCACTAAACCAACTAAAAAGCTAAAGCTAAGGAACCGGATGGCTGGGAGCCACTAAGAACAGTGAAAGTCCGGGAACTCCAGCAGTACCATTGCTTGGCTAGCTAAATGTCCGACAGAGACCCAATCCCTTTCAGAGGGGATTCATCTTCCAGGCACCCTCCCACAAATGCCTTCGGCTACTGTTGACCCCGGATTAATAAACCCCTCCAACAGTGATGAACCCCGACTAAACCCAGGGGGTTTGTGAATCCGGGGGTCAACAGAAGCGGGGACCCGCCGGCTCTCTCGAGCCAAACGCGCCTTGCAACCGTTCGAAGTGCACCATACCGCCGAAGGCTGCCCCAACCGCGCCGCAGCGAGTCTGCACCTCGCAATCCGAACGGCAGCCTCGTTTTCAGCCAGCTCTGCTATCTTGGTTGCTGTAACGACCCCTCTGCAAAAAGTGAAGAACTTTTTGTCGGTTAGTGGAAAAACCACTTGATTTCAACCAACAAGTAAACGTCCAAAGATCCAACCCAATAGCAGCCAAGTGTTTTGCGCTCTCCGCTTCCCTGCCTCATGGCCTTTCTGAAACAATATGAATTTACCCGGGATCCAGGCCGGTATCTTTCAAGTGCAAAGATTGCATCTTTTGGCTCCCACTTTGCCGCTCAGGTGGATATCGCTGAAACGCTGACAGCTACTGAGCCCAGTCTTCCCCTAGTTCTCAGAAGGAAGACTCAGCTCGCAGCTCCACAACTCTTGGGTTGTTTTCTTGGTTGCTGCAACGACCCCCCTGCAAAAAGTGCATACCTCTTTGAGGGTTTAGTTGTTTGACCCCCAAATGATTTCCAAAAAAGTTAAAGTCTAAACATCCGTTGCCAATAGCAGTCAAGTTTCGGGCCGTACCGAGGTCTTTATTTGACCTTCGAACACTGAGACTTCTCACGACCCCCCCCCCAAAAAAAAAAGAAAAGAAAAAAGAACGAGCGCCAAGTCTTTGCCAAGCGCAACTCAGGCTCCGGCATTCTCAAACATGTCGTTCACCGCCGAAGTCCAGGTCATGCCTCTCCATGACAGACTAAACATGGACCACGAGAAAGCCAAAAGGTTTTTATGGTCGATTCGCTTTGGGCAACTGAGTTTCACTGGGGTCACAACTCCTACTCTCTGGTTCACAAATGCCCAGTGGCCATGGGGAAAAAAGAATCGGCCCCCTTTTTTGCTTGGTTGAGTTTAAAGGGGAACCCTTTCGCAAAAAAGAAAAGAAAAGAGAGGGAAAACAAGGCGCCGCTGGGCAACTGGTGGTTGGATGGGTGAAAACCTTCGGGAACCGGGACCGGCAGTCAGACCCGGGTCAACCGTAGCCTCCAGCGTCCACCCGCAAGTTGGGATCTCCAAAGATCCGTCGCTACCTCACAAGTAGTCTTCACATAGCGGAGTCCTTTTAAACCGGGCGCCGATTCTTTTTTTTCCCATGGCCACTGGGAGATTGTGAACCAGAGAGTACGAGTTGTGACCCCAGTGAAACTCAGTTGTCCAAAGCGAATTTACGGTAAAACACCTTTTGGTTGTCATGTTTTTCTCGTCCATGTTTAGTCATGGTCCCAAGGTGATCACCTGTTATTTCCAGGTCCGAACTGGGCAACTGGGAATAGGGGAGTCCTTTTGACATGCCGGGTTCTCCGGTGGCTTCTCCTTACTCGGCTGGAATTGGGACCCCAGCAAAAAGATAATTGTTTTTGCCTGGTTAGTGGAAAACAAAGGGACCCCAAAAAAGCAAAAAACATGAAAAAGGGGAGCTAGTTCTGGGGAACTAAACAAACTCCAAAAAAGGTAACCACACCCAGCAAAGCACAAAGCAGCAAAGGAGCCAAACATGCGCCTAGTGGAGTTGCCCTCTTCGCATCCAAAAGTAGAACCCATGTTGGGAGGACTAGTTTTGTAGACCCATCTTTGGAGAACCCTGTCTTCGCATTTTCCTCCAAAAGTCGAACCAATCTTTTGGTCCCCATGAGCCGGAAGCCATTCTTAGTTTTGCCTTTGAAACGGTTTGGATGTGGCGAATCTGTGGATCCAGACCTGTAGGATATTAAACGAGTAGTAAAAGAGTAGTAAAAGAGTATCTAAAAAAAAATACAAAAAGAAGAACAGGTGAAATCCACAAAAAGCGCCTCCAAACCGTTTTCTAGATGAATGGACACGCCATTTGCTTCCGGGTCTATGGGGCGATTACCGTCGCGACTGGCCGAAGACGTTGGCTTTCTCTTCCCTTGGGACCCCACCTCCCAGTGTAGTGCTGGCCACCAGGTCTGGCACTGCATCGGCAGGTCCTAGGATCGCTCGCTTTCTGCCAACCAACTCGCCTTTGCACCTCTACTCCTTTTAGTGCCTAGGTCCTCCGGTAGAGAGGTTAGGGGTACCTTTTTTTTCTTTTTCTGTAGTCTATTTTAGTAGGGCCCTCCCCCCAAAAAAGGGGCAAAGGGCACTACTGGGTGACCTAGGTGCGCTATGTTACGGTTGGGACACTAATCCTAGAAGGATTCTTATTATACATCAGTTTTACCCTTGAGAGGTAAACACCATATTTTTCCGCCAGCCGTGCAAAGCCAAGTCACGAATCATAGAAACCAGCTAGAGGAATGTCTGCAGGAATGGGCCCAAATACCCAACACACAAGGATTTCCAGTGAAACCCGGTGGAATCTCCTGCAGTGAGCCATTCGGCAGTGAACTTGGATAGGGAACCACGCCAAACGTACTTCCCCCATCCCCCATGTAAATGGTACCCAAAATGGAACCCTGGTAATGGTACTGAGGCGGGTGCGGAGCGGCTGGAGAGAAAGAGCGAAAAAGACAGGGAAGAGAGAGCGAGAGAGAGAGAGAAAGAGGGACAGCGAGAGAGGGAGAGAAAGAGACAGTGAGAGAGAGAGAGAGAGAGCGAGAAAGATAAGGGGAAAAGAATCGAGCTCACTCGACCCAGTAGACATCCACAAGTGGATTCCTGCCGGATTCTTTAACTTGCGTTACCTTGTACCCTTTTGGTTTATAGGCCCAAGACAAGTTGGGAGTCAAACAGGGCCCGGGACGCCCGAATCCACATGCCGCTGAGGCGTCCGATGAAGCCAGCGGCCTCACACCGAAGGTACGGTCCGTAGACCGTCTTGTAGAACTCCGAGCCTCAAGCGAAGCGATACAAAGTGTTCAACGGCCGGGAAACATATGGGGTTCTGGTATCTGGGCTGTCCATTTTTTTTTCCTCCTCCTTCTCTTCTGCTCTGCTAAAAATTTACTTTTAGTGGGGGGGGAAATGGAAACCCCCACCAAACACTAAAGAGCTAAAAAGCTGAGGGGATGGCTGGGAGCCACCAAGGTAGGAGGATGCATACAAAAACCTGCTTTGCATTTGCGAATTGGAAACCTGGGATGTGGCAGGGTCAAGTTCCATCGACCCCTCAAATACAAACCGTTGGGTGTGTCTTGAAATGTAGAACCCACTAATTCGGGTTTTCCGCTTACTCTTTCAAGCCAGCCAGCACAGGGCACCCTCAAGGCTCACCCAGTTCTCCCGAATACCAGATGATCCGGAAATGAGAAGGGCGAAAAGAAGGGAGACAAGAGAAGACAACAGATCCAGCAGAAAGGGTAGCCACTGACAGCGGAATTGCACATGGAAAGAGTAGCCACTGACAGCATCCCCGCGCCACACGCGCACTGCGCAAGCACCATCCAAACAACCAGCAAACACACAGCTGAAGCAAAGGGGGGGGGCGGCAGTATTTTGTGCGGCGCCCCCAAACCCATTGACTTTTGGCTCTGCCAAGTTGGTTATGGAGGCTTTTAGAGGCCCGACTGTTGCGTGACAGCATCGAAGGCACGATTTGGAATGGCAAAAAAAACCCGTTTCGGGGTCGAGTTGGATCATATCGAGTTCCTTGTGGGCCAGTGCCAAAACTTGCAAGACTTGCTGTGGACATAGGTAAGTAGAGCGTGCCCTGGTTTTTGCATGCCTCTACCTGCGGGGGAGGGTGGTTGGCCAATTCCATTTTTCTAGTCTTGCTCTTCCCCACAAAAGGAAGACAAATGGAGCTAGACATGGAATTTGTCCCCCCATGTGTAAGCTAGCGCGGACGTTTTTTTCTTCTTGAAATTGAGTGTCTGCCACGTTAATTTCGCCTACATGGACCAGACACATTTCCTTTGGGACCAAACCTCCCCGGCCAGATGGATTCGAGTGGCTGCCGGTCCGCGTAGACTTCACATACGCCTGGCTGTTGAAGGCGACCATCTCGCCGTGCGCGTTATCATCTCCAGGCGGAGCCGTTGTGCCTGGCGCCGCCAAGTCTGAAAAACTGCGAAAACCCGCTGCCGTTGGGTTTCGGAGAACCCAAAAAAGGTCGAACAACGGAGAACACAAAAAAGGTCGAACAACTGAGAAAACCTGTTGCCCTTTGGTTTCGGCTTCCTCAGAACCTAGCAAAGTGTGGGTTTTAGTTCGCGCGCAGTACTGGCGAAAAGGCGCAGAACCAGAGGTGAAGACGAAAAAACCGAGGAGTCTCTAGCAGAAGTAAAGAGTCGCTGCCGGAGAAGTCAACCTGGTGGCCTTGAGCCGCCTCTAGGAAAGGCTGTCCTCGAAAGAGCCTCCCACCAGCGGGAAATGCAGATTAATTGGTTCATTGGCCACAGCAAACCACCCATTGTGCTTGGTTGCTGTTGACCCCTCTGCAAAAAGTTTAACTTTTTGTGGGTTTAGTGGAAAACACCTTTATTTCCCAAAAAGTTAAAGTCTAAAGATCCAACCCAATAGCAGTCAAGTGCGCAGCTCCCTTCAACGTTGCTCGTAAAGGAAACCAAAAAAGTGGTGAACCAATTTCGCCAGGCGAGCAACGCCAACTTTGGGCGAGTTTTCTTGGGAGCCCCCGCTGTTCGCAGGGGCCCCAGAGCAAATTCTACAACTAGGTCCTCCAGAGGATCGAATACGGGTACCAACTCTTGTCGTAGAACCCTCCCAGCCAAAAACGGGGAGGAAAGGGCACTACCGGGGACCTGAGGCAGAATCAGCATGTGGGTTGGTCGTTTTCGTTGGCAAGGTTTTACAGGGAAACCAAGAGGCAACCCACCATTCGGCCACCTGAAAAAGCAGACAAGATCTACATCCTGGCTTTCACCAAGCTGTCCTCAGATCCCCCCGAAGAAAAGTTCAACTCTTGCTGGGCTCAACTTGGAAGACCCCCCCCCAAAAAAAAAACACCAACAAGCTAAAAAGAAAAGCTAAGGAACCGGATACAAAAATTGGGGGACCCCCCCCCCCCCCCCCCCGATTTCTCGCGGACCGGGTTCGGTGCTCTCCAAGAGGCCGGCTTCAAAGCCGTAGCGCACGCTGGAAGCATCAATCACCTGCTGCACCTGAACAAACATACATACAACAACAAAGGCATACATACATAAATAAGATATACCAAAGGTAAATGAATGAGATTGGGTGAGTCAGTAAGCAAATGAACATAAATCAATGCATACACGTATACATGCACACACACACACATATATATACACACATTTGGGGGTTGTTCAAAATAAAAGTTCCTGGAAACGGCCCTTTCGCCGGCCTTTCGCGCGTTTCCGAGCCCAAACGGGGTTCTACCATGTATTCGTTATGTTTCAAGTCCTTTCGCGTTCCTTTCGCCGGCCTTTCGCGATGCAGTGTTTTCCTTTCGCGCCAGACCTTCAGAGCCTCCCTTACTTAATTTTAAGACTGGCAATTTGGAACGACTCCCATTTGCACATACACATGTTGTGTTTTCCTTTGCCTTCGTGCTTGCTGGTATTGCCCCTTGCTTTGTTGTGCCAAACTGGTCCTTGCTTGTTGTTGCTGCTGCCTGAGGTGAGTGCTGGTAGCTTGTTGAACGATGATGCTGCTCTGTGGCTTTCAATCACCAGGGATCTGATCCGTGCATATGTTGCGATGTTTCCTGCTTGCAGTTGCAGGTGTTGCCGTAGTGCTCCTTGGTGTCTTGGTAGTAGAGCTCCTGTTCGTATTTGGCGAGTTGCAGCTCCCCTGTTGTAAAGCTCTCATCGGACTTGTGCTCATCAAGCCGTGGCTGGCGCAGCTACTGCACCTCAATGTTTCAAGCCCGTTTGTTGAACTTGCTGAGTTGCCTCCATTGCTCTTCTGCTGCTGCTGCTGCTGCTTGTGAAGGTGCTCTGCTGTTTCCAGTTGACCATTTGTGCCTTGCAGTTGTGATCGTGATGTTGTTCACTGCTGCGCTAGCTACCACGTTAAGCTCAAAGTGACTTTATCACTGTGTTCACCTGACCGTATGTGGTGGCCAGAGCGCATTCACGTACACAAGCTCAAAGCCTGTACCTTTAGCGCAGCAGATTGTACAATGCTCATGTATTCCAAACAAACAGAAGGGACATATTAGGTTGTGGAACCATCTGAAACAAATGGGACAACACATTTCTACGGGACGGTCTCCACATTGGCCACGCTGATTTAGTGCGGGGAAGATGCACGAACATCCAGTTCCCCCGTCCCAAATGTCATGTGTGGCTCCTTTAGTGCCCATCTGTTGGGTTGAGTTTTGGTGCAGTTGCTGGCTGAGGGATGGCGTAGATATTCATAGTGTTCTTGTGAATGATGAAAGGGTTCGAAATCAACGGAAAGGGAAGAAGGATTCAACTAGTGGAAAGTTTGAATCGGATATACACTGCATTCCAGTTTCAGAAATACTGAAATGTTCATCTAGTCGTGATGCTTCAACCTTTGCGATTGAGACTTTTAGGTTATGGGATGATATTGTGCACAATTTGATGACATCGGAAATTATACAAAGTACTGATGGGAAAATTCTACGCCAACCAAAAGAACAATCGCGACATCCTGTGGCATGATGACTTCAAGCTCGGGCGTGACTGTGTAGCGAGGTTGCGGTTCCTATTGCAAATGAAGCAGATCTATCCTTGACGCAGCCTCATGGCTAGTGTCAAGGCGGCCCCCCCACCCGCGGTCGTTTGCCGCGCCTTGTCGTGGTCCGGAGTCCCCTGGATCACCCACTGCACATCACCTTGGTATTCACTAGGCTGGAATTAGGACCCCAGCAAAAAATATCATTGTTGCCTGGTTAGTGGAAAACAAAGGGACCCAAAAAGCAACAAAAAACAAACAGGGGAGCTAATTCTGGGGAAGTTCACAGCTGCGCAGTTGTGCAGGTCACCTGGCTGCCGCCGCCTGGGAAGCCCAGAAACGCTAGGACAATACCAGCGCAACCCGATTGCCACAGCCTCACGTGGTAAATCCCAGAACGCTCGTCCTCAGATGCCCTGCTGAAAGTTTTACTCTTCGTGGGTGAAATGGACCCCCCCGACTAACCCCTAAAAGCTAAGGGGATGGCTGGGAACCAGCAAGAGTAGCTTCTTCATGCTCCGGAGCAGTGAACATCGGACATCGACATGGGTAGAACACCCAAGCCGCGGGCCGCTCTCAAGATCCAACCCAGCCACATGATGATCCGATGGAATTTGGGCTTTTCCATCCCAATAGTACCATCGACTCTGTCTCACTAAGGGGGGCCCTCTCAGCCTCTGATGTTGGGAGGGCGCCTCAACCCTTGGTGGCAAGAGGCAGGTTGAGAAGACCTAGCCTGTCGAATGTTGCCAGGCTGCCAAAGAAGGTCACCTTGCCACTCCTCTGCTGTTCGCCTGCAACCCAACAAAGGGCAGAATGGGATGCAGCTCATCTCCTGCAACTTGCACAATCCACGCCGACTCAATATCTCTCTCGCTCTCTCTCTCTCTCTGTCTCTCTCTCTCTCTCGCTCTCTCTCTCTGTCTCTCTCGCTCTCTCTCTCTCTCTCTCTCTGCAGTTCTGGGATCTGCGGAAAACACATTGACCCAGGATTCATCCGACTGGCTCACACACAGAGGGCATGGTCAGTCGGAGCCCCTGCCTCCATTCAGGCCAAAGCCATGGATTTTCCCAGAACCATCTAATGGCCGAAAATGGTTTCCACTGGACGGATCAGAATGCCAATGGAACGCAAGTCAGCTGCCAGGCCTCAGGCAAAACCCTTGATCACTTTTCCCTGCCCAATTGGCTGAAGAATCTGCCCCCTTTCGTTTGCCATCAACATCAAAGCGGGGTGAAGGATGTTAAGCCAAAATACAACCTCTTCTCTTACGCTGATGACCCTCCTCAGCTCAAAGTCACCACTGCCTGGCCACCCGCAAAAAAAAGGGGGTGCAAAATTCACCGGCGCCAAGCCTAGTTGGTTGGTCCTCGGCACAGAGTAGTGGATCGTGTCACAGTCAATGCCGCCATCCTTGCACAAGCGCCGGAGCTCCTCAGCGAGCGATGCAGAAGGGTTTCGCCCAGGCCCTCTGGGCGACCCTTCCCCCCAATTCCACCTTTCCCGTCTTCCCAGCCGAAGGGAAAAGGCAGCTATACCAGTAAACAAGTGCCAGCGGGCCAGCAAATACCGCAAAACGCGACGCCCTGAGATACTTGACCTCCCCGAAAGGTGTCTGGGCCCCTCTTGCTAAGCATTGTCAAATCCGAGCTGGCCCTATGAGGACAACAAGGCGACTAGCACAAACCAATCAATGATGAGTGTGCAAGCCCAGTCATGTAATGAAGAACCTATCGTGGCGGCTCTGTGGCCATTCGGGTTCCACTTTTTTGGATACACAATGATATTGGCTGGAGCAAAGGGAAGCCAAACCTTGTCAACTCCAGAGGCTGTGGCTTCCCTAAGTTTGAGAAGCCAAGCTTGCACCCAGAACAAAACCCACATGTTCAGTCCATCACTAAAGTTAAAGCAGCTTGGCACAGCAAGCGCAATTCACCCCCTTCACTTTCGCAGCAAACAACTCAAAGCAAAACAGGCCTAGTTTCAATCTTCTTACCTGGGCGAGCCTACCAGCAAAATATCCGCCACACTGGTAGGGCAAAACGACCAAAAGGAGCTGGTACCGGCCACTGCAGCTTTATGACATCCGAAATCGACCAGAAAATCAAAGGCCAAGCAGGCCGACCACAGTGGGAAGATGCTCAAGTCTCAACCAACTTCGCATTTTCCTACCGGAACCTCCCGCATTCGCTGGCTTCGCTGTTCAGGTTTCAACCCCAGCAAATGACTAACTGGAAGTGAGGGTGTGGGTAGACGTGACTTTTTCATTTGCCCACCAAAGGGAAAGCTGGAAACAAATAAAACACAATCGCAAGAAACCTAAGAAACACACATATAAAAAGCACAACAAATAAATAAACATATATGCATATATATATATAACATATGAATAACTAAATAAAGTCATACATGAATATACAAAGAACCAGCTAAATAAATCAACAAATAAATAAATAAACAAACATATATATATATGTATACATTGATATAAATATATATATATATATATACATTGATATATATATATAAATATATACACATACATACATGTATATGTATCTAACATCTACAAAAAAGAAGAAGGCCCCCCCCAGCATCCACGTCCCGGCGCCGCGAAGGAGTCGTCGCCCCTTTCCGCAGCGCTGCCCAGGCTGCCCAGCCGGGGGATCTGAACGGATTCCAAAAGCGAAGCGTTGTGGGTGGATCCTTGGGGCTGTAGGGACTCTGGGCCGATCTGGGGGCGACGACTTTTCAGGTGGTTTTTGGTTCAGTTTTTTTTTTTTTACTTTTTGTTTGGTTTTGTTGTTTGGTTTAGTTTAGTTTTTCTTTTTTGGGGCGTGGCAATCCACACACACACACAACATGACAGGAGGTTACCTTTCAGGAGCTCAGAACTCGGTGGCGAACTCTGGCCCCCTGCTAGAAGTTTGACGAACTCTTAGTGGCTTCATTCATGGAAAACCCGTGAGTTGGCAAAAAGTGTTTAAAAAAGTCCTAAGATCCCTTGGCAAAATGCAAAGTCAAAGGCGTTTTAGGCAATACGAGTATGCTATGGACAAGGAGGAGGTACATGCCCAAAGGACCTGGAAATAAGCAAACTGGATATGTGTGGATTCGGGGGACTTCTCTGATATGTTGGCATGTCGCGGCCAGCCAGTTTGCACGTGAAAGGCACACGTCCAAAACATTGAGACGAGTATACACTGGACAAGGAGGTGGAATGAGAATGCTTAAACATATCCTAAAATGGACACCCATGGCGGTTTTCACGGTTGTTTCCTTTGAAACCAGGGTGAAACGGGAACCTTCAACAAAAGACAGATCAACAAAACAGACAGGAGCTTCACATCTTTGAGATCCTGCATCGGCAGCATGTAATCACCCCACATAGGCGCACAAGTTTAGATGCAGGCCAACACACGCATATTCAAGCAGGCAAGTCGTTCATTGGGGTCATGGCCGCCGAACTCCAAAAAAAAACAGAAAAAAAACACCGCTGTGCTCCATGGCCGCCGAACTCAAGGCGAAACAAAAAAAGCTGGGATCCAAGTTGTGTTCGAACCAAAGTGCCTGTTGCAAAGGTGATGGAAGGTGAGGTATGGCGAGGCGTAATGCTCTAGAGGCAGTCGGTAGTGTTTCGCATTTGGCTGCATCCTTTGGCCCTTTCTTCTGTCGTAGATAGGCTGAAAGCGGATTTGCACCCCATGTGCAAGCCACAAAGCTGCTTCTTGGCGGGGAGTTTGCCATGAAATCCCACCGAGCGCCTTCGAGCTATGTGGTGTGATTAGAGCGCGGTTGATGTGCTAAGAAGCCTGCGAGATCAAGAGAGTCACAATCAAACCCCGGGCTGATGAAGGTTAGTAAAGAACGATCCCAACCAGAAATAGCTGCGGCCGCCTTCTAAATTCGTGCTCTTCTGCCCAGGGTTGTCATGCACTGGGCAGGGGCACGGTGGTAAACAAGTGCTCAAGTCTACAGAAGTCTGCTCCGGGCCGGTCTTGAGTCATAATCAAAACCCGGTATTAATTAATGTGGTCTACCCAGAACCATGTAAAACAAGACATGCCTTGAGCCCTAAATGTTGACCCCCGATTCAGAAACCCCTGTTTATTAATTGTTAGGGGGGTGTCCTCGGTCTTAGTGGGGGATTCATCACTTTTGGAGAGGAACTCCCCAATATTCATAAAGCGAAACTAAAACAAATAATAATCATAATAATAAACACGGAACACACATCCTAAAATAAATAATCCTCCTATTAATAAACACGTTTTTTTCCCTCCTGGGGTCGACATTACGCACCTCAGGACCTCAATCCGCGCGGTGAGCTTCTTGACGGAACTCGACGCGTCCCGAGTCCCGTCGCCTGGACGTCATGGCAGCACTTCGAGCCCTTGCTCCCCGACATGAGGCCGACAAAAGTATGGCTACGGCTGCAAAGGACAAAGCTTGGAAGGGGAGCAAACACATTTTTCTGGCAGTTAGGTGGATTTGGATTTCAACCACTAAGCCACGAGAAGCAAAAATGTAAAATGCTTCCCAACAACAACCATGTAGCTGCCTTGCAAATTGACATGGAACCTCAGCAGGGCCCTCGAAAACGAGGCTCTTTCTCCTTTCTGTGGGGGAGGGGGTGTTCATATTCATCTGCAGGAGGGTACCCATGTGTTGGGTGTCGATGCAAAATTCGGCATCACGGCATACGGATTGATTTCCGCTGACCCAAATGGGCTGACCTGCTCTTTTCACTTCTCCACTGGCCGAAGAAAACAAGCTGTCGTTTTTCCACCCTCCCTGGCTTAAGTAGCTCAGCCCTTCCCAATGTAAACCTTCAACAAGGGCCTGCTTTCATATGGCTGTGGCTCAAAAAACCGGTACCAAAATGGGTTGCCCTGGTAGGTGGAAACATGGACCAAAACCTGCGTAACCCCTCCTGGTTAATTTTGAGCCACACCCATATGGGACAAGCGTACTCTCTGATCGCTCGCGCATTTGCCTCCGAGCATCCTGTTGGGTGCAGTCAGCAAAGTGAATGTCCGAGAGCATCCCGGGAACGAGCGGAGCACCCTGGTTGGCCAACCCACGTTGCTTTGCTTTTTTTTCTTCTAGCCATGTCCGCAAAGGGTGCCAAACCACACATTGGAACAGCACGAGAGGCAAACCAAGGTGCCCAGCTCCCTCCCTGCTGCATCTGTTGAAAGATGTTGAGCAAGGAGCCCCTTGATAAAACTTCAAGGCTGGGCCAGCCTTGTGCCGAGCCCATGGCTGGAACTGGAGCATGGAGAAACCCAACAAGCTCCTGCTTTTCAGGCAAAACATTTTTGTTAACGCCTATACAACAACGCGGTGCCTCGCATGGCAGAGTCTGGTCCCGGCCAAAAAAATGCCACCCGATCGGATCAGCTGGGATGGGGGTCTCTGGCCTTCAACATGGGTCTGCCATGCGAGCGATGGAATGGCAAGAACGCCCCTTGAAATGGCGATTGGGCCCTTTGCGCTGCGCGTTGTCCATGCATGCAAATCATGCATCACACGCCTGGCCATGCAAGTACTGTCACCTGGGGCATTTTGCCCAACCAAGCGGTTCCCAGATTTGCCCCAAAGCGCCCTTCTTGCCCAAGGAGAACGGCATGAAAAATTGGTTTTCACCATGGTCGAAGCAAGCTCATCTGGACAGCTCAAGGGAAGAAGGCCTGCGTCCTCTTTTGGAGGATCAAGACAAATCGGGGCAGTGGTGCTGCCGTGGCACAACACCGAAAACATGAGGTCCACTGTGGTTGACCTTCAAAATGGGGCACTAGGCCATTAGGCAGCTCCAACACCCAAAGCACTTTTGTCCAAGCTGACGTCAACAGTGCCATCCTTCTTCCATTTGGAAGGCTTGTGCTTCGCTATGCAAGTGCTGGAGCCCCATATTGAAACAGTACGCTCACTTCCGATCGAGTGGACTTGGCAAAACAAGTCCGAGCTGGTTGTTTGCCCCTAACGCGGCCTTCCCGCAAACACTGAACATTTCAAACATCAGGTCCATCTCAGGCACATAAATGCAGTTACTTGAGGGTGCCAAAAGGAAAAAACAGAACACAAACCAGAAACCAACAAACAACCAACGCATCGACACCATGGAGAGTGAGTACAACAACCTCTTCGAGGACCAACTCGCCTCACACCGAGTCTGACATCTCAGCCAGCTCCGCCCTGGCAGCTGCCAACGTCCCGAAGAGTTGGCCTTCTGCTTGCAGCTCCTCGCGAACGTCGCACGCGGATTTCACGGGACGCAAAATTTGCACGGGTGAAGCGCAGCCATACTGCTGATGGACGAATCCACTTCGCACCACCAAAGAAACCCTGAATGATGACTCCCCTGTAATTACCTAGTAATTAACACCGGTTTCCCATGGTTTCAAAGTGGTGCAGGATTTCGTCCATCCACAGCTGTTTCAAGCATGGCATATTCTGATAATTAGTTGACAAACTTGGCGACAAGATGGTGTCAACTTCGAGAACCACATAAAATGGCGGAGTCATTTTGATCTCTCGACTCCCGTTACTCTTTTAAGCGAACCTTAAAAAACCTACCCTCAAGACAACACAGCCCCGCAGGGGCTAAAAGTGCGCAGGAAACAGTTTGTTTGTGGAGTCTGCCAATTTCTCTCTCTCTTCGCCACGAGACCGCGGCTCCTGCACCCAAGCTGCTTTCTTCAGCACCGGGCCTGTGATGGCCCATGGGCCATTGTGATGGATCGAAGTTGATGAGTTCGAACAACTTTTTGCATGCTACTCAGCCTCAGAACTGGGCTGTCCGTTTTCAGATTCCCCAAAGGTTTGACTTGTAGTGGGCCCAATGGAAACCCAACCACTAAACCAACCCAAAAGAACTGAAAACCTAAGGAGACGGATGGCCGGGAACCCACGGTGTCTCGACTTTGCCCCATGGGTTCAGTCTTGGAACACCGGAGTTCCCAGCATGCCACTCTCAGGCTCTCAGGTGGCAAACTCGTAACAAAGATGCATCCCATTTGGTACGCCGTACGGGCAATTGGCCTAGGCTCAAACGAGGGGCTATCTTAAATCCAGAATTTGGCGTGGGACACCGCTACAATGAAGAGAAACTACCATCTGGCACAAGGATCTTGTGGATGTTTTTTGAACAACCCACACAATCCCTGCCGGGGCTGAACAAAATACCACTTGTAAAACACCCTTTGGTTTCCCCTAGGGGGCAAAATTGAGCGCCCAGCCCACTACTACCCAGTTTTGAAATGCAAGAATCAACCTGCTTTAGCAGGATCGCCTTTGGAGGACTCTTGGCTTGCACCAGTCCATCTGCAGATTTTACTATCCGAAACCCTGAAGCAGGAAATGGATCCCAGCTGGGTCCTCCAGATTTGAGAGGTTAGAATAAGGTACCGTTTCTTTTTTCTGTAGTCTATTATAGTAGGGGAACCGAATCTCCCAACCAAAAAAGGGCGAGAGGTTGGGCACTACTGGACCTAGCCAAAGTGAAACACCTATTTGGGTTGCCAAGTGGTTTTGGGTTGAACTTATAAGACAGGGTTGAATTCCGAAAACCAATGAAGGCTCCGTACATTTTCCCTTCGAACGTCACTTGAAGGGACACTCACCTTTCATGGGCCCAAAAGGTGAGTTTAAAAAGACCGCCAAACAGGGAAATTGCTCGGGACCCCCCGCATGTTTTAGTCCATGTTTCCATTTACTAGGGCAACCCAGTTTGGGGAAACCATATTTTCGACCCACTCCCATTTTGTGGAAAAAGAAGAAACCAGCAAGTTCTGGCACGCGCAAAGCTGCAGGTCTTTCTGCACCGACTCTCCCCCACACCACACGTAGGCCCAGGGTTCCATTTTGTGAGAACCCCAAAGTCGACTTAAACCCATGGTTGATTTCCCCAAAAGGCAAACCCCTGGGTTTAAGTCTACCTTAGTCAAAAAACTGAACCCTGGCCCAAGGCCTTCCCCGCGCTCCGCGAAAAAAATCCCCCCCCCCGGCGAATGCCTTGCAGCAGGAAGTCGGGCGCCACCACCGCCAGCTTGCAGCCTAAGCCCTGGAGCTCCGCAGCGGCCTGGCGCGGGGTTTGATGGAAAAAGCCCGCGGAACCCACACGAAAAAAAAAAAAAAAAAAAAAAAAAAACTAGACCACGGTTGGCCCGAATTGCATCACAGCCCCGTGATCATTCCCGCGCGAGCTTTTTGCTCGATGTGCAACCTGTCAGCGACACAACAGCCATCAGCTACAGCAAGAGGAGCACGATTCACTTTTGAAGGCGTTTCCCCTACTGTGGAAGAAGAGGAGCGCTTCGCTTTCGCTGTTGCTCGCGACTTCCGGCCCCAGACCATGTCCTTCTCTTCTTGCGCTTGGCTGCGATTTCCCCTTCAAGCCACGGCAGGCCATGACGAGCCGCGCCTGCCTGGGGTCTAGCTACTTCGCGCTCCGTGATGCGCTTGAGCCGATGCTGAGATAGCACTGGAGCAATACACAACGACAATTCCTTGTTCCTGCTATCTGGCCACCTATCGGACCCCCCTACACGAGTTTGCCAAGCACGTCAAAGATGACACATCTACCGCCCTCATGCAAAACAATGACTACAACGCAAATGACTCTCGTGATCACTCTGTGCAATGACTCTCATGATGACTCTGTGGAATGACTCTCATGAGGATTCTGTGCGCTGACTCTCATGATGACTCTGTGCAATGACTCTCGTGATGACTCCGTTCAATGAGCTTCTGTGATGACTCTATGCAATGGCTGTCATGATGACTCTGTGCAATGACTCTCATGATAATACTTCTCCCGACGGAACAACCTGACTTTTGCTCTGCCCAAGTTGCCCTGCGCCAGCTGCTCTGTGCAAATGCTCTGTGGAAGTTGCTTTGCGCAGGTTGCTCTGCGTCAGCGCTCTGTGCAAGTTGCTCTGCGCAAGTGCTGCTGGAGCTTTCGGGAAGCACTTCGCATACTAGTTTTCTTCTTGAAAAGTTATGCAGCCGGAGCTGCAGGACTGTACTCCGCGTACTACATTTGTACTTACAAGTTTCGATTTTCCAGCCGGAGATGCGTCCGCGTACTACGTTTGCACTTAACAGTTGCGATTTCTGTCTAGATAAGCTGCCGCGGACCAGGCGGGGATCGAACCCATGACCGTGCGACTCCGAGAGCAGCCGCGCAAACGCGCAAACCACGCGACAACTTCCAAAGACCAGTTCGCAAGCTCAAATCCCAACACCAGGCTGCGGACCCCTGTTTCAGGTACGCTTCCCTGTCACTGGACCAAACGCGAAAGTCACGCCGAAAATGCGGACGAGGGGCCAAGCAAGAGGCTTCGAGCTTCAGGCTCAAGCTCCAGCACCGCGTGCGGGCGTGCGCGGAAATGCTGACACACCTTCTCCGCGCCGGCTTTGATGTGAGGAGTTGGATCCGCCAGAGACCACCGTGCCGAGATTCTGAATTCGGTGCGCACGGAGGCAGGCGCACCTCAGCCACAAAAAGAAGCCAACCATCCAGCCAACAGGCACGATTGCTGATATCCGGGCTAGCTAAGTTGGAAAGCAAATCGCAAACCACAGGGAGCGCAGAGCAAGGCGCTTGCAGTCGCTGGGATTCGTACGTACCTCACTCTGGAAGGCACTCCGTCTGGGAGCACCACAGGGTGGCCAGCAGAAGGACCTACAGTCTCAACAAGCTCGTCTTCAGGCAAATCGTCAGCATCCTCATCCATGTCAGCACTCATCTCTGAGCGGTTAGCGCGGTCTCTGAAGTAAGCTGGGTTGTTGTGAAGGTCCTCGAAGTGAAAGATCGACGCTTGCAGCGGCGTAAGCGGCAGCCACGACCACCGCTGAGAGTAGGTCCCGCCCGCAGAGCGTGGCAAAGCATCGTGCCGAGCAACAGAAGTGTCTGCGACCAACAAAAAGCGCTCCTTCGTGGCTGCGTGGTGGACCCCTACATTCTGGCGCTCCATCGACACAAACTTTGCCGGATGCCCATTCCCAAGCACGCTGAGGGAGATGTGCGGAGCGCGGATGCTGCCGCCATGTGTTGTGGAAGTCCTGGTTGCTCTCTTTGTTTTCCCCTGAGCTATCAACGTGTTCAGGGTGGAAGCATGGGCATTGACAGAGAGGCAGAGCGGGCGCTGCTGAGTAAGGAGAAAGACTCCAGAAACTCATATGCCTCGTCGCAGTTGAAAGCCTGGCCCCACCACAAGCGAGTTGCGGAAGCTTCCTTCTTGGCTCCAAGTGTGACTTGGGGAAACTCTGGAGAGCAACGGAAAAACAGCTCTGTCGGAGTGCATGACTGAACAGACATCGACTTCACTGTGACAGGAACTTCTTCTGCAGCATCTTCGTCAGCGCCCTCAGCCTTCGTGCGACCGAGCAGGGCGGGGGGAATATGGGGCTTTGTTGGGACCGTGGAGGTTGTGAGGGGAAAAAAAGGCCGGCCTTCAAGGTCCGGGCGTGCGCCTTGGCCATGCCTTCCACTATGTCGTCCGCAGCTTCAAACAGGAGCTCAGTAGCTTGATGCAGCCGCGACTTCCCGCGTTGAGCGGGCGCCACGTGAAAGACTAGCAGCGCCAGGGGCGACGCCTGCGCGGGTCTTTTGGAACGCAATTGCTAAGTTTTGGGTCCAATCAAATCAGACCGTGTCACCTTCCTTGAGCCTGCGCCGGCAGTTGCCTAGTAATTTACTTGGGGTGGGTAGTTGTGAGGTTTTGACACCCTGGCTCTAGTCGAAGGCAAAAAGGCAACCACTCCCACGCCTTCTGCGTCCACAGGCGAACCGACGCTCCGTTCGACAGGGCGGGCATAGCCCCAGCAAAGAGCATGGTTGTTGCATAAAGGCCCTGGCAGGTGGCCGTGCTGATTGGATCCAAGTAGGCTCGAATGTTTGCAGGCAAGTGAGATGGGTCAAAATTCTCCTGCACAAGCTGCACCGCATTGCGCATCACAGCATCCACTTCTTTGACAGGTAGCTCCTCGCTGCCTTTGGACATCCCTCCGAACTGGTATGGCGCGACGGCAGCCAACCTTGAAGCAGAGCATCTCTGAGCCAAAACGGGACAGGCAAGCAACTCCCAAGCCAGAAGCCCACGCAGCCAAAACAAAAGTTTAGAAACTGTGCTTGCTAGACAAGGCAAGCTAACAAACTGTCTTGCGCTGTGGAGATAGACACTGCCTGGGATGAAAACGGTGCGCTCGAAATCGCCTTCGAGCGCTTAACCTCCTTTAAACCCGCGCCGAGGAAACAAAGTAGCCGAAGGTCAAATGACCGCAGAGCACGTGCAGGCTGGGCGTGCGCCCAAACCCAGGCTGTCTTCCTTGCACGCGTGCTCGCGCAGGCCAGCAGTTGCCGCACCGAAACTAACTTACAGGTCCGCACCATTTTTCCGGAAAGCCCTCGGCGCAGACTTGGGCAACTCTGAGCAGGAGGCGACGCACGCCATTCCCATGCGAGGCTCCTAGCACCTTTTTGGCTGCTACCCGCACACAGACAAGGCCTCCGCGGCCAGCAGCCTGACCAGGCGGGCCAGTGCCCAAAGTTCCTGCGGAAACTAGGCAATTATGTGTTTGGCCTGTGTGTTAGTGTGTCTGTGTGTGTGTGTGTGTATTCTTAAGCCCCCTTGTCGTCAGGTAACTGTCTCGGCAACAGACTCTCAAGTGCGACCGCCAAGTTTAACATAGCGCCGCAATCCTAGACACCTAGACACCTAGCTGGTTAGTTGGTCGCGAACCCTGTGCCCAGGATCCTTCTTCTGCGAACGATGCCTTGGAAGAGACAGCCCCGCTGCGCTTCAGCCAGCTTGCGGCCGACCATCCTTTTTTCCAGCGAGGCCTGGGCGCAACAGGCAACATGCCTTTGCCGCACAGGGCTGATGCGCAAGGAGCAACAAGTTGCGTCCAAGGTGGTCGACCTCTACAACGTGGTGGAGGTTACGGGCTCCGGCACTTCCAAGCGCAAGAAGAAGCTGAGGCCGAGCACGACTCAGGCCAGCCTAAACACAAAGGATGCGTAGGTTCAGCACAGAGTTCACGTTGGGCAGGTTGGCTCAGACCCCTCACTAGTAGTGCAAGTGGTATGCAGAGTAGTGCGGGGAAAACAATGTGGCTCGTGAAAAGCGTCGCGTTCTGAAGGGACAACGATCTGCCGAGTCGGTCTCGCTTGTGATAACTTTAACTTTAGTTTTGTGAGGGCTGTGCTTGCGGGACTAGAACTCTCATGCTCCAGGTGAAGAAGCTTCTGACAGAAGCCTTTGAGGTTTCCACGCCTGGGCTCCATAATCATCGAACTTCGTGGGTGGCCGAGCACGCGGGCCAACCAAATCTCCCTAACGAGTGCGCGCAGTACGCCAAAATCAGCATCCGAGAAGTATCGCGATGCCGGGCACTGTTTCACGAGAAGAGCGCGCAGCCTTCAGATGCGGCGGAACGGCCACGCCTGCTCTCGGCCGTGTGGCTGTCTAGAGCTGCTTCATTTTTGGTTTTTGGGGCATGCGCAGCAGGACCGTTTTCAATGTCAACACTTGTATGTCATCGCCTATGAGCCAGTGTGTCGCTTCTAGTTTCAATCCTGCCCTGCGCAATTGCCCTCGACCTGCAAAGTTAAAGCCTATATGGCCAGACGCAACATTCTCCCTTTGCGCTGAGCCGGGAAAACGGGGCCGACCCAGACAGCTGACACTTCTCCTTTAAGGCTCTGTTTCCACTGCGCACAGTCTTGCGCAAGCAGATGTGCAGCTTCCAGAACCCGTCCCGTGTTTGTGTGCTGCACGAAGCTTTTCTTGCTCTGCGCTTGGCCGAGTCAACCGCGCGTGACAAGACGTGGTATGGTTTGACTTTGCTGTCATGCCGCCGGAGCACCTGGTTGTGTCCAGCAAGAGAACTGCTTGCCCGGACTGCCAGTGTCTGCTGTGCAATGGCAGTCGTGGCAGAACCTGAGACACTCACCGCCTGGCATGTGTCTAGCACCAACATTGCTCATCCACCAAGAGATTTTGACTCGCCGCAGGCGCCAGGAAGGCAAAGCGCGTGGATAAGCCGCACCAGTCGTACAAGAAGTTTGCTGTGGCC